CCGAGTGTCAAACGAAGCACGGTCAAAATTCAAGTACAATTCCCTGTTAACGCAAAAGCATCCAGGGCCCACATAGATTCAATTATTCTTTTAATTCTTTTAATCCTTAAATTTGAAAAACACAAATAAGAGTATACACAGTCAAAAATATTTGTTAAAGTATAAATTATATTTTCTACTTTTATACAATATTATGTGGGTATGAGATCAGTACTTGAATTGAAAAAATAAAAGGAATACTATGAGGTTTATAAAAAGTAGCGTCCTTTATTGTTGATGCCTGAGTACACACGTACCTACAGAGTTCGCGTGCCGTGATGATTGGCCTTTTTAAGATTACAATTATAAATACCTAGCGTCCGAGCACACACACACGCACACTTTTAGTAGATCAAGTTAATTTAAATAATTATTATCAAGCAGGTACCTATGTTCATTTTTCTTCCGTCCGCCGTGTTGCTCTTGTTTTCACAAGTTGTTTATATAATATACTTATTGTTTTTGATTGGCACCTATAGCCATGGCAATATTAAAAGGCTCTTATGGCCAAAAATTGTTATGTCCGTTCGTGATCCGATCTCTCGCTTCACTAGCCGTACGAATTACGGTTTCTACATGTGCTCTAATAGAGCCCATTTTTTTATTGTAGATAGTGGTCGGCTCGAATATCCAAGTTCATACATTTTTATTGTACGATTTGTACGGGTTCGTGTGCGTCAATTGTTGCAAATACCTACCCAATGTTATTTCACGTAAAAAGTGTGAGCTCTAATCGCCACCGCCGTTGCCGTTTTATATTAAATAATTGTTTATAGTTTTAGATTCTGAGTGGAGTGAAAAAGCTTATGGTTTTACAAATGTTTATTTTTTTTTTCTGTTAACTTTTCTACCAGCAATTTTGTTCCAAATTTTAATGATAGCAATATTTCTGAAAGGAAATTTCTCTAGGGAGGTACTTTAAAAAGGTCGTTTTTCCATTTTCCTCGGAGTTTTCTTAGAAAATGTGAAAAAATGGAAAAACTGGGAAAATCGGTATATTAAACAAATATTATTTTAAGAAAATATATAGAGCCTATTTAATTATTTTACTATAATATAGCATATATATTGTTAACAAAGCATCACTATCAACTGAATTCCGCTCAGAATCGTTTTTTCGTAAGCAATGGCTATATCCTTGCTTATAGGTATATATTAAATTACCTATAACAGTGGCTGCACCCGTCCATATTATCTTAGGACGTCTTTTTAATTATGTATGTTTAATATTAAATTATTTAGGTATAGGTGCTGAGCAGCTGGCCAGTCTACTCTCTACACAAAATGTGTATTTTTTATTATTATTTCTTCACTGCTATACCTTGTTGAGCCAGAAGGGTTACTTACCATTTTTCCCTGTATATATTTATTACCAAATTTTGTGTTTCTGTGATGTTTTTCTATTTTATTTATTTGTTTATATTTTATAGTTACCAGCAATACAGACCTTAATTATTACCATATACTTTTTATCTACCATTTATTTTTCTTTTGTATCCCTTTCTTTTTCATATATTTAAGTCACACTCCTACACAAGAATACACACTTACACACCCACTGCACACTAACACTCAAGGGTTTTACTCGGCGACCCCGTCCACTTCCTTTGAGTCGCTGTATACCTATTTACACACCAAGTACATAAGTCGACCGATAGGCATTCATGCACGCGAAGCATACAGTGTCCGGGTAAAGCAGATTATTGTTGGTTTGCACCCGGCTCCTTCATTTGTAATCATTGAATTCCTATTTAAGACCATTAAAAAAAATTCGTGTTCACTAAAATATTTTAAGAAATAAAGTGGTATTACCTAACGTAGCTCCTCCAATCACGCGTATCGTTAATTAAAAATATAAATTAAATAACTTTATGTATCCCACCTTCCCAACTACCCACCGACAACAGTGGATAGTTTATGAAATAAACTAATCTAGTTCAATTTTTTTAATTTTTCGTCACCTTTATTTTTAGGAGTGGAACCATTTAACACTGTCGATTTTGTTTTCACCATCAAACTAAGACAGTTGGAAAAAAAACAAATCAAATTGGCTACAAACTTATCTACTTAATAAAGTAATTTTTTATATTTGCATATAACTCGGACAGGCAATTTGTAGATGTATACTTAACACTTATACTATTTTGAAGTATTCAAAATGAGTAAGATATCTAATTTAGAAAGTCATTATTAGCAACATCATTAGGTTTAACCTATTAACAATATTCATTATTACTTTTTTATTTTCCAAATGGTCTGATGTGATTAATCATAAAAACATTCGACTACCTACGTGGAATATATTTTTCATACACACGTATGTCTTTCTTTTTTCGATTATTTGTACCATAATAATATGTGCCCAACTGCGCTGTAGGATAGAATTATTGTATGTCACGACGACACGACGGTTTCAAGTAAAGCCGTTTTGTCATTGACAATAATTTTATAATATCTCAAAATAGTATCTAAATTATTATAATATGATCTTACTGGGTGTTCTTATTGTATCTACTGTAAGTACTGTCGGACATCCGATTTCTGTACTGTAGGTACTCGGTGTGCTTGAAAATCCTAATAAATCATCTCACGCCGAGTGAAACTGCAATGTTATTGTGTGACTCAAAAACGATTTACGAAATCTTTTCTTCGTGTGTATACGCTATTCAAGATTGGAAATAATTTCCTAACCCCGGCATCTAATATTTACTAAAACCTTAATACAGCCATACAGTAAATATCTGGTCAAGTATACATTCATGAGTGGAATACCTGGTTAACAAAAAACAAAAATATTTAAAAATATACGTTTTGTTATGGGAATATGTGGCATACTTTACTTATGCAATGCAAACTGTACATAAAACAATTTGTTTTAGCGCTAACTGTTTGAATGGGTAATAATTATTTTTTAAAATAATATAATGTTTATTTAGACATTTTTTTATTATTTGTGAATTATTAAATTATTTAAAAAGGGAAAAAATTATTATTCATGTTTATTTTGTTACATTGGACGAGCTATATAAACACAGATTAATGTACAACATCATTGTACTATAATTTATTCCTATCACATCAAACTGATAAAGTACGATGAATTATCGATAAAATGATCTGACCGATTGTGATTGTGCAATTGAGTTTAGTGTTTTTCGTGACTCAATATCATAATATTGTTAAAAATGCTTTGCTCTGTTCGTATAATATCAATAGAACGTAATTTGTTTTTATAATTTTACGAAAATTGTACGCATTAGATTCTTAGTGGAGCGAGGAATGTATTGGTTTTACAACGATGTTCATTTTTTTTTTTTTTCTGAAAGCAAATCTGACTAAGAAAATACTTTAGGGAGGTCAGTTTTTTAATTTTCCCAGGAGTTTTTACTTGTTCTATTTTCTTGCATACATTGTATGTAAGAAATGATCGTGTTTTAACAGCGTGCTAGTATATTAATGTACCTATAATCATGTCAATAACATTGTTAAGTACCTCACTGTATCTACTGTACCTAAATAATATGGTCCTTGCTCTAGGCGGCCACATTAAAATTTGTAAACCGATATTATATTTTTACTTTCTATACCATTTCAGGTTAACAATAATAATTAAACGATAATGAGAAAATAACCCGCATTACTACACACAAGGTTAAACCTACGAAATACTCACCTATAACCACTAATCAATCGAAAACGAATTTTATTTAAAATTCAGATCTACTGGTTTTACTATGAGACGTGATTTTTTTTTTTTGCAAATCTGTAAACTACTTTGAAAAGAGAAATCTCTTGTATACATAGGAGCAAGGTACTTTACTCTACAGAAATTTTGTCTAGTTGATGCATTAAACTTTTTGATTTTCCAAGGAATTTTCCAAATAATATGGGAAAAACCCGAAAGAAAATTATAGGTTAAACGACAAATATTTACGATGCTTCACGGCGTTACCATTTTCATTGCTTTTAATTTGTGCTCACAATGTTTTCTACCAGAAATATTGCTCCGATCGAAAAATGAAAAAATTTTGTTCTGTTTAACATTATGTAGCCACTTACAAAGAAAGTCGTTTTTTTTATATCTAGCATTATAATAATTTAAAAAAACGGAAAATGACGAAAAATGAAAATTGATAAAATTACGGCACTAGGATTCCTTTTTATTTTAAATTTGTGCGGCTTATGTTTTCTATACAAAATATTGTTTCAATCGAAAAACAACGATGATAAAATGTCTAAATTATTTGATTTTTGAGCAATTAATAGATATTTTAATTTTGCAATGTTTTTATGTAATTTTTAAATGATAGGTACTCTTTAGATAAAATTGTTAGTCTAAACAGAAATGTTTAAAAATTTGACAGGAGGATTATTATAATTTGTACTAAGTAGTAAAAAAAATTGAATGCAAATAATTGAATATTTTTTTTTTTTTTATAAAAGTATCAATATCAAATGTTTATTATCAAAACTTTATGTAACCATTTTCCCAACTACCTACCTACAACAGTAGCCTCAACCGTCCCCAGTATTTGATCTTTTTTTTTTCTTATACTGCCGGTCTCTATAGTTGCTGTGGTTAATGTTGTCGATGAAATAAAATATATTACAAGTATGGTAGGAATGCTGTGCGAGCGGGTTCATCGTTCATATCTTAGTCGTAAACCTGTAAAATGTAAGGTTTTCGATTTTATTTTACTTTTAACAATATCCATTGTTTTCCATCATTCTTCTTTTCGTCATATATACAATATCGTAGGATGATAATATTATTTATATTTTTGTGACGATACAAAACCAACAAAAGTAAAACGTCACATTGTAGGTACTTACTTATATTCCTAATGCAAATTATGTATAATATAATGTAATACGTTTTATCCAAATAAAATGGGCACAATATTATTAATATATTATATAAGGATACAACACAACGACTTCGTAAAAAAAACAACGATAAACATATTACACAAATATTTATTTCAATATATACCTACTTATTAAATTATAATACGAATTTTATTTTTGTGACTTAAAACTGATATAAATCGATGTACCAATTATCATTGTCATAAACCTCAGCATATGTAGTAGAATTAAAATTAAAATGCTATACAAAAATAATAATATAATTAATAATATTGTTATAAAAATAAAACACCTAAGTTCTAATGTGCATAAAAGATTTTTTTTTGAAACAATTTTACATTATTGAATGAATTCAAAAAATATATCCAAAAATGACGACAATCACTGCTACCCAGTATTTTGATAAAAACGACGTGTCCGTAATTATTGACGACAAATACCACAGTCCGAAAACGACTAGTAATTGTACACCGATGTTTGCCAACCGTAAACTGTAAAATAAAGAAATGATATAATATACTATTAGTAATAACAATGATTATAAGCTTGAAATAAAACTAAACATTTCGACAATACGATGGGGCGGACGAACAAAAGTACTTCATTATAGTTCAATATTGAATTGCTTTTTATGAAAAAACATGGGTGGACGAATAAAAAAGTAAACTTAATTTATGTATATAGAGTTACCCTAATATAAATCTTAGAAAATGTTTAAGGTTAGGTTAAAGGTTAAATCCTCTATCCCAGCTTTTTTTTCTGGCTGCGACAATGGGCACATAATAGACACGCAAATATAAAATGTTCAGATGAGTAGTATATTGAAAGAGTTTTGGACTTTTAGTGGACAATTCAAGTTATTCGAATGGCCAATTTCAATTTCGTTCGTCGCCAATATAGTCGCGGCGTAATTTGTTGCACTTACATGGATTGTTTCCGCTGCGCTTTTTTCAGCGTTTTATCGTCTTCATTATGTAAATATTTACGTACACCCTTTGCAAGACTGTTGAGGTACGTCTTCCAATTTATATTCGAAGGGTCGACGTAAAATTCGGATTGATCGGAGACGCTCATTTCTTTGTGCAAAATAACGGTTTTAGTGTTATCGAATCTCCATTCGCGAAATATAAACGGTTCAAGTTTACTGAGCGATCTGTTTACGTTCGTGTGTAATCGTATAAGGCTGTAATCGACACAACAAAAAGAAAAAAAAAATTAATTGATTACCTAGAATTATAGGTTATAGGATTTATATAGTTATAGGTTATAGACACTTGTCTACATAGTAGGTATCGTTTTACAAGACCCAATTCAAGTAATAATAAGTAAAACATAAAATAAGTACACGTGACGCGACGTGATATAAATGGTGAATCCGAATTGCATGCCAAAATAATAAATATAAATTGGAACATTTGAATTGCATACAATTTTATAAAGGGGTTCGTCCGAATTGCATGCCCTTTTCTTATTGAGGCATGTTCGAATTGCGTGCTGTAGATAACTTTCATATCAACGACGAAAATAGTATATTTGGGCTGAATTTTCTAATTCTACAATGCATACAACCAATGTTTGTGAATCATTTCATTTCAAACTGAGTAGCATGTTTTACTCTCCAAGTCCTAATATATTTCAACAAGTCGATGTTTTAAAGCAAGTACAATGTGATATATATATATGTAAAAATACGTTCTTCCAATTGAAATGAAAAACGTCGAGAAATACTAGAAAAAGAAGAATGTATAAGTTCAGTGATAACGCAATTCAAAATAATGAAATTAATAGACAAATATGTATAGAAAAGTTACCACATATGGCGTTGCCGAAAACAAAATAAATCTAACACATGACATAATAAATGGGTATATAAGATGTTAGACAATAATATATTTACGATATTATACGTATAAATTCGTTAAAATAGTAAAATAATATTAAAATAATTAACAATATAAAATTAGAAATAAAACATTTTTAACCACACCAGTATAAGAATTAAGTTTTTACTATCAATCCTAAGTCTGTATAAGTGGGAAGGAAAATGCCATTTTATTTTTTTATTATTATTAATTATACACGGCACGCAATTCGGACAGGTTTCTCTAAGAGATGACATGCAATTCAGATTTTTTTTTTCCATGCAATTTGAGTGCAGCCAAAATAAAATCGAATCCCGAATTTAAAATCCAAAACACCTATAATTTTGGATTTTTCAATATTCGAAAAATATATTAAACATTTTTTTTATTATTTTTTTTTTTTTTCATAATAAACGAATGTCTAATAAATTATGATTAGGTGTAGTTTTTTTAAATAATTGTGTACATATATTTCATTTATTATGAAAAATGAAACATTGCATACAAGATGGAAACATTTTCAAAATCTAAAATCAAGATTTAAAAGCAATATAAATCCTGATTGACAATATAAATTTCGGATTACAAAATTCAGCCAATCCGGATTTTTCCCAACACTAATAAAGTAGGTAATAACTAATAATGTAATAAAATACTTGTTATGCTATAACAATAAATATTATTACGAAATAAAATCATGAATTACAAGAATAAGAATTTATTGAATAAATTATATTGTTCAACAGAAAACAAAATATTTATTTATTGGCCTGATTTTCAGATTCATTTTATATAATCATGAAAAAAAAATGTCAGTTCATCATTATTTATACAATCAATTATTCATTTATTTACAATTATAATAAACAACTATCGATTATTTATTTAAAATGTTATGTCTCTTCACTCTTGTTGTTGCACTACACGAGTAGTAAGAATCGTAATCGCAAAAGGGGTTTTGTCTAAGGTATCGAAAATTTTGAAAATAACATTCATATAATCGTATACAAGAATATATAATTATTAATTTGTATCAGAAAAACATTATGAAAACATTTTCGTTAAGTTTTAAATTCTGACTAAGTTTTAAATGAAATAGTCAAAATTCCATACTAGAGGCCTATGCGAATAACTACACTATCGTGTGATCGCAATACTGTACTCGCGTTTAAAATCGGATTTATGTAATATTTGTAAATTTTAATCCAATCAAATATTGGTAGGTATTTTATTTTAAGGAGGGGGGAGGGTGGAACTGGTGTGAGGTCCAAAGTTTTTCAATATATTTATTCACAAACATAATATACCTATCATGAGACGGATATAATCGTTACATTTATAAGGTACATTGTTTTAATTTTGTTACATATTATACCTGTTCAAGTTTTGCATCTTTAAAAAAAAAACTAGTTAATTAACCTAGACTCTTCTGTGCTTCCCCCCCTCTTTATTCCCACTATGAATAATAATAATAATATTAATAGTTAACGAATTATTATATAGATACCAAGCAAAAATGATATTTAAACGATATTTGTTATAAATACGAGTACTTAACATTTGTATTTATCCATAAAATAAACATTTTATATTAATTTTAATTTTTTAATTTTTTTGCCATCTGATCTATACTCAATAAAAATGGGTTGAATCGAAAACGATTGTAAATACACACAACCAATATTATACATATTTATGTACCTTAATTTCCCCACCTACAGCACCCATCAGCAGAATCAGTGCTTTTTTATATTTTTAACTATTAATCACTCAAAGGATTTTTGTTTTTTTTTTTTTTTTACCAGTTTATTTTATTTTATTTTTCATTCAGAAAAATGTTATTTTAGATTTTGAATTTAGCGAAGAATGTATCGGTTTTACAAAGATGCTTATTTTTTTTTTTTATGTGAACAATTTTTCCACCAAAAAGCTTACTCCAATTATCAAGTATAGCACCTTTTCTGAAAGGAAATGTTTTCTGGGCGATACATTCGCATATTGTTGTAATCTTAAATGATTACAACAATATGTGTTTCCAAGAGAGATATTGGTACAACATTAAACAAATATTATTAAAGAAAATATATAGAACCTATTTAATTATTTTACTATAATATGACATGTATAGTGTTGACAAAGCAACACTATCAACTGAACTCCCCTCAGAATCGATTTTTCGTTATCAATGGTTTGATTTTAATTAAATTGCTTACAGATATACATTAAATTCCTGTCTGTATGAAGGTAGGAACCTTCCCAACTTCCCACCTACAACAATGGCTGTAATAGTGTAGTGGCTAATAATTCTAATATATCAGTAAAAACGTATTTAAGAGGTCCAATTGAAGACATTGGTTCTGGGTGGCACGTGATAATTTTATGATATTATTAATTTATTATTATTATTAATACTTCATAGTTTACAATCATTTAGCACGGTTTAAAATAGAATGTTTTAGAATACAAAGTGTACAGTATAATACGTTAAGTGAGGAACACGAAATTCTAGCGCATTGTAAACAAATTGTTCTTACATAATATATGAAATAGTGCTAAATAAACAGTGCCCCAAGGTACCAAAGATGTAAATACGTAGCGGTTAACCAGGAGATCATATTCCAAATGAAAAAATAGAAATCTAGATGGACACATGATATTTTACAGAATCAAATTCACCAACAAAATACGTATTGACGGTTTATTAAGGCCGACGAAGTTTTATTAAAATCGCGCCAAATTGTTGTAGTATTACATAGGCGATAATAAAAAAAATCGTTTAACATCTATGGCGGCGTGGTTTAAAATTTAAATACACATAAATTCACTATACTCGAAGAACCATCAAGTTTAACACCCCTGCAACTCTTGACTGATTTGCCAAGGACAATAGATTAAACTGGCGGGAAAACACATTTTATACATCATGATAATTGGTCGTTCTCAGCTTGGTGGTAATATATTCGGTAAGTACAAACTATCGATAGAGTCATTTACAGAATCATAAAATCGATAACAAAGATCGATACATTTTAGACATTTTCATAGTAACTCTTCCAAAAACTGTGAAATTTCAATTATTATATTAAATGTGTATATAAATTAATGATATATAAAATTGAAATACTTCCGTCACTAATATAAGTTGAACTAACTAATAACCAAACTAATATTCAATTATATTGCATATAATGTATATATATATATATATATATATATACTCTACCCCTCCTGTCAGCAAGGTCTACACACGCCTATGATTACTATGATAAAAATTTAATAGAAAACAAGGAATCCAACAAAGAGAATGTCTACGTCAGAGAACAATGAATTTCAAGCATAAAATTAAAATAAAAATATACATTTCACACTTGAAATACGTGAAATAATTGTTCACCCAAGGCTTGAGGAAGGTTATCCTGCTGTTAATATAAAATTACCTAAATAGGAAATTCGTTTCTGAAAATTATAATATCCGTTTATTAAGTTGTTTTGCATATCAAAATATTGAGTGATTATTATTTTCGTTGTACATAATTTAAATATTATTGACTAAATATAATATTATAAACGTATATATATTTGTATAATATATTATATACCTACTTATATTGTATACAAATATTATAATATACTCACATCGGTCTTCCGCCCGAGATTTTGATAACAAAATCTAATATGTACCCAGGGATGAAATGAAAAATTGCTGACGAAATCTGGTACATCAATAAACTAGGCAAAAATTTTATGTTCGGATACCATACGGCACTTTGTATGGGATAGTTGTACAAAAATGTCTTTAACATTGACTTGAAATCGTTCCAATAGAACGGATTACACGTGCTCGTGGTACAATGAAATATCGGTGTTTGCCCGACGTATGAACTATAAAAAAATTGCATAATATATTTTATTAAAACCATTAAAATGCCTATAAAACACATAAAATATTTTAAAATAATATTTATCATAATATTATAGTTAAAGCTATGAATGTAATGATTTATATAAAGAACCTAGATAAACATTTGTTTGAATACCATTTAAATAATCATATTTTTATTTGTTATTAATAAGTTTAAAATGCCTTATTTGATCTGAGCCTGATGAATTGATGAGAAAAACATTTCATGTTCAAATTAACTTTTAACTTAACTTGATAAATAATAAAACATTTAATTAATACTTTAACCATGTTATTAATATCAATCATTAACTCACCCAGTATGAACGAATCGTGCACATTATAAACGTTTTTTTTTAAACATTTATAATTCCGGACTCCGTCTTATTATAAATTATTATTATTTTGGTGGTAAAGTTTGTTTTTGTGGACGGGAGGGAGATACATGAGGGGAGAGGGAATAGTAAAAATTTTGTTCGTGATATTACGTCATCGCCAGACTATATAACTTGAGGAGTGACGTAAGCTAATACGAAAATGTTATCTGAAGCCAACGCAATATTATATTAGGTACCACGACCTTCAAAATAAATATAGATTACTAATCACGAAGAAGAAAATAATCATAGATACAATCATTTTTCATTGCAAGCACCTATAATATAATAACAACTATATAGGTACGCCTCTTTTGTAATAATATATTATCATCTTACTCGCCTTCTACTACGTTATTGTTTTATGTAACAAAAAAAAAATTGGAAAATAACTAAAAACTAAAAAAATTTACGGTTTGTCGTTATTTTTAAACTTAGGGAATAAAATTGCAGATCGATATGTGAAAGCAAAAACTGCATGAATTTCACAGTCCTGATCATCTTCAGTGGTACCTCTCCAGACGAGGCGAATAATGCACTGCGAGTGCTTTATCCACAGTTTTCTTAGGCATTAGGTACAAAAATTACACAGTATCCACTATATATATTTCATAAAAATGTATTATAAATAAATGTCATGATTCGAAATCATAAAAATAATTTCATTTTTAATATAGTATTTATGAGTTCTCGAAAAATATGTACTATATATGTATTAAATATTTTTAATTTTCAATATAATTGCAGATAACTGAAGCCTAAAGTTAACAAATAATAATTAATGACAACAACACTTTGGTTTCTATTTCTGAAAGTATATATTTGTCTATTTATGGATCTCTTACCCTAGTTACTTCAAAATATTTGCCACACCACTTATAAAGTTCACGAACCTCTACTGATAATCATATCACATTACAAAGATACCTATATAGTATATATGTATACGCGATATTTACCTGTCGGGCAGTTGACAACTAGACCATGCGCCGGCAATAATTGTATTAATTACTATGTCCACCGGTATATAATCGTCAATTAAAGACCCGTTTAACGGTAAACGCCTCACTACTCCTTTCATGGCACCCATGATGAAACCTTGCGGCCCGTTTTTGGATATTGTCCATCCTTCTACTGGTTCTTTCCATGTGGCAACAACTGTGGAAAATAAAATGAACAAACCGTATGTATTACTATAAACAGGTAACTTGTACAAAACAATAATCTAGCATGAAGTTACTGCAATATTATATAGATACTTTTCGATCTAAAATCAAAATCTATTCACAATCACATTCAAATAAAATAATTACAGGCGACGATGGTGACACAATAATTATTCTAAAATCCGATTGCCAACAAAATGTAAAAAAAAATCAAGCTATAGCTAAACAAAAACTATCAAAAATGTATTTTTACGTTATTATAATATTATTGGTGATATTATTCACAATAACAAAAATATGTAAACAATTTGAGGAAAAATTTCCGATGGAAAACTTTATGTTTAAATAAATTATATTATACATAGTGTACTTACTCATGCTCGGTCGTACTATACAAGTACGAAAATCATGTCTTGCATCGTTTACCACATGTTCGGCCAAAGCCTTACTGAAAGTGTAAGTGTTGATGTGATCTCCCATAATCCTATATAGGTACGAATTTATCAATAATTATTATTTAAATTTGAATTATTTACTTGTTAATAAATATTTTTACGAATACAATATCACATTTTAACTGAAACATGCATTTGTTCGTGTGTTTTTTTTTTTTATATTAACTAAACGCACTTATGTACAAATCTAAACTCTATATTATTTTACAGGCAAGTACCTATACCTGTATCATTGTTCTTATTACCAATTCAATAAAAATTAAATTAAATTTATAAACTCTTAATTAATTTAATACCTATTTCAAAGTAATCAAATATAATTCATATTACTGTTTAGTTTACTTATAATTTAATATAAGTAACATTTTTCACAACTCTAGTAATAACAATAGTTTAGATTAATAACAAACGCTATTTATTTGAATCATTTCATTGATATCCATTAATAATAATTAATGATAAACACTACAAATATAAATATTGAATATAGGTTATACTGACTTTTCGGCAGTGTCATTTAATTGATCGTTATCCATGGTTTGAACGTAATTAATAACATCATTATAATTAGCCGGTGCGTCGTACATTTTTTCTACAGCGTGACTTTTATTACTATTGGTATAGGCACTCGACACGTGCAACAAACACTGAAAAATATACACACCGGTAAATGTATTATGTTAGATGATTCATGATGTTAAAGCTAATTGTACCTATAAGTTTTCTCCAATATTTTTACTAATTTAGGAAAAATTAATTACTGTTGTAAAACAATGGATTATAGGAAAACTAAGTGTCTCCCTATCGTTAAAATAAAATAATAGTAGGTGAGTATTTTACTTGTAAGTTTTGTATTTCTCTACACAGCTCCACTATCCGTTTGGTTCCGATCAAGTTGATGTGCACTGCCGTTTTTAAATCGGTTTCGAAGTCTAACGTGGCCGCACAGTGTACTACGATATTCACGTTATCGCGTAACGTTTTCAAATCGTCGTCTGACAATCCTAATTTTTCCTCGGAAATGTCTCCACAAACGGGTACTATTTTAGTAAACTGAATATCGCTAACGCCGGAATTCTTTAAGACTTCGAACACCTAAATGAAAAATAACCACATAGTACTGTCTCAGAAAATCGGAAACATTAAATTAAATTCTTAAATGTACCAATAAACCATTGCTAAGAAAACACGATTTTAATTAAAATACAATTTATAAGTTTTACCGGTTTCATTAAACTTTAACTTTAAAAACTTATAAAAACAAGCTGATAGTTACTGTTAATGAATGTGATATTGTTTTAGTAGAGTAGTTGGACGGGAGGATATATAGAGTAATTGAATTTATATCTATATACACAACAATGAACCATTCTAACGAAAAATGATTCTGAACTAAGTATTATTAGTCGTATTTCTAATTTGGTGCCAAGGTAACTCAAAAATCGACTATTTTTATAGGTATCAAATAGTATTAGTTTTTTCCATTTATTAAAAATAGTAAACAAAGAGTATCAAAAAATCACTTACTCAATGCACCAACTAGATTACAAATTCTACAAGAAAGTTTCTCTTTATCATAGGTAAAAGACAAAACATATTTTCAAAAATGTAATCATTTTTTTTTTTTTTTTACAATTTTTAGTAAAATTAATTAATTTCTATTTCCAACATCCTAGTACAAAACTTAAAGAATCATAATATGTTTTCAAATTTAAATCCGATAAACACAATTCCAAAAATTGTCTCTGGCTTTTAATTCTTAATCGACTAATTTATACACCGCTATCAACCCTCTTAAAAGACTTAAATTTTTCGATCGTGAGTACTTTTTGGAAATAAATTTCCAATATTTTTCTAAAATATTAAAAAACTGACAATAAATTATATCACGCCTGTTTTACTTTTGTTGATTTCTAAATAATTTTGGATACAATGAAAAAACTGTTGCTATAAATCTATAAAATAAAACTTTTCTCTGGAATGGAGTAAACTTCAGGAAGCAGGTGGAGCAAGTGCCTATGGCGTTGGGATGGTGAAAATTTGTGTGAACCAACAATAATAAACCAACAACTGTTTAGCCAAAATGTATTTGCCCATGAGCAGTAATTTAGCTTAATGCGGTACTGCTCTACTCAGAATCGTATTTGGTTGCCAATATATATCGTTGCTTTCCGTATATAAACTAACTATTTTATATTCTTTACCTTCTTAACTTCCTATCTACAATAGTGATAAAGTGACCTATGCTTGGTACGAATTATGTCCTGGTTTTTTTAAAATTACATTTTGTTTAAACTTATAAGGTTTTCCATTTACGTGTTTTTTTTATTTCTCTATAATATAATGTTTGTGTCCACAATTTTTAGCCCGTTAAATATAATACAAATTAATTTACTAGTATTCTATATACGGGGCCGAAAAAGTTTTATTCAAGTTGTATAAATCAAAAAATGAATCTAAAAAAAAAACTCAAAAAAACCAAAATTACTTTAGAAATTATTTATCATCATGATTATATGTATTAGGAGAAAATAACAATATCGAAAAATGACGACCTATCCAATTCTCCAACTATATGGATTCAAAATCCTAAAAGAAAACGATCTTGAAGAAGAGCAAGTCTTCTGATCGAAAACTCGTGTACAGACGGGGAAAAATCACGTGCACCAAAGCATAATCGACACGCGTAGAATTAAAAAAAAAAAATAAAAGCCCCAGGTATTGGCACATATAATTATTGGACGACTTACCGAATTATTTTTCAAAGCGGTCAGTCTTTCTTCTATGCCTTGTCCCTTCCGAGGCCGGAGCAGTACGTATATATTGCCGATGTCTGGCACAGTCCTAAGCAATTTTTCGATGTAACACATTCCCACGAAACCGGTACCACCGGTCAAAAATATGTTTTTTCTTTCGTAAAACTGCTTGATCGTTTGGTACGGCATCGTAGTGGTATTATATGAGAGGGATATTATGTATACTCTATAAAATACTAAGTCGTCTATATTGTACACTGTACAGTCGGTAGAAATACAAACGATGATCCACGCTACATGAACTACCGCGGACCGGTAGGTATAGATTCAAAAACGATAGGTAGTTCGGTTCGTCCGTTTGCGCGCCAAAGAAAAAAAAAATTAGATAGCCAGCAGATGTGTCGTGAATGAAAGTGAACAAAAAAACTGTCTTCGCTGAGCGTACGCCGCGTACTAAGAGTGAAATGAAATAATAATTTTTTATTATGACGATAGTTATTATTGTAGTATACCTACGCGCTAGCACGTATCGTGCAGCGTAGTATACAATAAAATACATTAAAAAACTGGTTTTACCGTTTCACTATACGAGTATACGATTCCCGTGGTCTAATGACGGCTCCCTGTAGGCACATAGCCGGGGGAAGGGGAAAGGGGGGGGGGGGTTATCTCCCCCCACCCGAAATTTAACCTTCTCACTAAAAAACCAGATATTGGTAATTGGTGATCAATTTTGTGTTTGGATAACCCCCCAAAAAAAATCATAGCTACGTACCATATTAGTTTATTACAATTTCAAATTATTGAATTTTACTGCAAATTTCACTGTTCGTGCTCTTGCACGTTGCTACCTTAAGTTCTGAGGACATTGGTTAGATATATCGTTGTAGATATAACGAAGGCAACGTTTCCCCTGGTAATTATTTTTCAATGATTATTTTCCCACCGTATTAATTTGTATGTAAAAAAAAAAAAAAAAAATTATTATTACGCACGTATTTAGGCTTCTGCATTCTTAACAATAACAATAAAAAACTATTTGTATATTACTTGATTCGGTATACATTTTTCACGTTTTTTTAAATTTATGTGTTCATCAAAAAAATGGTTAAAAAGTGTGACAGTAAAATTGCATAAATAAAATAAGTTATTTGTTGCAATATTGACTGAATAAATTTAAAAATGTATAAATAATCAACGTGCCATTTTTCTTTTCGTACAATGTATACAGATACATGTATATTGTATAGTCAGTTTATAGCCACTTAAAACACCAAGTCTTATCAACCGTGATTTTAGAAAAACAATAATTAAAATTAAAATTTATTAATAACTTAAAATTATAATAACTTAAAAATTAAATTGGTGAGAAATGTTCTGAAAAAATTTACATGGAATTGGCCTACTTTAACAAAAACGGTCGACGGATAAATGTCTGTCACTCTTTCCGTTAACTAATATTTAATGTAAATTTGCCTTCTCTTTTTTTTTCGGACAAAACTATATTTGATGGACGGTCAAAAATTTTGTCAAACAAATAACATTATGGAACGGTATTTTAGTAGTTACTTTTAGCTATAGGCTACAATATTCCTTATCGCTCTCTATAATATCTAATTTTATATGTATGAAATGATAATAAATTCTCCGTGTCAAGGATTGCACACCTCAATAATTTTTAAAGTATTATTTTTTCATATACAATGAATTATTTAATTTGTATGTCGTGTGCACTTGTCCAACTGTTAAAATACTATGGTGATGAAATAAAATGATAGTGCACACTTTGCAAAATACAATTAAAATAATTAACATCCACTACTTAATGGGATAGGTTGGGTAGGTATTATTGTTTTATTAGATATTATTTTATTGTACTGCATTTTTCGTTTTAACTAATTAAACTTTAAAGCAACCATACGTAAATATTTAATTAGTTTTATTAATTCTTAGATATATTCTTATTTTATTTTTGACGTTTCTCCTTAGTAAATAAAACCTCATTTAATAATCGAATAATCAATATTGTGTATACAACAGAAAAAAAATCTAATTTTTCTGATGATTGCACCACTGTTATAAGTGGGAAGTTGAGAAGGTAGGATAAATAAAGTTATCATAAACATTCCCGTTCTTTAAACGGTTTTTTTCGGTTTTGCTCAATTATTAAAAAAAACTGCACCGAAAATCAAAAAAAAACTATTTTCTCACCTACCAACTAAATCCAAAATACAACAGAAAAGTCTCTCGTCATTTTCTGATTGGAATAGTATTTCAATATTTATATATTTTTATACATAATAGTAAAAAGATTACATTTTTTTTTTCTAACCGAAAAAATTGTCACGATCATCAAAAAAAAAAAAAAAACGCAGAATTATAATATAAAGTTTCTTTATACCAATATAGTATGCACGGTGTCTACGAGAAAGCCACCGGTTGTGTACAAGTCGGTCTTGAGTATATATTACAAGAGAAAATGAATCGACGTTTATATATATATACCAAATAAAGGAATCTACTATATAATAACGTTCAAAGTAATGTCGTGTTATACAATATATTATTGACTGGTACTTACTGGTACTATATAAGTATAGTTTCACATTATTGTTATTACGGAAGCCGTATAGAATTTTAAATCTGACAAATAATTTGGTAATAAGAATACGCGCCGTTTTGAATATTTTCCGGTCCGTCGCGCGCGTGATTACCTGTATTTCAACGTGTATAGAATTGAATATTATTATTATACAACGGATTTTTGACGACTACGTGATCGGGAAATTCGGTACCAGTACGTTATCCTAGGAGGGAACGGCCGAACCGGATAATGTATATGCTAAAAATGCCGGACATACTTTGCACCGTGGGTTGGCTACCTTTATAGGTAAGAAGTTCGGAAAATATATATCGCTATTACAGTATCTATAGAGAATTAAAAGAATTTCAGAATATAAAAAAAAGACGAACATACTTCGCACGTGGGTGCAACCACTGTTGTAGGTGTGATATTGGAAAATTAGAATACAGACGAAAGTGTAATGTATATCTGTAAGCAACGATAAACCATTGCTAACGAAAAAACGATTCTGAGCAGAATTCAGTTAATAGTGTTGCTTTGTCAACAATATATATGGCATATTATGGTAAAATAATTCCAACAATATGCGTTTCCGTGACAACAATGATTATTTAAAAATATTTAAAGTAACAAAAACTTAATAATAACAAAAAATAAATAAAAACGGTTGCCAATGACAACCGTATTTTTAATCTTTCTATCTTTTTAACCTAAAGAACCCAGTTTTTCTCATTATCTCGAATATTAATAAGAATTTCAAAAAATGACCTCTTTAAAGTACTATTCAGGGAACATTTCTTTCCAAAAAAGGTTCTTACTTATTGATAATCAGAGTAAGCTTTTTGGTAGAAAAATTGTTCACAAAAAAAAAAAATTGTAAAACGAATACATTCCTCGCTCCGCTCAAAATCTACAACTGTTTTAAATAAAATACCGCTGTGTCAAAAGGAAATTGCGTATGGAAAAAATCAAAGCATTTTTACTAACAGGAAAAACGTAAAAAAAGACATATTTTAGTAAGACAAATAGTTTCTTCACTACACTCAAAATCGAATAAATTAATGATAATTTTTTTTTTTTAAGGAGTAATAAATTGGCAAAACTATATAGATACACAATGAATTTGTCCTAATAATGATATATAATTTCCATTTATCTAATATTAGACGTCGCAATTTATTGATAAATATTTAAAAAGTATTAAAATTATGTATTAACCTACTCGTACTTTAATTAGCTTATAAAAAATATTAATAATAACGGCACTTAATTATTTAGGAAATTGTATAACACAATGAAATACAATTAGTTATGATTCTTTATAATACAAATGTTTCATTAATAAATAAATTTAATAATTAAAATATGCTGTGTAAGTGCAGACCCAAAACAAAAAAATAATATTTTTCTGGTCTAAATTAACAATTATTGACAGATGAGATTCTGGAAATTTTAATTTCTATGAGTCGTGATTTCTTTAACGTATAAATTCTTAAGGAGTGTGCTCCTAAAATTATAAGTCCCAATAAATTATTCTTAAATTAGCATATTTTTTTTTTTTATCCGTTCCAAAAGTTAAGTTTTCAAAATGTAAATTTCCCGCGGTATTGATGCGTAGACACGATTATTAGCTTACAATACAATGATAATATAGTACTATTAATACTCATGTATTTACTCACTAGTAAGTATATCTCTAATATTTATACAAATTAATGTTTTTCAGTGAGTAGGTGCAAAGTATTTTAAGTTTAAAAGTTGAAATATATATCTAGTTAGGTTTAAATAGAAAAAACGATTCTTTATTGTTAGTGTTGAACTAAAAATTACAAATTTAATTATCTATTCACTTAAAAAAAAATTGTTAAGTCAATATTTCAGAACTTTTCAGTAGAGAAAAAATATACTGTAAATGCAAGATCGAAATTTTAGCATTTTGTCATAATTTAAGTACTACAAAACTTCTATGTGTTGTTTTGCGTATTGTTTAACATAATTTTAGATTCTGAGCAGAGCGAGGAATGTAATGGTTTTACAATGATATTTTTTTTTTTTTTAATTTCGAACAACTTTTCTACCAGCAATATTGCTCCAAACTATAATGATAGCACTTTTTCTGAAAGGAAATCTTACTAGAGTGGTACTTTAGAGAGGTAATTTATTGATTTTCCCAGCTGTTTTTATAATTAGGAAATTTCATGGGAGGAATAGGGAAGGGCTACAGATAGGCAATTTATTATCCTTCCCTACTCTTTCGATCTTAAAATTAAACTATTTTAACTCATAAACAGTAAATCTGATATTAGTGTTATGTATATCAAAATTTCTAGAAAAATATTCAAATCTGTGTTCAAAAGGGTGATTCCTATTGGAAAATCAAAAATATGTAAATATTTAAGGTATATGGTGTAGAGGTTAAAAAATTAAAAAATTTTTTTAAAATAAAGTTTAAACGATTCTGTAATGATTAAAAAAAATTACAAATCAAATTCATTTAAAATCCTCTGAGATAATTTCTGGTTCATAATAAATAAATCACCCTGTATTGTTGATAAAGTAACGCTATTAACCGAACTCCGCTCAGAATCGTTTTTTATTAGCAATGGTTAATCGTTGCCTACAGATATACGTTAAATTTCCCCTCTTCCTACCCAATTTCTTCTCTACAACAGTGACCCACTCATGTGCGAAGTATACCCATCTTTTATATTCAAATGTTCAAAATTTGACTGTTTTTTCAATAAATTTAAAAAAATGAAATAAAAAGTGTCTTCGCTTATTATGCACATCAATTTAAATAACTTTTCAGTGATTTAATTACTCAATTCACACTAAATTCAGGAAACTTATTATATGGATTTAGTTGACTTCAATTTTCTTACACGACGCATTGGCAAGTTACATTATGGTGCAGTATGCGGTTTAAAGTAAAATGCACGAAAAACGGAAAAATCGTAACTTATTCTAAAACTCGCATAGCAATAACACAATATTAGAAAAATTGACTTAACATATTCTACACGAAAATTAAAGATTTATTATGCTTTATTATATTTCAGGAAAATGTGTTATAGTTATAATAGTATTTTAATTATACGATACGCATGTCTTTCGAAATATATTATTGAAATATTAAGATTGTACGGAAACGAAATTTTCACACGAGTATCTAAACATTAATTATTGATATACTTTTGTGAAGAGTACCGACCTAGATGCGTATTTTCGACGTGCATTTTCCAAATATGTAAATATTAAAAAACTATACCCACAATAAATAACTCGTAATTCGTATTACTCGTACCACCGTCCAAACTTGTTTTGTAGCCACTACAATATAATAATATGTGACGGTTTTAATATATTCCAATCGCCTTGGCGAGCAGCTGTTATTCGTCTGTACCTATACATATAATGTCGATCAAGTCTAGTACGAGCAAATATTATATTTTCATGTACCTATAACCGAGCGGCCGAGTCGATGAAAATAAAATTATCTGTACGTGCACGACAATGACTTTTTCCAATGAGTTTATCGTCTGTCTTGCAGCGTTGTATATCATTGCCGGTTATACCTACAACAGCAATGCCCACGGTGAGTACCTATCTAAATAAACATTTAATTTAATTTTTTTTTTTTCTTTTATTATATTCGTTTATTGTATACAAGAGGCTCGTCGTTATTTATTCTCGTCCAAAACATTACGTCATGATGTGACGACGGTTTTTTTGTGAAATCACAACACGCCACGGTCGTCGTACGGGACGATCCACAATAAAAGGTGCTTTAAATACTTGCCTGTACTTCCAGTCTTGTGATTCAATACGATAAAATGTGAAAATTTGGGTTGATTTTTTTTTTTCAAATTTATCTCGTATTTTCAAACACATATTCCCAATTCTCTCGTATGCGCATTCAAATAATTATCGATAAAATAAATTGTATAAATAAATCAAAACCAACTAATGATACTTATCGTTGCAGCCGTTATTTAATGTTATTTATATACTTATATAATGTAAAAACCGAGTTCCTGTAATATTATTTTTATTGTTTTACCTACCAAATATTTAAATAATAATTATATAATATGTTAGATATGTTCAGGTTTTCGATTTACTTTTAATCTACCGTTTAGGTATAGATAAGTTTGGACGCATATTATATTGAAAAGATGTTCGAAGTGAAGACATTTTAATGAAAACATACTGATTAATTGATTTACGTGAACATAATATTTTGACGTACAGTTATAAAATATGTGAATATTGCTTTGATAAATTTTAACGAAATATTTGTATACAAGCGTATAATTATAATAATATAATAATATAATATTGATATGCAAAATTATGTTATTGACTGTGATATTATAATATATATATATAACATTGTTATTTTGTGGTGGCAATTTTTTTTTTTTTAAATTTATTATCGCTGACAAATTGTTTTGAAAATGTATCTCGGAATTCATGTCATGAATTCGAGAATAATGAGCCCTGGAGCAAACAGTAAAAGTGGGCCCCATTGAGCATATTATAAGAGATACGTTCGATTTTCCGACAATTGATAAGAAAAAATAAAATCAGGTTCTCCAACATTGAGACTTTAAAATCACACTAACCCGTATAATCGTTTATGTATTTATATTAGGTTTTTACCTAATTGTTTGTTAGGTTTATATTAGGATTTTTTTCTTATCAGTTATCGAAGAGAATACCCTATCATTAAATAATTATTCGTATATGAGACACGGGTTAAATTTATTTTTATTGCAAAAATACATGACCAGCAGTATACCTACTGTTATAGCAGAGAAAACCAAGTGAAATTTAGATTAAAAAATTATTATACAGTTTAATATAAATATAATTTAGTATTTAAACAAAAATTAAACACAATAGAAAATAGATATTTTACTTGTAAGAACCGCATCGCGTGACATTTCGTATATCTAAGCCCGTTCACTGTGTTTCCATTTGTATTGTTTAAAGGCGTGTTGGATAGGATGCATACTAGCTAATATTATGACATTCACGTAACAATTATAGAGATAATAATATTTTTATTATGAACGATGTACAATAATTTATTAATAAAAGACAAAAAATATTTGCAAAATCGGCGTCCCCGTCGTTATCGTGCGCGTAAATTCAAACAATGTACGTGCGCAAGAAACCTATCTACCTATACTGTCCTACCTATTTTCGCCCAGTATGTTGGGGTGCTAGAATACGCATACGGCGGTCCTTGGGCCTCTCGTAAGAGACGACCATCCAACATTCAGAAGATAGCTAATGGTCGTTGAACATTTCTGGGCATAAGTAGGGACGAGGGACACTGAAAACATGAACAAGTTTCTAAAAATCCACATCGGTTAACCACTAGCCGATCGGTTCGGTGACCAAAATAATAGTAGAGATCCCTGCAGGTACCTCGGGTGAATCCACCAATGATCATTAATTGTTACAACGGGAGAGGGGGAGCCCAATGCACGCCATCGATTCGTCGCCCCGGTCGCATGTTCCTGTTAATGAGTCTATCTCGACCGAAACGTGATGGTTTTGAGACCAGCGCTAAAATTATAATAAAAACCGTCGACCAAGCCGAAGGAGCCGAACGCAACCTAATTGCATCCCGAAGCAGTATTGTACGACTTGCCGTTGCTGGTGTTTCCTAAAACGTTATGTAGGTGACCGTTTGAGGGATCCAAAAAATCTGGATATTCTCTGTCCTACCTACAATTATTTCAGAACAGTTTTCGTTACCTAAAACAAATTATATCCTTAAATTCGGTTGACGAATAAATGTCACGTGAAATTATGAAATTTTATAGCAAAACAATTATTATTATAGATAGTGACAAGCAATAAGTTTTTAAATTTCAATTTTAAAATATCTAGTAGATAATACCGTTTATATTAATAAATCTTTCTCAAATGTCTAATCATGTTTACGGACACTGTCTCGAAATCACCAGCTACTTCTATTAAATATAAAAAATACTATACAAGGTCTTCCAAATTTTATTTTACAGCGAAATTTTCCATGAAATACTTATTTTATTAAAAAATTACTTATGTGAAAACTTTTTAAATCATAATTCAAAATGTAACAGTCCTTAATTTAGTTACCTATGTAGTGAGCCGGACTAGATAGTACGACTCAAAACCATATATCGACACGAAGTCACCTATGACTGACAGCTTTTCAGTGAAAAAGTTTACTATCTCCTGAAATAATAATGATAATCAAATTCTGTCTTTTCATATTATTTATTTTAAAAAACTCTATGAAATATCTTCAATTTTTTTAAAAATAATAAAACAAAAAGTTTTTTACCGTTTTATCGATTTCAGATTCAAATCTTCAATCAGAACAGCCGAAAAACGAACCATCCGGAGACTGTTTAAATTGCATTTGTGAAGCTATGTCATCGTGTAACAGCAGTACTGGTTGTAGTGGTGGGGTGTGTGGCATTTTTAAAATCACGCGAGATTACTGGATAGACTCTGGCAGACCAGTTAAAAATGGAGATAATCCAAAAAACAATAACGGTAAAAAACAAACAAATATGTTAATTGGTTTTTTTTTTTACTTAGTTATTAGGACTATTAGGTTTTCTGTTGAAAGAAAAAAAAACTGATTCAATTATCGATTATTATCGATCAATAAACGTTCTCGTGAGATTAAATTACATAAAATATGAACACGAGCGTTTCACTTTTTAATAGGATATAATTTAACTGTATGTAGCGTTGGTACAGTTTATCATAAGAGGTGCTTTCGTTTTTATATTATTTAATGGTATTTGTCTAATATTTTTTCAGCGTTTGAGAAGTGTGCCACCGATCCGAAGTGTGCAAGAAAATCAACCACAAATTATCTGACCAGATTTGCTCAGGTATCAACAAGTTCAAGTATTTATAGGTTCAGTGATATATGATAATGAAAGTATTGCGGAGGGCAAAATTAATAGACTCATAAATGGCTGTAAGATAAAGTATAGAGGAAAGCTACAGGTGTGATTTATGTTAAAAATATGCTACTAAATACATGCAATTTACATGATATAAAACTGTTTTTATGTGAGGATGTTGGAAGTATTGGACATGGAATAGAAGAAATAAAATATAAATGGAAGTAAGAGAAATAAGAATCATTTGTAGTCAGGTTTAATAGGTATAGATAAGAAAACATAATAATTGTTGATATTATAAAAAAAATAAATAAAAAATAAAAATAAAGAATTAATATTGAGATGGTTTTTGGGAAATGAAAATGTAAATAAAGTAAAAAACAATTAGATAGTCAAGCGAAGCTATATAGGTTATGGAATGATTGTGACAGATATAATGAGGAGATGTGGACATTTAACCCTCACCGGTTACGACAGGATTTCAGGACGAAGGAGTAAACTGTATAATATTTTGTTATTTCTATTTATAAGGACTGTAACAACGACGGGACAATTGATTGCAGTGATTACGCGGCCATTCACATGCAAGGAGGGTACGGATGTAGCGATCCGTTAGACGGGAACTACAAGAGCGTTTACGAAGACTGCATGTACCACACACTTGTCAACGAAGTATTCAGCAAAGATGTTCCGCCACAGCCACTACGCCCTTCCACGAATAACCCAAACGACGACCGTGTAATCTTTCCGAACTCGTAGAAAACTTCACACGTATCATAGTCCGCAGACCTAGTACCTATAGTGAATTGCACTCTGATCAAAAATTAATGGGAAGAAATCTCATAAGCAAAATAGGGTATCTATAAAGAAAAGATGAAATTGTTCTCGTGAAATCAGTGTTTCATAAATTATTTTATAGTAAAAACACAATCAATTTTTCTAGCTAGATACCTCTTTTTGTTTAACAAAATGCCTAACTTTCTCACAATGGTCATAGAGGATATAGAACGAGCAGTTCCCTATAGTCTATAGTATGCATACCATACTATAACGCTGTAAATATTTTTTATTAACTGATAATAAAATCTACTTTAATATACGTAGTGAATAATGATTTTTTTGCTAATATTAAATAATATGTTTCAGCCGAAATATGATAATAACATAATTCGATTGGCGGCTACTATAAATCGTTCATCACTCAAATTCTTTTACATTTTAATAGATTTTGATAATTATTTTTATTTCCCAGAATTAGTAACTTTTTTCGTAGGTGAGGCTTGAATTTTTATGTAAGTACATAATTTTATTCAATATAGATTTATTAATTCTGATTAAAAATGTGTACGTTTAATAACACTCTGAATGAAAAATAATTTTTTTATTTTACACAGTGTCGGTTTAGCACACCAGACCATTTTTGTATCAAATAAACTCTTATTCAAAATTGCATTTAGTTACAGCTAATAACAAAAATATACATTATTTTACCTTTATTATCATTAAATCAATTCGTTCAATTTAGATTAAAGTGAATTTATTTAAAGACGACGATGATAACTACAAAATATTTCAGTTTCTAAACTATCAACATCATTTGTGAACGGTACGTGAAAGAATTAATCATGTATTAGTGAGAAATGAATGTGACTTCGTGGTGAGATTTAGACTAGGCTAGGTTACGTTTTCTTTACACATTTCAATATTATGGTAACAAAAAGTATAGTAAAGCACGATTTAAGATAATATGGTTTCCCATCGAGTAGAGATAAATCTGACCTACAGATCCAATCTACAAATCCAATACAAATTTTCGAGCAATAGTTAACATTCCAAACGGATAAATATCCAACCATTATCATTAAGTGTTTTTTTTTTTTATTGAAGAACGTGGTATTCATACCAAGATAATCGATATCGTCTTAAATCGTGGTGACAATATTAAAAAATCTGTGAAAACAGATTATTAGAATCTCTAGTAGTAGATCGAAACCGTTGATTTCTGAATTGAACTCTGTGGTCACAAAATGAATAGGTACAATATCACTCATGGATGGGCCACTATATTATCTTAAATCGCATAGTGAAGTAAAAATGTATAAAATTAAAATACAACTAGACAATAAATTTAATCACGCAACAGAAATCAGATTAATTATTAATTAAAATAATAATATAATAATAATGTATAATAACCGAATGATTCCTTATCGATTTTTATCATTGACCAATCACAATTAAATAAGTCTATGTAACTTGTATACATATGTATTAACTATGCCAATGACTTTATTCATTAGATAACTATTTATAAAATAAAATTACATTGATAATAACTTTCAAAAGGTTATCGAAAAACAGGATCTTAACTAAGGTTAGATTAGTTATTTGCATTCCGTTACAAGCAAAGCTTAAATATTTATGACAATTTTTATTTTTGGTTCAAGACATAAAAAAAATTTAATTCTTACCATCTGATATAACAAGTATACCCCATTTTCTTCGATCGACGTTGAACAGTATTTAGCCGTACTTTTAAATTTAAAAATCTCCAAATGTAGGTATGTTGTTCCAAGAAGACAATGAATATGAATAAATAAAATTTAAAAAAAAATTTAGGTTCGTAATAAATTTATGTATACAATACTTTTGTTGTACGATTAAAAATTAATATGTAGGTTTGTTAAATATTTTATGTTTTAATGAAAAAATTTGGCGAAAAAAATAACAAATACATATTTGGACTTTTTTATTACACATTAAAATCCACACCTAGGCGCCGTAGTCTTGGGGCCCAATAATTCTCAGTGTAGAATATGGATACTTATAATTGACTGAAATCGGTAAATATTTTATTATACGTGTTACCTATGATCTCCTGTTTCTACAATATCGTGCACATTAATTTAATCGTCTAGTAATTTCAATTAATAACCTTTTTTTTATGTATCTAATTGATACAAACATAATGTTTTCCAGCTATTTTGTGATATTAATATTTTTTATTATAGCATTATGATAATATATTATACTATATACCTATGTATATAATTTATAAATACAATTTTTAATATACCTTTAACCTAATAACATAGTTTAAACTGATTGATTATCAGGTATATACAAGATTTGGCTTATTCTCGATTAAATAGAACCATTTTTTTTTTTTTGCATATTTTAAACATAATAAATAATTTATAGATTTTTAAGAAATTTTGTTAATTTTTAAACTTAAATTTATGCATTTTTTCATATTTTAAAATTTTTTACTGCATATAAATCCTAGCCCTAGATATAAGTAATAATGTTCTACTGAGGGTCGCATAATAATTATTTCCTTTCTTAGGGCGCAAATAAAATGTTTAAAAAAATGCACTTTATTTAATGAATAATTATTTTTAATATACTTATAGCTTCAAACTGTAGGCACTGAGATAGTATTATTAAATTATTTCCAAACGTACCGATAATGGCGAATACCGCAAAAACTAAAACTGGTCAGTGCGTAACACTGACCGTGGTCCTTGTGTTGTACCTGCAGGAAACAAACGACTTCGAAACCCCTATAATAATTTCAATATATGGTATCTAAATAAAAATGGATACCTATATATCGATCAGTTGATTCACCGTACACATTTGCACACGATTCGTATCATCCGCCACAGGTTGTCAACAACCCCAAAAATATTTAACTCGAGGGACCGAAAATCACCCATTCTGATGACTTGTTTTTGTGTTTTATTTGGAATAAGGCATACAACATTATTTTACTATAGTTATGATAATTAATTACTTTATTTATTTAAACGATTCTCACATTAAATTGGATACTATTGGGTACTATTGTGTATGTTTTCAATACATTTTATTATAAATTACCTCGGTGGCGACGCGAAGTATTTTTACCTTGAATCACCGATTTAATTTTCCACCCACCTACCCACCCATACAAAAAATATGTAAATGTATCAAATTTCCGCAGTTTAAAATTCTTTTAATGATTTTTGTTTTGTAAAAACATAATAATTTTTGTTATATTTCCGAACACGCAGTCACCCACGATCCACCTACGTCTTTTTGTGGATCAGGTGATTCAAATACACATACTCCGTACCACCACTGATTTACCTACGATTGCTACTAGTGCATAATAATATAACACAAAATATAAGAGTTAAAAAATACATATTTTTTGATTTTTTTTTTTTCATTATACTTATCATAAAATTAAGTGCTAAATATGTACCAGACATACAATGATATTAGCTCTACTTAATATTTAATAAACAAAGCAAATGTATATAAATTAAATATTTTGTATTATTATTCTCTACGAAATGCGCGATTTTTATAATTTAATAATTAATATACAAATCGAATCGTTATAAATTTAATACACTTCTATTATTTCTAATGGATATATTAATTTCTATTTAAAAATATTTATCTAGATAGATTAGTAAAACACAAATACTATAATTTACTTAATAATGTATAAAATATAACGAAAAACACTAATAACATGTTTTAAATAGTTTAACAAATATATTTGTTATGGTAATAACTTTCACAATATGTCAATATTCAATATATTTAGCAAACAATAATAATAAATAAAACTATGCGCACATTATAAAATCTAAACAAACCTGAAATGTAACAATATTTTTCTCTTTTAGTTATTATAATATTAAACTTATAAATTATATTACATGATATTAATACAATTATATTTTGCTAATACTTAACTAACAAAAATACTGTAGGTGAACAACGTGGATTCAGACGTGGATCAAGAGGAATGGGTTTGGTCCGTAGTTTAATTTTCTATATTATAATATTATACTGATATCATTTATGTAATCGAATTTAATTTCAAGTTAAATTATAGTTAGTAGATTCGTGAAATAGACAATACGCGCGATTTGGATGCGACTAATAATTGCGACCTACGGTTAAAAATATAAAGTAAAAATGTATACGGAATGTTCTTTTGCAAATGTATAATTAAATATTTTCATACGTGCGCAATAATTTCACTAAGAGAATATTATTTTTAATACCGAGTACCATTAGTACCAATCCTGTACAATAATTCTGAATCCATGTCTGACTATATTATCTACATATAAGTACGTTACACTGATAATATTAAAATACAATTATTCCTTTGATTTAAATTTATACAAATATAAATATATCATGATAAGCAGTGGCGACGCGATAGTAGATCTGCGAATCTGAAGATGGTCAACGATCGCCGGTGGTTATTTTAAAATAAGTAATAACTTACTATAAATATGAATTTATTAGAATGAATTAATACTTGAATGATTTTGAGAAAGGCGTTAGATGAAGAATTAAATTAGGTAACTCGATTTTTTTTATTTTGTCAATAAATGGGTAAATTAAACAATAAATATTTCTGTCGTCTTACGCGGATATAATAAAGTGCGCGCGTTGCCACTGGTGGTTTGATGATAACTATACACATATATTCTCTCTCAATTTTTTATTTTATAGAATTTTTATTTTCACAACGAACATTTTTAAACTCGAATTATTTCATCTTGGTAAATACCAATGTGGTAATTCGGCCAAATGTCAGAAATCCAAAACAAATACACCTACGTTTTATTTTTTTCTTAAATATTTAAAATATAATAATAATATTATGTATCAGATAGGTAATTACCTATCTGATAACTTATATAACTTAAAACTTAACTTGAATTATAACTTATGTCAAAATATACATATAATACAACATGAGACTATTACTATAGTTTGTAACTGTTATTCGTAATTCATAAATACATTCAGGTATGTAGCCAAGAGGCGGTTGTCTATAAGGTCTGAACCCCTCCCTCCTCAAAAAAAAAATCCTGACTACGTACCTCAATACATTTGCAGAAATCCATAATTTATACTATTATTACGTTTACTTTTTTAATAACAAACGAATTATGAATTTGAATTTAAATTAGCTATAATTATACATTTAATTAGCACCAATAAATTTCGTTTGAAATTATGTTTGTTTCAATTGCCATTATTTTGTCAACGATTTAAAATCGATGATAATGATGAAACACTATAACTTGCACTGAGATCAAGAAAGCCATGACAATTTTATTTCTCGTCATTCAAATAATTTTATACATTTTAAAATGAAAAAAAATCAAATAAATAATAATATATGTTTTTAATGATTATACAATATACAATTATACAAATGAATTACCTCGCGAGGAGAAATTCGTTTTGAACTCGGTTATAACATTATGTACAGGTGCTCTGTGTATGCGCGCGCGAAAATTTCTAAGATAAGATAATCATGATAGTAATAATTTAAACGGTTGATAACGGAATCGTGATGTAAACGCCGTAGGATTGATAGAAGATATCTAAATTAATTATATTAATAATAACAATAATAAATAGCAACAAGGTAGGTAGGTAGTATAAGTGAAAAAAATGTGAAAATGAAAAAAAAATGAATACACGATATTAATTAATTTTTACATAGATTCTGTTAGAAAATCATTGAAAAACTTTTCTGTCAGTTCTTGCGTACATTGCTGCCACATTTCAGTGCCAATATTCATGATCGCTCGGTTGACGATTACGCGTAAATTTTCCATATCACCCGTTTGATTTTCATGGCTTACCTCGATCTTAACTTTGTTCCACAGGGTTTGTACCGGGCTATAATCGGGATGGAATCTCGGGAGTCGTACGACTTCGTGCTCCATTTTCCCAGCTATCGTGTCCAATTCGTATCTCCACGAAACTTGTTCAACGGTATATTCAGTTCCCTCCTTTCGTAACCATCTGCGAAGTGCAGCGAGGTCAGCGACTCCACTTAACGGTTTATCATCACAGAGGGACGACCGATAAGGTGAATTGTCCATTACTATGACGGACGATTCGGGGAGCTTATTCAACAGGTTGACGAACCAATGTTTAAAACGGAAATTAGTAATTTGAGAACGGTAATATTCTGCCGTGCCCCCACTCGGTCGGAAGATATGTTTGGACACGACCCCGGTTTTATTGGAAACAGCGAGAAACACAATGAGCCTGCCGAATTCGGGAACCTTAGTAATACTGTTTATTTTCGGTATGATTTCAGGCGAATTCGCGGAGGAGAGATTTTGATTAATAAACGCCTCGTCAATGTATATTATTGGACGAAGGTCATTCGTCGCACACATCCGATTCAAGAACTTCGACCGCAAAACAATGGTGTCGCGGTGCTCAAATTTGGATTTATATACGGGGTAGAACATTTCATATTTTAAATCATACGCACGTATAATCCGTCGTATGCAACTTTCCGACAGGTATTCGATCCCGTTATCACGAGCTCTATCTGATACCTCCAATACGTTGGGGTATTTATAATTAAAGTCGGCGGCCAGTTTATTTATAATTTTTCTCATCGATTCAATGTTGTAATCGTCCACGTTATCCAGTTTGTTTTTCGCCAGCCGGTAATTTAAACTCGTTGAAGCCCGATCATCTATCGCTGCCATTTCTTCTTGCTGTGAAATTTGTTCTTTAAGCAGAGAGTCAGCGGCCTTGGACAGATTTTCGTCCGCCGCCACAAGTTCCTGCCTCGTGTGTTCACCTCGCACCACTAAATCTTTTCTCCATTCTGAAAATCTCATATTGAGCACCGCGTTTAACACAGACGTTTCATAGAACCGTTTCCATAATTCGTCGTCGGCGGCGATCCAGAACAGGCTTGTCGCCTCGGTTACTCCGGGAAAACCGACGTCGCAAATCTCGGAAATCATATTCTCGATGTAGTCACGGTCTGAACCGCACTGGTGCAAAGGATTTTGCATGTTAGCGTTAATCATTATTACGTTTTACTGCGCGCGCGAAACTTACGGAACGTGGGACCGCAACGGAAGACGAACACTATCGCGACTAACGGACCGTCGTCGCGGTCCGCCGAGGCCCGAGGGTCGTGATCACTAAAACGGGTGGTTCTGGGGCTCCATCGATTGAACACCTGTGCGTCTCTGCGCCTGCGCGTCGACCGCAGCCCCACCCTCGAAAATCGAGACAATTAAAAACGAAAAATGACACTGTACAGGTATCGATATTAAACGTACAGATACAGAATTGAATATAAGCCAACTATAAATATATATTTATTTATTTATATATATATATATATATATATATATTTATTTATTTATTGATATATATATATATATATATTTTTTTTTAATATTATTAAATATTATTATTTTTTTTATTTTTTTTATATTTTTTTTTTTTATATAAATATATATATATATATTGTGAGCCGACACAAAAATTAACACTGTTGTATACAATATACTTTTTACATCTTGCACGAAATCACGCACAATCATGGATATATAGGGCTGGAAAAGAGCACCGAAATCGTATACAACATAATAAACTTCGTGTTAAATTTTCAAGCATTTCCGTTCAGTCAAACAATTTTATAAACAATATTTATTTACACATAAAACCAAATAAACAATTACAAATATCTATTATGAATAAAAAAAAATTTAACATTTTACCACATTAAGCTATTTCAGGTCTCTGCGGTTAATTTTAATCGAATAACAACAAAAAAGTAAAATAAAAAAAATAATGGAACCGATAATGCAGTAAACTTTCCCGTTATTCTCAACTATCGAGAAAATAACATGGAATAAAATAATGGTTCTTTCAACAACAACAAAACAAAATTTTCTTTTTAAAAAGATATTACTTTTAAAATTTGGAGCAAACCTTCGAGTAGAAAAAATACTGATACTAGGGATAAGTGTTGCCACTGTTGTAGATGGGTAGTGGGGAAGGTGGGATACATAACGTTATTTCATTTATATCTGCAAGCAACGATAAACCATTGCTGACGAAAAACGATTCAGAGCGCAGTTCGATAATATATAATTTGACCATCTAAACAACTTATGCTTTCAGAAAAGTTGCTACACGTAAAAATCGGAGCAAGTTAACTAAGAAAAAACGTGTCCACAAACTAGAACAAAAAACAATGAACATCTCAGTAAAACCATTGATTTTATAATATACAGTATATAGTATATCATAAAATCAATGGTAAAACCAATAGCTCCCTCTCTACGCTCAGAATCTAAAATAAAGATTAAAAAATAATGAAACTTTTATTATTGTTGTAAATTTGACCTTTTTTTTTTCTTTGGTTTTTCCAATTATTACGAAAAAATAAAAACCTCCTTTATGCACCAACTAAATCCATAACCCTACAAAAAGGCTCTTTTGTTTTGTTTAATTAGAGTAAGATTTCGATTAGAAACGTTGTTTACAGATTCAAAAACAAAATATAATAATAATAATCATCACATCGTGAACCAATAAATTTTTCGCTATGCTTAGAGTTGAAAAACTGATGCCAATGTAAGCTAACTAAACTTCTATGATACAATTAATTTATTTTATTTCTAAAAATGACTAGTAAATTAATTTGTAATTTTAAAATTTTATGTTAATATAAAGTCGGGTTTATAGTTTTATAGTTCTAAAAATCATAACCGTTAGTAACTGACATAATATTTTACAATCTTAAACACCAAAAACCTGAAATAAACTATAAATATCAAAAAAAAATGATAATTAAATAAAAACAAAATTGATTTTTATAAAACTGAAATTGTTTAGGACTAGAGCCTTATTTTAGGATAACCGTATTATTTAAATTTTTAAAGTATTGAATCGGACTTGGTGAATATCAAGATGGGCGTGGTTAAAATCAATTATATCCCACTTATGGAATGGCAGCCCTATAACTCCAAAGAAATTTAAAAAATGGTCACATTTCACCAACTAAAAATATCTATTTTCTACTAGAAACTATAACAAAAAAAACGTCTTAAGATAATGGGGACGGGTGCATCCACTGTTATAGATAATTTAATGTATACCAGTAAGTAACGATAAACCATTGCTTACGAAAAAACAATTCTGAGCGGAATTCAGTTAATAGTGATGCTCTGTCAACAATATATATGTTATTTTATAGAAAAATAATTAAATAGGCATTACATGTTTTCTATAATAATATTTGTTTAATGATGTACCAATTTTTCCAGTTTTCCTACGTTTTTTCCGGTTCCCCATGTTTTTTTTTATCCCGGTTTTTCACATTTACTGGGAAAACTCTTGGAAAAATCGAAAAATTATACATTATACTCATATTAGCGATTATTTTTGCTAAAAATATAATAATGTACCTATTATAGTACTGTAAACTATTACTTTAAATACATAATTGTCAAATCAAATTATTTCTTTATAAAAAAAAAATGTTTATAGTAGTATGTAATGTATTATGACAGTTTCATATATTTTATTAAATCAGTGATTTTAAAATTTAAGCCCAATCGAATTGCAAAATTTAAAACGGTTTTATCAAAATGTAAACGGAAATCTTTAACGTAATAAACGTAATATAATAAAAAAACAATTTTTGAATGATATAATAAGCTTGTTCCAAGTCCCAAATTATAATAAATTTGTCACATTTCCTGTGTTAAAAACATATTTTTGAAAGTCACTATGCCTAGTGGTTCTCAACGTAATATCAATGGTGTCTACTTACCACATATGTTGTTACCTGCTTCCGATGCGGTACCTATGCCTGATCTAACAATTTTGTAACTTATGAGTAAGTTATAAAACTTATAGCCATTGCATATTTGTTTTACATTATTAAAAAAAAAGCAGAATAGAAACTAATACGTTTTATTATAAGGTAAAACTAAATTTGTAATTTTATTTTGCATGTAATTGAATACTTAAAATTTTTTTTTTCAGGGCACACATATTTTATGTTTTATTTTTTGAAACATATTTTATTTAATTAATAATTTTATTTTTATTTTCTCTAATAACGTTTTTATTGCATTCAATATAATGCATACAACCAAAAATGTTACATTCAATTTAGATTCTGAGTAGCGAGAGAGCTATTGGTTTTACTAAGATATTTATTTATTTTTTTCTATTCTGTGGACACGTTTTTTCCAAGTAAACTTGTTCCGATTTTTACGTGTATGAACTTTTCTGAAACTCAAGTTGTTTAGATTTATTTGATTTTTAACACCATTTTTTAAATTAAAACACTTAAGGGGAAAAAAACGTAGGAAATCGAACAATTTCACGATTTCATTATTTTATAAAAACACAGACGACGTTTTCTACCAGAAATATGATTTAATCGAAAAATCAGACACCTTTTTTGTTGCCTTTTTGATTTTCTTTTTTAAAACTTTTGAGCCACTTTTGAACTTTTAAGGAATTTTAATTTTTGGGAATTTTGTTGTAATTGAATTATAAATACTCGTATAAACTTGAAACTTGGTAATAATACTTATATTGGACTTCCCTATATACGTGGTAAAATTTTCAAAATCATTGGACAACTTTTTTTATTAGGTGTTTTGAAATCAAATATAAACGAAAATCGCAAAAAAAAAAAATACGGCACTTCAAATTATGTAATACCGAACTGCGCTCGAAATCGTCTTTCGTCAAGGAATGTTTTATCGTTGCTTACAGATATACATGAAATAACCTTATGTATCATACCTTCCCAATTTCTCACCTACAACAGTGGCCGCTCCTCCCATCCCCAGTATTAGCTCTTTGTTTTTTTTCTGTAAGCCACTATTCTAAAAGAAGACTTGCTGGGATTTCTACGTCTCACACATTTTCTGAAAGGAAATTAACGTGGTAAGGTACTTTAGGTTGGCTATTTTTCGATTTTCTCAAGATTTTTCTCATTAAATTTGAAAAACCGTAAACAAACCGGGAAAATGTACGAAATGTAGTTATTTGTTAAAATATAGTATGGCCTTCCTTTCTTTCAATGCACAACTTTTCTACCAGAAATTTTACTCAGACTTTTAATAATAGCAATGTTTCTAAAAAGAAAATTCCATTGGAAGATACTTTAGAAAGGAAATTTTTCGATTTTCTCAGGAGTTTACCCCAGCAAATGTGAAAAACAGGGATAAAACATGGGAAAACCGAAAAAACTTAGGAATACTAGGAAAATCGGTACATCCTTAAACAAATATTATTAATGAAAACAGATAAAGTTAATAAAAGTATAGCTTACACAAATATAATATAAATAGAAGTATAATAAAATAATTATATATAAAGTATTATATATTCACCAGCATAAACATTTATACTGTCAACTCGTCTACATGATTTAACCCACTTCTTCTGTACACTTACCTCTTCAGGAAAACTGTGTAACATAATTCTTATTTTAGGAACCTTAGATCCCTTACAAGTTACTATGGCACATTTAGACACATTAGAAGTCAATGGATTCATAGATACAATAAATTGATTAAAACACCTTGATAACTTTAATAATTATATATATTTGATCAGAAATCAAAAATTAAATAAAATAAAATTTATATAATAAAAACAATGCAACATAATACCAATGAATAATATTATACAGGGTGATTCTTGTGTCACACAATACCTATTATTTCACAAAGTATTTGCAGAATATTTTTCGGAGTACCTTGATACATAAAAATCTAATTTTGGAAAAGTTTAGATTGACCTATGAGTTATACCGACTTAGTAATAGTTATATATACTACCTACTCTATGGAAATTTACATTGTAAAATAATAAGTGTTGTTTGATGAAAAAAATCACTATATATAGGTATACAGTATGCACATATAATAAATATTTATATATATATGAAAATAGTCATATTTCAGGGCATAGTTGATAAAATATTGTTCATTCCATTTACATTCAGTAGAATCTCATTTTCGTTGAAGTTGCTGTCATACCATGTTAATTATGTCATGGTTTATCGTTGCTTTACATTAAAATATTATCGTTGCTATACATTAAAATATTATAACAGTAGCTACACCCGTTCCCATTATCTTAGGACTTCTTTTTTATCATATAAAATGGTTGTTGACTTTTCGGATGTAGATTTGAACATAAAACAACGGGTGAAAAGAGCGTATTTAATTTGAGCGAAAAGAGAAAAAGAATTTAAAATTTTTGGGCAAACAGAGAACATGGGCGAGAAGAAAATGATAATTTTTGGGAGAATGGGGTTCCGTCTTTTTCCTCTGACCCATGATCCATGTAGGATACGTCAATATATTCACATTAATGTATTCTGTTTTAATAAATGGTTGACTAAGCGTTCGATTTGCAATTTATTTTATTTTTAAAGTTAATTATTCTTATGGACAAAATGCCTAATGTTAAATCATTATTATCTTCATAACTAAGAAATGTTGTACCTGAATAATTCGGTCCAAAAGTGTTTTAATAGGATGAATACATGTTAATCTTAAACATCATAAAACCTAAAATATTTGTTTTGATATTTTTTAGAATTCGAAGAAATATCTGCGAATTGTAATTACTAAATACCTATGTAAAATAAATTTAGTAAATCATTTTTTTTTTTTTAAACCAAGTTTTTAATTTCAAATTGCATATTTTTAGTTATTTTATTTTTCATAATAATACACAATTGGTAAATTTTTAGAGCTACAAATCCACTGCCTAACTTATGAATTATAATTATATTCCAATTATCTGTGTATATTTTATGTAGAATTTCATTTACGCACGTTTACATTAGAGAATTTCTAATATTGTACTTACAAATTTCAATGTATCTTTAAATCATGTAGAGCAAATTAAAAAATATTAATGCGGAAGACGTGAATAAGGGTATAGCTAACCCAACTTGCATAGGATAAACGCAAAGAGGAAAACAGTTATAAATTACTCGTTTTCTATATTTCATAATATTTCTTTATAAATTTGTAAGTCGTTCAAATGATTTTCATAACTACATAATTACTAAATTAGAAATTAATAATAGACATAAATTTTAATAACATTTTCTTTAATTTAAATTAATATAAATTTGATTAACACAAATATTATTGAGACACAAATACTAGTACACAGCATATTTATACTATTTATGAACTTAAAATTTGGACCACAAGATTATATGAAATAATTAGTATATTGATTTGAAAGGAATTTTCATGCTTTCAAACACCTACACATTATTTTTAATCATATATAACTCGAACTTGAACTCAAGTATTTGTGTGTTTTATCCGTTGACTCGTCTCAACACCATGTAGTATGTATATAATGCTTTTACAAACTAAAAAAACAATAAATAAACATATTAATTAATATTTTTATAAATAATTGTAATGATCGACCATTTAACCAGTTGATTCAATATAAAAACAAAATGAACTATTTAATTCTGAAATCGTTGTGGATTTAACCAAATACCTCTATATTAAAATAGTTATTCTGTGAAAATGTCAAGTTTATATGAATATTTTTAATCAAATTACAACAAAAAACAAAATTTAAAATAATCAAATCGTTGTTTCCGTCAATTATCCCACGCTTTTTCTGGTTTCTTCAATTAAAAAATGAAAACCACTTGAAAAATTAAAAAAGACCTCCTCAATGCAACAATTAAATTCAAAATATAACAAATAAAAATCTATTGTTATTTTTGTTGTTCCATAACATAAAAATAAAAAAAAACAAACCATAGTAAAACCGAAACAATATACAATACGCTCAGAATCTAAAAAAAAAAACATCAAAAAATCTAAAAATATTAAACTAACTAACATAATACATTGAACAAATCTTACTTTCAGGAATGATTCGTGACTCAATTTATACAAGTAAAAACCTGTGATAACAGTTGGGTTAATAGTTCTCGATATCATTGCAGTTAGTAACTGACGTATTTTTTTATTTGCTTGCCACCATGGAACGTTGTACAGTGCTGTGCCAACACTTAATTGCTGAAAGTAATCATAAAAAAATTGCTACGTGATATTTTCTCCGTTGCACGTAAAACATTAAATTACAATATACAGAGTGATCCACAAAGATACGATCATTGGAATATCTTATAGTAGCAGATATCAAATTAAATTCCGGATTATGTAGTCATGTAATATTGTAGAGCTACTTGTTTTATAAATTGTAAACAAAAATTCCGAAAAAAAAATTAATACTTTCAAGTGATAAATGTATAATGTGTATTTACGGACACGTATTTTTTAATCTGCTTGCCACCAAAGAACGTCATAAAATACTATGCCAAATACCTATTTAATTGCTAATATTAATAACTAAAAAGAGCTACGTCTACGTGATATTTTCTCCGTTTTATGGAGAAATATTAAATCATATTGAATATTATGATGTTACGGACAAAAAACAATAGCGAACTTTTTAGTGAGCAAAATTTGATTTTTCCTGATTTTCATCATTAGTCGTAAACTATATATATATATATATAGGAAAAATTTATTTAAATATAACGGTTACAATAAATATAACGGCTATAATGGTACAACTTACTTTTTGTATAATGAATTCACCGAAAAAATTGTTAAGAAATTGGTGCCAAGTACTCAGACCAATGAATCCTAAAACACTGAATGTTTCAGCTACACCAGTACTGAGCTGAAATCAAAATGTACAATCGTTTACAGAATTTTATTTTTAGCATAAAATGCAAAATAACCAATATAATAAGTACCGTCAACTGGAACAATGCAAATGACACCTATATAAACCAATTGAAAATTTAATCAACATGCTAATAACTAGGCGTACAAACAGATAATAAAATGTATACCTAAGAATCAGGATATGATGTTTATCACATTCTCGGAGTTTGGAGTAACATGCATCTTGTTTTTGTGTATAACGCGTGATCTGATCCGTACACGATAAATTTTCAACTAAAACATGTGCATAAATGGATAGTATTTCATTTTTAACTATACTATACTTACCCATGTATACTAGGTAAACAAAAAATAACGACAAAGATAATATGAAAGGTAATATTTTTCATAATTCAAATACCTAGGTACTCAAAAATTGTCATTAAAATACTATTCTTCCACAAATTATTATTGATTTTGGACTACGAGTAATTATTCTATTTAAAAAAACTCAACTACTGTTCGCACTCACTTTTTGTCAGAAAGTTTTCAATACTGTCTAAAGACAATTTTAATAATTCGATTTGACCGCCAACAGCGTAAATAGCACCAAAAAAAAACGAATCGATGTTCAAGTACATGAATACAACAAATGCAAACGCGAGGGCATGGCTGAAGAAAATTACCGAGAACATCCATTTCTCGTGTAACATGAACGGTATCCAACAACATAAAGGGTAACTCTTTGGATCATTATAATATTCAAAATCCGATCGATCGCTAACGGGGGGAAAAAAAAAAATTATATTTCATAAATATTATAATTACGAAACTAAAAAGTAATGGTATTCATTCTACCCCTTTGGATAACTCAGTATCGGAGATAAGCATATAATTGTCGTCACGATTAAACCAGTAAACATGTACCACCAGGTGATTTTTCTCGTTGGCTTCATAAATTCCACTTCAAATTCATCGGCCGCGTATTCACCGTACGCCACCCGCCCTTGAGCGTGTATTTGAGTCAACGTCGAATTGAGTTTCGCGAATTCCTCATTGAAAACCATCATAAAAACCCATTTGAATATGCCCGACATGAACAAGGTCCACACGTCTATAGTCCGAGCCAACATGGTGAGATCTGTGACCAGGCACAGTTGTACAGTCATCAAGACCGTGACCGTAAATGTTAAAACGAAAATGAATCCACGGTACAAATCGTAGACAAACAATATCCATTTTGACGATTCGCTATGCAAAGAAAATATACCGATACACTTGAGTAAATTAAATGGCAAAGCGAGAAAAATCATTACTGTTGAATAATACAATCGGTTAAACTTCAAACTTCGTGAGTTCGTCTGAGCAAGACGGTGTTCTCAACACAAAATGTTCGTCCGTTTTATTATATTATGTCATTTATTTGTCTCCAATTCGAAATTTAGATATGTAGGTATATAGATGACTCTATACATTTATGCGTAANTACCGATACACTTGAGTAAATTAAATGGCAAAGCGAGAAAAATCATTACTGTTGAATAATACAATCGGTTAAACTTCAAACTTCGTGAGTTCGTCTGGGCAAGACGGTGTTCTCAAAAAAAAAAAATAATGTTCGTCCGTTTTATTATATTATGTCATTTATTTGTCTCCAATTCGAAATTTAGATATGTAGGTATATAGATGACTCTATACATTTATGCGTAATGACATATTATTTTCTAACGTTAATATAAATCAATACCAAACTGGCATTTAGATGATATCCAAATATAATAGAATTTTAATGAAACCCACTACTGTTCAAAATTATAGGTTGATAGTTACGATTTATATTAGAATTTAGACTATCCAATGTATTATTTGTATTATTTCTTATTAAATCGTTACTTACTTTTTTATGATAATGGCATATTTTTGGCCTAGACAAACAGCAAATTATCACAAAAGATTGCGAATTGAATATACCTACTTGTACATTATGTGTAGACGAGTGAAATTTAATGTAGGGATAATGACAATAGACGATATAGTTAACGATTAATAATTGCATTGGAAACACAATTTTTAATAGATACAACAATATTATTAAAATGGGAATGTTTATTTTTTTTACGCACATTAACAGGTAGGTACAGAAAATCAATGCAACAGTAGGTAATGAAATGCACACTTAATATTCCTTCAAAAATGAATTACATAAATTGAACATGAAATGTTTAATAAATATTATATACTGCGGTATCACACACAAAGAAATGATTTAACTAATGTTGAATAAAGATTTAATACACTAAAATTTTTTATTGGTTTTCTAAGAAGGGGTAAGTAATATTTTTTGTTTCGTTATTTTTGTACAATTTGTTTACTGTTATTACAAATATATATTTTTATTTTCTCAAAATGAAAATATTCTAAATTATATATTATTATTAGTTGAACATAAAATGATCCATTAAATAATATAGCCATAAAAATACCTACCTATTACTTTTTTTCCATATTACAGACCTACAATATAAATATTATATTTTTAAACATAATAATTTAATATCCATGCAAACCATTATACTTGACATAAATCAATACCTAACCATTTCTAAAAGACAAATTTGTCGAATTTTTTATATAATAAGCGGTAAAATAATAGTTTTTGGAAAATGGAAAATTCCAATCAAACTATAGAACATACAAGTTGACATAACTTATAGATGCAGCTTTGTTTAAGGTGGGAAATTTGAAAGATAAAATGTATAAACAAATTTAATTTATATCTATATATTACATAAATTATTACTACTGAAAACAATTATAAACTATGTTAGGTTATTCATTTTTTTTAAAATGCAGTTATTTTTACAATTTTTATTGAAATTTTAACTTTAAGTACTCATAAAAAATAAAAAACTAACTATATTATACTTTAATTTATAATAATTTATAATTTTTAACACTCAGTACAACTTATGTTGAACTTGTGTCAAATGTTTGACAGACCAACAAAATTGTATCGGCATAAAACAAAAATAATAAAACTTGAAAACTTAGAATGGCTATCAATAGGTAATAAATCTTCAAATGTTTTTCTTTTATTTTACAAATATTAAAATTATCTCACCAAGTAGATAAAAAAATTTTTAAAATATATGATACACTTGATGATTAAGTCAATATTTCTGGTAGAAATCTTGTTACACACACACAAATAATTAAAAAAACCTGTTATTCAATCCAAAACAAACCCATTTCACACTGCACCTAAAAAATAAAATTTACTCAAAAGTACAGTATTCAAATTTTGAGTCAGAGTATATTCATAAAGATATGATCATTGATATATATTAAAAAAAGTTGATTTTTTTTTGTATTTTTTTTTTTTTACAATACCATTATTTTATTTAAGTAACCCGACTACCTACTTTTGATTTTCTATAGATAATCTGTATTAAAAATACATTAATAGACGAAATATTAGTTTAAATTATGGTATTAAAATTCTTGATTTTCATCAGCCCGTTGAGAAGATATTTTACTTATAAGATTGGGTAAAGTAGAGTAGCTAGTAGCTAAGCATTATTCAAATTATTCAAACGCCACATTCTGTACTGCCACACAAATAACATTCCACTACTTTTCCTCTCAACACTAGCTTCTCCTATACTATCTAGTATACAGCACAATAATACTAATAATTCATATTACAAAACACAAGGTAACTATTACAATTAATAATATTTAGAAATTAACTTTATATTTTAAAGTAATACAAATTTGTATAATTTTCATCAATAAAAATATAAATATATAAGACATTTTTGGTATATAAAAATATAATACTTAATACTTAATATTTAATATTTAGTCTTATAAAATGTTTAGGATTCTAACAAATTATGTAAATTTACATACTTTAAGTACAGCCCCACGGAAAGCTTTGCGTTCCCACGGTGCCAATATTAATTTCACAATTTCATCAAAATATAGTTACAAGTTCAATAGAGTACATGTTGTGATTTGAATGATTAATCACTATATTAATTTAACTACAGATATTGCATTTATACATTTTTTTTTATCTTATTTGTCAATTTTACTCCATATAATATCCAAAATTATAAAAAAATGTATAGTCTGTTCACTCGAAAATCTTTTCAGAATATTTTATTTGGTTAGAATAGCATATGAAACTTTCTGTTAGTAAGTCTATAGTGATCACTTTGTAAACACATAAATTTAATGATCTATAAATTAATCCTCTTTAGTGTGAACCAGGACAGGACTCTTGGAAGAAAAATTCAATTCATTTGTTGACTACTAATATTCAAATTAAAAAATTAGTACCATTAAACCTACCCGAGTAAAATCACAATACTCCCAATCAAAACCGTGGATATCGTTTCCTATTGCAAAAACGCAAATTTGCTTTCAGTGGGGTCTGAGCTTTATTTTATCATTTTAATTGATTCTGGTATTCCAACACCAGCCTTGCTAGTTGTCCTTTAGAACCGGCATTTCGATTTCTGGATCTCACACAGTCACCATATAAAGCAGCACTCATATGGTCCACAATATTGCCTTCGTACAATTCACAATGTCTTTGTTTATGCCGCAATCGTAGTCCAGACTCTACAGCTCTAAATATATGACATTCACTATATGCTACAAACATGGAATATACTGATGGGTTAATCATGTTAGCTTTTTTCAAAGATTTACTAGTGGACTCTGACAACAAATGTTGTATATCACGGTCAACTCGTACAATGGGAATTAATGATTCTGCACGTTTTCTACCTAAAAATTATTGCATAATATGATAATGTATTATATTCAACTGCCTTTAATTATTAAAATATTATACTCACTGGTAACATAATCTTTTGCATAAAATGATAAATGTTCAAAGTCGAATGGATCAAAATGACCATAATGTTTGTTTACATCTAAAGTAACTTGTCTTGGGTATGTCATGAGATTAGGATCATATTCAGAAAATGGCAAAGCGCTAAAAATCTGCCATTCCATTATAGTATTCATCCTCACCTAAAAAATAATAATAATAATTATAATATTTATTTGATGAAACAATATAACAATAATTTTAATTTTAACTTAAGATTTTATACAACATTTATTTCTGTTAAGTACTTTAATTAGAGCTTAAGAATACTTGAACAATATTTATTAAAACTATCACTTATTATAAAATAAAAACAAAATTTTAAAATAGTTTAGTAGTTAATATCTATACACTATACAATACTTACTCTATTCAAATAATCTTGTCGAATTTCCATTTTTGGTCTGGCTAACATCATTAGTGCATCAGGAGGAAACTTTCTTATTGCTAAATCTATTACTGCAAAATCTAATAATGCATCCCTTAATGCTAAAAATTTTGTATTTGGTATTCTTACAGACAACCATGCAACTTTGGTACCATCTTTTTTGTGTGCGTTAGTTAACAACATCGCTTCGTCCTTTAACTGTTTAAACACATCATCAACTGCACCTTTACCAGGAGCATTAGCATCATATAACAAAATCTAAAACAAAATATGTATTTAGTATTAATTATAAAGTTACTTAACTGTTATATTGTTAACTTTAATAACCCACTTACCAACATTAACATTGTCTTTTCTTTTTTTTCAATACAAATTTGTTTATACTGTTTAAGAAAGTGAAAAACATCTTCTTTTTCATTTGTGTGCACAGGTAAGAGGATATGTACACGGGTGTTTTCAGTTACATAAGGAACAGATAACATCTCAACTTTACCAAGCAACTTATTAACTTCAACTCTAATAACAAATTAACAACATTTTAAATACAAATAAATGAAATAAAAGTAGTCTTTTAACTTTTATACGTTTTATATTTTTATTTATATTCTACAGATGCTGACTGAGGTAATTTTTCTGGCAGGAAGTTTTTTTTGACTGGACAGAATAATTAACCTCACAGAAGTTTTTAATTTGACAATTATTTGTTTTATACACTGACACATAATATTTAAATAACCTACCATGGGTTACTTATTACTTACTATAAATACTACTTTTGTATCTATGTGAATATCACTTGTTTTGTTCAACAAAAATATTCAATAATTTGATACAAGAGTATCGTAAATTGATATTAGTTACTACTAATTTGTACTAGTAATAAATAAAAATAATAAATTAATGTCGGTTTATTTATATAAATGATTCATAGTTAAATTTATGATAAAGTGCATAGGTAAAAGAGTTGGAAAAAACTAATACAAATTGACTAAAATTGTTGAACAGTTTTATCAAGCCAATAATATTTTATTGGAAATAAATACCTAAATAGATAGCTGTTTACAATTTTATGAAAATTATAAAAAACAAATTGTGTATATAAATTTGTAAATTTTTTTAATAACCATAAGAACAACTTTTGATGAACCTTATATATTAAATTTTCAAACATTTTTGAGAAGCCAAAAAAAAATGTAACCACAGAACCAAAACAAAATTTCAAATAACTAAAAAAATACCAACATCTTTTGAAAATTGTACCATGTCTCAAAAGAGATAATATAAATATTCTTTAAAATCATCAGCTTTCTATGATTATTTTTCACTGATTCAACGAAAAAAAAAAATTGAAAATAACAGAATCATTTTTACGTTAACTTTTCCTTTCTTCTCCGATATTCAGAAAACTGCAAGGAAAATCAAAAATTTATATCATCAATGAACTAACTAAACAAAATTCTCTACCAGGGACCATCTATGATGTAGATGGAAGGAAAAAAGTTGTTTAAAAGCAGAAAATAAAAACTTACTAAAACCAATATTCGCTACGCTGGGAATCTAAAAATATAAAATAAGATTTTTTGTACCTTTGAATTGAATATTTTTTGAATTATAAAACATCAATTTGGTTGTCCAGATAATATTGTCATCTACAAATTGTATAATAAGTATTTTATTTCTAATTTCAATTGTAAAAGTATTTCCATTTGTTTTACTTTAACATAATTTTACTATATTGCCTGTTAAAAAAATGGAAAAGATTTCACACTAAAAGCCCATTAATGCATATTATATTATAAATTGTATTTTTTGGGGAAGAAAAATATCCCTATTACCCACATAATATTATGCATATACATCATATTTATTCTAATAAATTATCAGGCAATTTTATCAATATTAATTCTAGACTATTGTTTATTTTTTTTATTTTTTTTTTAAAGCTAATTTTTTCTATATATACTGATTTTCAGTTAGGCCACCAGGAATCCTTCTGATATTCATCTGTCCAGATACCACTCCTGCCATTGTTAAATTTGAATAGACATATATTTATTTTATTAAATATGACCTAACTGGGACTATTAAGAATAGTTTGATATAAAATTAAAATATTATTTTCATTCCATACCTTTTTTGTATAAATTTATCACCAATAATATCTTTGAAGGTCAAATCCAATATATAGTCTAGTCCTCTAGATGGGTCAAATCGCTTGTAACCATTAACCAAATGATCAAATTTTAAATTGTTTGAATACTTTAATTCCAAATATTCAATGCTGGTGTTTAAAACATTCTACACAAAGTATATATTTTAATAATAAATATATTATTCAAGTTTATTTATATAGAATAATTGCATAGCCAGGGTTGATCGATTTGTTCGGGGGTATCTGGATAAAATAAAGAACGAAAAAAATCCAAACAAATTAAGTTGTTAACTTATTACTTTAACAGTTCTTAAAATAATGATAACATTAAAAGATAAATTTAAAATCAAACTTTTTGAATAATTATTAATTTATTTTAACTAAACCTGTGATAAACTTGTCAAAAATAATATGTTTTAAAAAAAGTGGTTGATTTTTTTTTACATATTTGGCCAATTTCCTTAAAATAACAACCCTGTATGTAACAACTCATATTTAGCTACTACAAAAGGTTCTTACATGTATGTCAATACTTTCAGCTTCATTCAATGGTCTTATATTGCTTAATCTAGAATCCAAATACAAATGAGTATCTGTGAAATGTTCCCACTTCAATACATCATAACGAGTAGCTGGGATATTTCCAGGCTGACTTCCAACCGGCCAAGTTACCTTCCTAAAATTTGGTGGTTCTAAAACCGATTCATCTACAATAGACCGCCGTAACTCTTTGATTTCTATGTTGGATTTTTCTAAATTCATTTTACAGAATGCTAAATGGGTTTTATACATTGTTTCTGCGTTTGGCATTGGATATACAGTCAAAGCTTGATGAAAACTTTCTTGTTGCTGTAGCTGATCAAGTAAATTAATCAGATCCTTAGCTTCCCACAGGTGGTAGCTACTTATAGATCGACCCTAAATACAAATATATAAATTTATACATACTTTTTTTTTTTTTCAATAAGTAAGATTTTATTATCACTTACTTGAATTGATGTTTGACATGGGAGATTGATTGAATGTAAAACGCATCGACCAAAATTATCATCATCTGAAGAAGAAAAAGCATTGCGCACACACCATTTAATGTTTGGGATCATTTTACGGATAACAGAGTTACTTAAAAGTATTCCAGCATCTTAAAAAAGTTTAGATTCATTAAGAGTTATAATTCATTGAATACATTTGTATATTGCTAATTTTACCTACCTAATGAACAATAATTGGTACCAATTACAGTTCCACTGGCATACACATCTTCACTGACACTAACTTGTTTAACTAGGTCCATCAACTTGTCTGCATTTAAATAAGTATTATCTTTTATTAACATAAAAAACTCATATTCGTCTAAATAGTTGTCAGAGATATATTTCACCATGTGAAATGGTTTCAATACACTTCTACTGTCTGTGAACCCAACTATGCCAGGTATTTTCATCAATGAAACATTTAATTTATGTCCGTTGGCAGCATCAACAAAAAAAATAGTCTTGTCAACCCAATGTGTGACAGTCTTGTTAACAGCAACTGCTAAACCATCATCGGACGCTTGGTTGGCTAAAATACCAACAAATAATTTCTCTCGAATACCAAGTTCTGTAGAATAATATCTTGGACGTAATATAGTTTGTGGGATTTTTTGAGCACGCTGCGGTTTGCCGGCCAAATTAATATGAGGTTCATATTCATCATTAACAATATTTGAACTTGAATCACTCTCAAGAACCGATATAGAAAACAGACAACCAGTTTCTAGTAACGGACCCACAATAAGACTGATAAGTAGACCGATTGTCACACCAATAATCAAATAGCAGTTTTGCCGCAAACGTGCTGATGAGCACAGCATATTGAATCTAAACATAAAATAATCAATTAAACAATAATAGTATTATGTAGGTACCTATATATTCATAATAATAACAATAAGCTAAATTAAATAAAAATTAATTATAACTATTTAAATTGGTATGGACAGTGAACTATTTGTACAAATATCATATTAATATAATACTTACATAAATTAACTGTGCCATTTTTTTATGCCAAGAAATTGTTTAAATAATATCATTAATAATAAACCTAAAATTTTAAAATACTTTTTTAAGAAATGAAAAAAATAATAGTGTAAGAGTCATGATGACCACTAATTTTAATTAAACAATGATTGTTATGAAAAAAAAAATAACCTACTTAATGAAATATATATAATAATAATAATTTGATGCCTAATAAAAGTATCAGAAATCAATATAAAAAACTAGAAAATAATGAGTACTCAAAATAACAAAATAATGCAGTGATGGGATATAACGCATTCATGCTGTTTGCGATTTTCTATTAATAAACTTGTGCATGAACTAAGCTCTTATTTTTTATGAACTTGAAAATTGTTGGTTTATTTTTTGACAAAAAGACGTTCATTTTTTTTTGTATGGAAATGACCGATGTCTTTAAAGATAGGCTTTAAGGGGGAAAATAATTAATATATATCGGGCATTGCGTGTCACTTTCTTACTGATAAATATTCATATTTTCTTAGTTTCCAAAAATATCGTCAATGTATCTAGACAATTGATGATTTTTAGAGTGTTGCATTTTTATAATTCATATTTGACCACAAATATGGGTCACTCTGATTCAAATAATAAAATCAATCGAAGTATTCCCAAAATAATTCATGTGCATTGAAGTTATATGGTACGACAAATGCATTAATATATTTGTTAATGAAATCCTTATTAGTTAATACAGAGTGATCCATAATCAATTTTCATATGGTTTTAAAAGATATGGTATGCTAAAAATTTTCGGATATAGGTATTGTTGATATTTATGTTAGGAAATTAAAAAAAAATTGGTAACTATCACTAAAAGTGATATAGATTACACAATATATTTTAATTATTTTTTTTTCTCTTAAAATATACCTTAACATCGACCATTTTTGTACAAAAGAAATATTTCCATAAAAGCACCTTTTATAAACAAATGGAAAAACACATGTAATTTAAATGGGAAATTTACAGGGAAACTTAAAAATTGTCTTATGAAGCTTAAATAGGGTTCAATATTTATTTAAATATTTTACAATAAATTTAGGTGAAAATAATCAAATTGAATTGAAAATTTCTCTATCACCAAATAAGAACCACCCTAAGTTATATAAATGGGTTATTTTTATTTAAACTGTACGAACATGAACTAGTTCAAATTTAAAAAGGACTTTCACACCATAAAAATTGTATTGAAGTATTAAAATATTATTCTGAAATAAACTGCAAGTGAACAACAATCCGATGAAAATAGATAATAGGTACTTCACTACTTACTCATACGACTTGGACATAGAATTATTCTCAAATGTCATGCACATGCATTTTTATATACTATCTATACACATACCTACAAACAATGTTTTGATCAAATGTTCAAAATAAGATTGACCGATATACCTATAATTTAATTTCAGAGATACCTATCTAATAGGTACCTAAAGGTTTAATGTAAAATCTGTAATGAAATCTACTCGTTAACTGAAAACTCACTTGTATTGCCTATTTTATATTAATTAATTTTAATACATTTTGCCCTTGGTTTGAAAGATGAATTAATATTTAATCGGCTGCAATACTGTACAATAAATAATGTAATAATGATTTTTTTTTCATAACTGTCTGCAGTTGACTTAACAATTTAACAATAAACGAATGCAGTTTTGTGATATTGCTATCATACGACGTAGTATCATCACAAAATAGATTATGAAAAACCAGATGGTGCACGACTCCGGGTTGTGATAAGCAGTTGTCCGCAAATGCAACGTAGCCAAATACTGTACATTTACAGTATTTGATGCAGTGCCAGCGCCCCAGCGACAATATTAACAAACTGCATAAAATAAAATCCTACTCCTAGATATAATGTAAATATACATTTATTATTAGATATAATATCTTAATCCGCGATTTATTGTCCTGTTGATTATCTATATTTTATAATATATATACGAATATACGTAAAGGTTAGGTTAAGTACTTTTGTTCTACTATCTAATGCCAACGAGATACTCACGATTGGGCCAAGAAAATTGTCATATTTTAAAACTGTAATCATAATTATAAATTTATAAATAATAATAACAGCTGTAGTTATTTAAGTAGGTCTACATGTATAATATGAAAAAATGTACCTACTCGACTAAGACTCCATAATTTTTCATCGGCCCATTTTCGTCAATATAAGTAGCGGTTCATCGGGAAAATCAAATCAAAAAGTTTTTTAATCATATCATAGAGGAGAATACCTACTATAGTAAAAAAACGATTCCGAAGTTGGCAAAAATACGAACAAGCCATTACAGCATTTTATTGTGACAATGCGAATTTATATTATAATAATATTGAATAATATTCTGAAATCTGAATAATTCATAATATTTATTTCACGAACATCGGCATGGTGTAATTTGAAGTACATTGTAAAATCAATGGTAGTACCTAATCATTGTATATCAGCGGCGTATCCACAAGAGGGACTAGACACCCAGAACACCCTTCCCCCTTTTAAACAGACAGCCGTGAACCACGTGGAACTGTAAAGCAGATGCACTTTTATAGATGAAAATAAAATTCTACTTAGAAATCACATTCTGCAGTTTGTGTACATTTCTGGAGTCTGGCACTTTTCGGTTACCTATCTCGATCACGGTTATAGTCTATAATCAGATACCTATACCAACATTACCGCGATCTCTCGACTACCTAAATGCGATTGACTACCGACGGGTGTTACGACATTCGGTAATCTCGACTAGCACAGGTGACTATTTTGGTCCTCTGTTACCTACCCGACGTGCATGGGCTAACAAATCGTGGGTTTATTTTCGATTTAAAGTCCGACATGAGCTCGCACACCTCACAATATTTTCGGCTGATTGACGTGTGCGCGTTCAAAGTACGGTTCGCTACGGGTGCGAGCTCATGCATAGGCGTGCTCAGGGGGTACGCAGGATATGCGGCTACATACCCTGAACACCGGGCCCGGATTAAGGGCAGGGCATAGGGGGCTACGTCACCGAGGTCCACAAAAACCGTATCATGAATTGAATCAAGTGTCTGCAAAATATGTACGTTTTAAGTAAAAATTACATTTTTAATTTAACAGTTGGTAGGACGTTTCAATATTTGTGTATATTTTTTATCAGTTTTACGAGCTTAAAATAACTTTCAGGGGCACTGTCGGTAGCTTCTGCATACCCTGAAATAGTGGCCTATGCCTATGAGCTTATGTCGGACTTTCGAATCGATCAGATCTCCCACCCCCGATTTTTTAGCCAAACCACGTCGGGTAGGCCAAAAGCACGGGGCCGAAATAGCTTCGTCGAGATCATGTCGGATTTGGAAAAAAAAACCATTCGATTTGTACAGGTACCTTTTGTAATAAGATTTTTTCGAGATAACCGCGAATTGTGATTACCGGCAAAATCGCAGGTAGGTATAAAACCGTATACTTCCAATACTCGATGGATCTTATAAATTTATATGTGCAAAATCGTATGGGTACTACTCCAAAATAATGTTTGGAAATAACCGAAGTGTACCCGTTTGTTTAACACTCGCCACGCATACCCGACACACGTGGCAATCATAATATTATGACCATAAGCGTGCGCAGACTTTTGGTTCGGATCGTGCTCGAGAAAAAATAACTTATTTGGAGGACCCCACCCCAAACAACTTTTGTTAATTTTCAATACTAGAGTATGCGAAATAGTTAATTCCGCGCGCTGTCTTTAGTTTCCATAATTATATCGATTACCTAAATAAATATCGTACATTCCAAAGAAGTAAAAGTTCCTTGGTCGAATCGTCAAACGATAATCACAGTCTATAAATAAATAACTCGGGTAATTACAATCAAGCCGGTATATTAAGTAACACTGCCGTAAAAGACGATAAGAACGAAATCGGCGCTGACGGCATAATGTGGGTACGAATTAAATTTCAAATGAATGGTTGGCGGGCAGGGGAGAGGGAAATGGCGATTTTGCAAAACGTAAAACCTGCCGTTGTGGACGCAAAGCATAACGCGAAAACGTGTGCCACACGATTTTCCGGCGGTGCCCGGCACGCCCGTGATCATTGCCATGATGATGTTCGCGTTCGACCTGCCGGCGACGATAACGGCCAATAAAACTTTATTTTCGCCGCTCACCTGGTGCGCCTACGGAATCGTACCACGGGATTCTGGTGCGGCGCGACAGACACGGTTGTCCGTGGGGCTCGCGCGTCCGACGGTATTGTGTGTGTCGCGTTTCGTTCGGCGCGCCATTCGTTTGTCGCCTCGTGTTTTCGTTCCGAGGAGTGCAGCCGTCCGAACGTCTCGTCGCGGTTAGGTAAGGAATTTTGATCGTTAAAATCTTAGTGTTAATGAACGGACAGCAAAACGGTTATGATATCCGATATGTACAGTTCTCCGGTGGTCGACTGTATTCGTTCGGTAATGTAATACACGGCAGGTACGCTCGCCATCCCCCGGAGTGTTTTGTCGTACAAATAATATTTTCATTTAGTGTTTTGTACGTGTATATATTTTTATTTTTTTCTCTCATTCAAACCAGCGGCTCTAGAATGTTTTTGCCCGTAACACGAAACCCAACGCCATAACCGGACAGTGTTGTTATTCTCACGATTTTCTAAACATCGTTATTATTATTGCAGGCAAATTCCCAAACAAAATAAGCAAACGCGAAAAATGTGTCGCTTTTGTTTCTGCGCGTCCCGTGTTCGGAACAGGTATAATAATAATATCGAGATAACTGTTTTAGGACGTACAAACAGCGGTTTTTCATACTTTTTTCGTTTTTTTTTTTTTTATTTTTTCTCCCGTTTTATAGCTACGTCCCGCGTAAATGATATCAATTCACGTATATATTCGTATTACTTTGAAAATGTTATCACTTATCAGTCGGCCATAACTACGGATTAAGGTATTTTGGCGGGTTACACCAAGACACGAGGTTTATGATAAAGTAAAAAAGAAACGTTTATTTACAACAAAAAAACATAATACAAGTGATCGTCAGTTGACGGCTTTTGACGGAAGAACAGGCGAGCACGCAATAATTAATACGACATTAGTGGTAAAAATCAATTATACATAAAAATAATTCGGAGTCGGAGAACAACGCTTCGCGTATGGCGTCGGTGCGGAGAGTGAGCGAGCGGAGCGGTTCGAGACGTCGAGTCGACCGGAGCTTTGGACGATGACCGTTGAACGCCGACGGCGAGGGGCGTGGCCGACGTCCGCCGCGAGCGACGCGCAGCGGGAAGAAGAAATGTGGCGCGAAACCCGCCACACTATTATCTTGATTCGCGGCCATAACAATAAAACAGCGTCCCCTATTTGCAGATGATTATATTCCAATTATCTGTGTACATTTTGTGTAGAATTTCGTTCACGCACGTTTACATTAGAGAATTTCTAATGTTATACTTGCAAATTGCAATGTATCTTTAAATCATATGAAGCGAATTAAAAAATATTAATGCGAAAGCCGTGAATAAGGGTATAGCTCACCCAACTTGCATAGGACATACGCAAAGTGGAAAACAGTTATAAATGACTCGTTTTCTATATTTCATAATATTTATTATATACATTTGTAAGTCGTGAAAATGATTTTCATAACTACATAATTACTAAATTAAAAAATTAAATAATTGGCTGAATGTTCTTAAATTTAAATTAATATAAATTTGGTTAAAACAAATATTATTGAGACATAAAAATACTAGTACACAGAATGTTTATACTATTTATGAAATTGAAATTTTGACCACAAGATTATATTAAATAATTAATATACCAATTTGAAAGGAACTTTCATCCTTTCAGACACCTACACATTATTTATAATCATATATAACTCGAACTTGAACTCAAGTATTTGTGTGTTTTATCCGTTGACTCGTCTCAACACCATGTAGTATGTATATAATGATTTTACAAACTAAAAAAACCAATAGGTGAACGTATTAATTAATATTTTATACATATAGTTGTAACGGTCGACCGTTATATTTAACCGGTCGATTCAATATAAAAACAAAATGAACAATTTAATTCTGAAATCGTTGTGGATTCAACCAAATGCCTCTATATTAAATCACAGATCATGCCTGATTATTCTAGAAAATGTTAATGGTCAGTATTCCACGGTTAAGTTTTACCGTATTGCAACAAAAAAAAAAGAAAAAAAAACATAAGATAATAACGAAACCGTTAATGCAGTAACGTTTCTGTTTTTTCAACGGTTCTTAGTAATTATTAATGAAAAGTTCACCAATAATCAAAAACTAGATCCAAATTGCTTTGTTCAATTCAACCAAGATGTCAGGTAATTGAGGCGTTTACAGACGCGAAAAAAAAATAATAATAAAAAGAGTATATACTGAGGACGGCTATGCCAATGTTGCACGTGAGAAATCGGGAAATATGATACATTAAATTATATTTAAATTCCGCAATGATACGCAATGAAAAAACTTCTCAGCGAAGTTCGAAATTTGATTTAAAACGCTTATAGCAGAAACTACCTATTATATTAAGCTTAAATGTTTCTTCTTCAAAACTAAGTGAAACTTATTAAAATGAACGTCATGGCAGACCAACGTAATTATTTTGTGAAAATGTCAAGTTTATATGAATAATTTTAATCGAATTACAACAAAAAGCAAAATTTAAAATAATCAAATCGTTATTTCCGTCAATTTTCCCTACGTTTTTTTTGGTTTCATCAATTAAAAAATGAAAACCACTTGAAAAATTAAAAAAGACCTCCTCAATGCAACAATTAAATTCAAAATATAACAAATAAAAATCTGTTGTTATTTTTGTTGTTCCAAAAACATAAATATAAAAAAACACAAACCATAGTAAAACCGATACAATATTCAATACGCTCAGAACCAAAAAAAAAAACATCAACAAATCTAAAAATATTAAACTAACTAACATAATACATTGAATAAATCTTACTTTCAGGAATGATTCGTGACTCAATTTATACAAGTAAAAACCTGTGATAACAGTTGGGTTAATAGTTCTCGATATTATTACCGTTAGTAACTGATGTATTTTTTTATTTGCTTGCCACCATGGAACGTTGTATAGTGCTGTGCCAACACTCAATTGCTGAAAGTAATCATAAAAAAATTGCTACGTGATATTTTCTCCGTTGCACGTAAAACATTAGATTACAATATACAGAGTGATCCACAAAGATACGATCATTGGAATATCTTATAGTAGCAGATCTCAAATTAAATTCCGGATTATGTAGTCATGTAACATTGTAGAGCTACTTGTTTTATAAATTGTAAACAAAAATTCCGAAAAATAAATTAATACTTTCAAGTGATAAATGTATAATGTGTATTTACGGACACGTATTTTTTAATCTGCTTGCCACCAAAGAACGTCATAAAATACTATGCCAAATACCTATTTAATTGCTAATATTAATAACTAAAAAGAGCTACGTCTACGTGATATTTTCTTCGTTTTATGGAGAAATATTAAATCATATTGAATATTATGATGTTACGGACAAAAAACAATAGCGAACTTTTTAGTGAGCAAAATTTGATTTTTCCTGATTTTCATCATTAGTCGTAAACTATATATATATATATATAGGAAAAATTTATTTAAANATTTTTTATATACCTATATAAACCAATTGAAAATTTAATCAACATGCTAATAACTAGGCGTACAAACAGATAATAAAATATATACCTAAGAATCAGGATATGATGTTTTACACATTCTCGGAGTTTGGAGTAACATGCATCTTGTTTTTTTGTATAACGCGTGATCTGATCCGTACACGATAAATTTTCAACTAAAAAATGTGCATAAATGGATAGTATTTCATTTTTAACTATACTATACTTACCCATGTAAACTAGGTAAACAAAAAATAACGACAAAGATAATATGAACGGTAATATTTTTCATAATTCAAATACCTAGGTACTCAAAAATTGTCATTAAAATACTATTCTTCCACAAATTATTATTGATTTTGGACTACGATTAATTATTCTATTTAAAAAAACTCAACTACTGTTCGCACTCACTTTTTGTCAGAAAGTTTTCAATACTGTCTAAAGACAATTTTAATAATTCGATTTGACCGCCAACAGCGTAAATAGCACCAAAAAAAAACGAATCGATGTTCAAGTACATGAATACAACAAATGCAAACGCGAGGGCATGGCTGAAGAAAATTACCGAGAACATCCATTTCTCGTGTAACATGAACGGTATCCAACAACATAAAGGGTAACTCTTTGGATCATTATAATATTCAAAATCCGATCGATCGCTAACGGGGGGAAAAAAAAAAAAAATTATATTTCATAAATATTATAATTACGAAACTAAAAAGTAATGGTATTCATTCTACCCCTTTGGATAACTCAGTATCGGAGATAAGCATATAATTGTCGTCACGATTAAACCAGTAAACATGTACCACCAGGTGATTTTTCTCGTTGGCTTCATAAATTCCACTTCAAATTCATCGGCCGCGTATTCACCGTACGCCACCCGCCCTTGAGCGTGTATTTGAGTCAACGTCGAATTGAGTTTCGCGAATTCCTCATTGAAAACCATCATAAAAACCCATTTGAATATGCCCGACATGAACAAGGTCCACACGTCTATAGTCCGAGCCAACATGGTGAGATCTGTGACCAGGCACAGTTGTACAGTCATCAAGACCGTGACCGTAAATGTTAAAACGAAAATGAATCCACGGTACAAATCGTAGACAAACAATATCCATTTTGACGATTCGCTATGCAAAGAAAATATACCGATACACTTGAGTAAATTAAATGGCAAAGCGAGAAAAATCATTACTGTTGAATAATACAATCGGTTAAACTTCAAACTTCGTGAGTTCGTCTGGGCAAGACGGTGTTCTCAAAAAAAAAAAATAATGTTCGTCCGTTTTATTATATTATGTCATTTATTTGTCTTCAATTCGAAATTTAGATATGTAGGTATATAGATGACTCTATACATTTATGCGTAATGACATATTATTTTCTAACGTTAATATAAATCAATACCAAACTGGCATTTAGATGATATCCAAATATAATAGAATTTTAATGAAACCCACTACTGTTTAAAAATATTTATAGGTTGATAGCTACGATTTATATTAGAATCTAGACTATCTAATGTATTATTTCTTACTAAATCGCGATATTATAATATGAATTGAAATGCTGCATTAGTGCACTTCAAGATTGTAGATGAATGATGCATGCATATTGTGCTGCACTCTAGTAGCATAATAAAAACCAACTTGACCAACTTTTTATTTACTTTTTCCATTAAACATATCCTGTAATTAAATATAATTAAAAATAATTTACCGTACATATTTTAAACAAGACAATTTGAAAGACATTTTGCCCTGATTCGGGCGTTTGCCAATTTGTGGTTTTTAAACGCATACCTTGGAAAACAAAAAAAATGCAAAAACAAAAAAATTCATGGAAAGAGAAGTTTCACTGTTAACGGTGTTATGCCTTGTCAACGGACAACTTGTTTTGTTGTTTTTTTTTTGTGTTTACTCGCGTAATCGCGTTTGCGTTGTAGAGCTTTCTCTGTCTTTTTTTTATCATTTTGGTATTCGAAATTTGAATCCACTGTTTCGGTCTATTTTCGAAAGCAACGTAAAACCTACTTAGGACCGAGTACACCGTGTCCAAGTACTTCACCGATGATTCGAATCCAATTATGTGTATCAACTCTTTGGCAATGACACACAAGAGATAAAAATGACCACTACAAATACAATATTATTGGGTGAGTACTTTAAATTTTGAATGTTAATGTTGCAATTGTCTAATGTCAATTTAATATTAATTAATTATCAGGACATCAAAGCTTTGTGGAAACGTTATGATTTTGGTAACGACAATATGCAATCCTGTAAACCGAAGGTCACCGACCTAAATCCACATTTACTATGTGTTCTGTGTAGTGGATATTTTGTGGACGCTACAACAGTAATTGAATGTTTGCATTCTTGTAAGTAATGTATCACACATAATTAATTGACCTAGTTCTTTAACATTTTTACATATTTATTATTGATTTTAAAATTAAATTATGGTAATATGAAATCTGATAGTTTAGTATATGATTTACTTGAGTACAGAAACAATCATAAATAAATATATACATCAGTACTTTAAATAATCATAATGATGTTTATATAGATATTTAATATTTTTTTTTTTAGTTTGTCGAAGTTGCATTGTCAAGTATTTAGAACGTAATAAATATTGTCCAATATGTGATGTATTAGTCCACAAGTCAAAACCTTTATCTAATATTCGACCTGACCATACCTTACAAAATATTGTTTATAAACTTGTACCGCGTTTATTTCAAAGTAAGTTTAAATGTTATTAAATTTAAACATTACCTATTTCTTTATTATTACTAATTTCATTATTAATAAAAATATTATTATTATTTCATTATATTACTTACTTAGGAGAGATGTTGATGAGAAGAGACTTTTATAGTCGAAATAAAGTGTATATACCTCGGGATCCAATGAGTCGTGGTGATGTACCAGACAATTATCATATTTTTTCTTCTAATGATAAAATTAGTGTGTGTCTTTATTACGAATGTGACCAAAATGATGAAAAAGTATGTATTTCATTAATCATTTTTACATAGAGATAGTTAAAATTAATAATTTTCTTTGATTTCTTAGAATATACAAAAAACACACAAACGCTATTTATGGTGTCCGGCATCATTGACAATAATAACTTTAAAAAAATTAGTTTACCTAAAATATGAATTAACACCAGATGATCATCATGTAGAAATCTTCTACCAAAATTCTATACTAGATGATCAATTAACCTTAATGGATGTAATTTATATGTTTGATTGGAAAAGGGTAAAAATTTAATTTTAATTAACGAATTAGCAAATTGATTATCTTATTATAATAGTTATTATTAATTTAAATTTGTACTTTATAGAAAGATCCACTTACAATAACTTATCAAATTCTTAAAGTTGAAGTTGAACCCGTTCAAAGCGATGTAGTGATTAAAGAAGAAAATTCATTGGCACCCAAAAAGGATGATGAAAAGTCTATAGAAGAAAATGATTTGCTTCAAAGAGTTATAGAAAAGACAGAAATACATTTTGAAGATGTATCTCCTAAAATAGAAGAGAAAGCTACAGTTGCTGACAAAATTCCAGATTCCAAAGAAGTACAACTGGAAATAAGTGAAAATGGTGTCATGAAAATAACAAACATCAATCAAAGTAGAGAAGCAATACAAGCTAATGTTACCTTAGAACCGACCGATGAGATGAATAATGAAAAGTTATCTAAATGTAAAGATACACATATAAAAGATGACCATATAGATGTTAAGAAAAAAACACTAAAAGTATACCCTGGGTCTAAAATAAAAAAGACAAAACCAAAATTGGACACTATTGTTGAAAAAATTAAAAAACAAGGAACTAAATATAAAACATTGACATCTCCAACAAATCACTGGAACCCTAGTATTTCGAAAAATTCAGTATTAGCCAAAAAAAAGGAAATAAACGGTGTAGACAAAAAGTGTCAAAAATTTTTCAAATCGAGAGATGATAATGATAAAAAAGATGAAGATAAAACCGAAGAGAGTTTAAAGAGATTAGCTGAAGTGCCTTTAATGAAGATTAATCCTCAAACATTATGTCCAATTCTGCCTACTTCTCCAGCTAAGAAACCTAAAAAGCCAACTCCTAAAAAGAATACATTAGCTCACTCATTGGCTCTATTACCTGTTAGACCAACAAATCATAACCCATTTACTAACCCTTTAAATCCATTTATGTATGGAACGTTTTCGAATAATTCTGACGGAAATTCAGGAGATCCAAAGGATTTTCTTAAAGCTATATCTGAACTTCGTCCACCATCATCGGCTTATCATAATTCATTACCACCATCAGTTAGTGTACTTTTTAACCCATTATATGCTCACCATAGACAGTGTCTACCAAAAAAAGCAACTACAATTGTAGCTCAATCACCAGATGTACAAAAATTACACGCTAATAAAGGAGAAGAAAAAACTGATCAAACAGAAGATATAAGTAATGGTGAATGTAAAGACAAAGACGAGTGTACAAATAATAATAAGGGCGAAGAAAAAATGGATGTAGAGAAAGAAAAAACTTAATAAACAAAATTCTTTATAACTTGAAACAAAATGGACTTAAAAAAGTTTGAATTTGAGTTTCCAAAACTTATCATGTGCATAATGTTTTCAAATAGATTTTTTTTTGTCAACTTAAGTTTCAGGCTGCCAACGTTCTACTATAATAAAAAGCAGTGATCCGAAATGACTATCCAATATTTGCTACCAATGGAATTGGCACCCGATTCGATATTTGAAATCAATTAAACACTTTTCATTTTCTAGAGATTAGAGATATTTTTGTCACAAAAATATTAGGTCAAATTGGTTTTGGAAGAAATTTGATTTTTGATATTCTTAATATAATCTGATATTCACCACTAATAATAGATATAGTTAGCTATCATTAATGAAGTATCTATTACAGTATGATTTAACTAAACTTAAATTAACTGAGTTTAGAGATTAAATTACTGTTGGCCATTGTATTTAATATTAGTAAGTGAATTTTATATTAATTTATAGCTGGGTAATTTTTGACATGTGTGTTTTAAAATCTTTATATTGAAATTACTCTCAAATTCTAGTCCTAGATTAAGGTGTACATTTTGTACTAAATATGATAATTAAATATTATCATTTTTATCTTTGTGCCTTCAGTATTTAATTATTTTAACGCCTATTGCTCACATAAATATGTGATATCAATATTTTTAAAACCTGCAGCTCAATATTTTGAAATGTAATGTGAAAATGTACAGGGTACAATGCACTGTGACACTTAAATACTTAACTAAAATACAAAATTATTGTTATTCTATTCAAAATATCTAGGTGATATAATTTATTTTGATATTATATCTTTTAAAAATTAATAATATATGTTATTGTTGAAATTTGTTTAGATTCTGAGTGTAACAAAGTATTTATTTTTCTGATATCTAGAGTAATTATTTTTAAAAGGATAATATATTTGAATTATAAAACAAATATTTGTTACCTATAATTTGTACAGTGCATGTATTATTAAGTACAGTTGTATTTATAAAATATATATTTATATTTATATTTATACTGTATAGTTTATGATTTTTGTTTATTTACATTTAAAACAAATTAATAATTTACTTTTTTAATATTCTTGCGTGTTCAGTATTTTATTATAACAATTTATATTGATGAATGTTTAGTGGCTCATAAAGAATTTACATAAATGTAATCTTTAAATTATTAAATTTTAACTTTATATTTTTTTAATATTTCTAAAAAGTTAATTTTTTTTCTAATATCTATAGAGTCGCTCAGTTATTGTTATGAGTTATATTTATCATTATTTCAAGTAAATTTACATAATAATAATTGATGTATGTTAATAATTTGATTTAAAAAACTAAATTTTCAAATATAATAAATATCAGTATATTTATTAGCAATGGTGTTGTAAGTAACCTATATTGTAGATATTTACATATTTTATAAATTTGAATGTAATTTATTTTTGTATTATTGAATTGTTATGTCATTATATAATTGTAATTTATTTTTAACATAATTTATGTGTAAAAAAACAATTATAATTATAATTGTTAAGGATTGTAGAGGTGTAATGAGTTTTATAAATAAATATTTTTGTGGTTTTTTTTTTTATAAATGTTCAATAAAAGTTATTTTTTTTGTTTCTTTGAAACATTGATTTTTGATGTTTGATTTTCAACATTTACACATTAATAATATTATAATTATTTGTTTGTTGTATCAAAGTTCATAAATGTTAGTTGACGCTCACAATTTTTTAAGGAATTAATGTTTAACAAAATTAGGTGCCTATATCATCTTAAAGTTTTTATTCTGTAAGTTCTGACTCTTTAAGAATGGTTAACCAGTCACTGAGATTTAAAAATATAAATTGTCATTTAAAAATTAACATATTGTTGGGTATGTATTTATTATTTAGAATATTTATATAGGTATTAGAAATAATTACAACGGTGAATCCATGCATTTTTTAAGGTAGGGGAGGGCCTATTATTTATATTTTTGGTAAATTAGTTATGAATTATGTATTAAATGAATATAAAATGTATAAAAAAAAAACTAATCTATTGACAGGAGGTACGTGTTCCTGTACTCTTTCCCCCCTTTAGTAAGTATTTAAAATAAGCCAATACCCAAGTAATTTAATATTAGGCAATATTTTAATACACAACATAGCTGAAGATTGAAAATGAATCAGTGTTTTAAAACATATAAATTCATTAAACACAGGTTAGGTTATACATTCTATTATTCTAACATTAATTGTTCATTTGTTCGTAAAAGGATATGTATTTATCAATAATTAATAAAATTAAATATACCTACTTCACCTGATAGGTATCATTTTTCATTAATAATTTTTACTTATATTTACTGGTAAATAAATACAAAGTAATTATAGTTAAAATAATTCTGTATAATTATAATAAACTCGCCAGAAAATCATGTTCTTCAATTAATTTATTTTAATGTCTGTATCATCACTTAAATTAATATCTATTTAATATATGGTACAGTTCTTCATATTGTGGCAATAATATTGTTTATATTAAACAATATCATGTTATAGTATAAAACTACTGAAAAATATTCTTATCATTTATGTCAAATGTTGGATTCAAATCCACTGTATTTACTATATATCTCTTCCAGATTTATTATCTACACAATTGTAAATGACTGTATGAATGTTATAAATTCAGGGAATAGTATCATACACAGTCTTAAAATCGTATTATTATGCATGCACTCAGTTATGCCTTAAAAATTACCAAAACATAATGCTATTAAAAAAATGAGTAATTCTAATACCTGTTTTATCTTAATCAATAGTGTGCTATAAAGTTAATTTTCAGCATGAAAACAAACATATTTGTTTTAATAGAAAAAACATAATATGTTGAATAAGTATATATATATATATATAAAAAAAAAACTGGTGTTGATGATGAAAACCTATAACAATTAACAACTCATTTGATTTTGAGTGACAAATGACAAATGATATAGGTGCCCAGTGGTGTAAGTTTTTCGATGATGTTACGTACCTACCTAATATCTAAAACTCGGGTAGGTAGGTACTAAATGAAGTTTTCATCTTATCAGCTCATATGTATAATCTCGAATAATTATTTTGTAATTCTTGATTTGTAGAGCTGTAAATCTAATTTTTAGAACTATACGAAAACAGTCTGGATTTGCGTGGTAAAATATGTAAATATGTAGGTCAAGAACCTATACTGGGGTGATCGACCATAAATATAGGTGGGAGGAAAGACGAAGCGAAAATTAATTGATATTACAACAGCGTGTATTTGAAAATGCTATTTTAAAATATTATTTATTTAATTTGCAACTCGTATGACCTATAAGCTCAAATGACGTAATGGTAACTGAATCGTTAAATTTAATACAGAAAAGGCAAACGTTTAAATTTTTCAAAACTGACGAAAATGGTATTATTAATGTGCTTAATGATAATGTAGTATTATTGAAAAAAATAAAAAAATAATTTACATTTTAGTGACGTAATGTAGTAGTGTTAGATATCGTCTATACGTTTCTACAGTAATTTTTTATTTTTATTATAAAATTCGAAGTGTTAACGGAGTTTTTCTTGAAAAATGTTTGTGCCCTTTCAGTATTTTGCAATTCAACTATTTAATCTCTTAGGTTGCCGGAATTAAAATTGACGGGCAATAATGTTAATATTCACGTTCGATTTTCGCCGTTTAATCGTCATCGATCCAAAAGTACTGGCTATTGTTGGAGAAACAGTTTTACAACTAGGATTTTTTCAATTGGGCTGTCCGCCTAAAAATTGAATTTCGTCCGATTTCTAGTAGGTACCCACTTAAATAGGAATTTTGGTAATTCAATGGCCACTGAATGAAATTTTCATAAATACGGTTCAAAGAGTGTGTTCAGACGTTCAAAACACCCCATTGGTTGTGCGCTACCTGTAGCCCACCACAATCTCCGTCAATGTTTCTATGCATTCTATTGCTGAATTGGATGTTTAACGTGGAACGTTGTTGTTGTATACCTACTTAATTCATAATTAGTAGATACCCAATACGAAATGCATTCAAGAAGATAAACACACAATAATATTATTATTACTGTATTATCTTATCTTTTATTTTACATAGGTTTGACAAACGTTGAGACGAGCCGATAAGGTATATGACCTATCTATTTACATTATTAAACTTACGAGACATGGCACGATGGCAATAATTTAACTTACAATTATAACGCCGCCTAATTATAATTTTGAATAGAATGAACGATAACCTAGACACTATATTATAAATATTCTTAAATGTGTTACCTTTAGATAATTTGGTTTTACATCAATTATTTCCGTACTTAATCACTGCCTATACTTATACCTATGTACGTATTTTTTACATTATATTAAAGATTACGAGTTACACTATGATTATGTACACAAAAGGTTGGTATACGTAGGTAGTAGGTACAAAGTGTATAATATTCGTCGTCGAGTATAACACAGCGAGTATAAAAATAACGTCGTTGGATTTTCGGTTACCTACCTATACCTATATTGGCTGTGGAACATTTATATGTTCCGGTATTAAATTATACACCTTGTGTGTGTGTGTACGTATACTCGATTTCTCAATAACCGCCGACTGTAATTCGCTGATGGTCGTGTGCGCGGGGGTGGTCATCATCTCCCATTGATAATAGGATAGGGTGGTGTCTTCGTCACCGTGGTTGTCTAATATACTTATTACTTATCATACTAGGGTTAAGGACTTCATACCCTAAAAAGCCTTAAAGAATGCACGCATGCATGCTCTATAAATGTATTAAATATACTTTAAAAATACGTGTTTTTTGTGTACAATTTTTCGAATATTTTCGAACATCAACTGATCGTTTCGATATATTATAATGAGCCTGTTTGAATATCACACGATTAAAAATAATTGGGGAAAACTCACAGTATAGATATTTATATTATAATTTGAAAAAAAATACCCATTAAATAATATTCAATCATTTTAATCGATTTTTTTTTTCCTTATTTCGAGAAAAATCGTGCTAAATATTGTATTATATGTGAAAAATGCACTTATAATAAAAATACACACAAATATGGCATATACTATACAAATTGCCTTTAACTTTAAGAATTACGAAACTGATTTCTATATTATTTAATTATGTTTGAATAATTGATTTTTTTTTTTTTTTGTTTTTTTGTAAATAATTTAATAAGATCATAATACCTATACTTATTAGACATTTAAACTATATGTTTGTACTTTATGACTGAGTATACGTCTGCACTCCGCACCCTAATTAAAACAATTAACGTCTACGCTGTGTCATTTAGACAACCCGACTGACGGGCAGTTCGCTTTAAATGAAGTTGTTTCTCTTTCACGATATACATCTACACCTGTACATAATATATGTAATGTTATTTAGGTACACGGATACCTACATCATAATTCTTACTGTTTTCTAGTCGTTATGTCCGATTATTATTGTCGACACTATTCTGTCCATAAGATATCATTCACACGCAATAAATGTCCTCTTTATTTTCATGTCGCCGGTCAATATGTTAAAAAGCTAAAAATGTTACTTAATACTTGCAGTGGCGGCGTTAGGTATTGCGGGACCCTGGCAATGCTTTAGTACAGTGCTGAATTCAGTATAATAAATGATTGTATACCTATATAATAATAAACCGCGGGGCCCATTAAAACCAAAACGAGCGCGAGGCCCTGGGCATATTTCTCATTCGTCCTCTCTAAGCTCCGGCACTTCTTAACACATTAAATCCACGGTGAGTAGATGATTTATGTGTAAATATGGTTGTATCTAATTTTTAAATTCTAATCGCAGTGAGACATTTTTGGTTTTACTATGATGTGTGGTTTTTTTTCTGTCTATTAAAAACTGTATACTATTAGAAATTTTGATTCGATTTTCAAGTGTAACACATTTTCCATAAGCAAATTTTATCTGGTTAATTTATTCTCTTCGAATAATTGAGAAAAGCGTGAAAAAATTAAGAAAAACGGACAAAATGTACGTAATAAGAGTTTATTAATTTTCAATTTAGTTTATTTGTAATTCAATTAAAAATAATCGTAGAGACGCGCACTTTTTTATAAAATACTTATATCAGGCTTTTTTCAAAACATTCTGACGACTTTTGAGCTATTTATAAGCATTTGAAATTTTCAGGTTTATTTTAATATGATTTTATTTGGATATAAAATTGCATTAGCCAAGCAATTAAATGATTGGAAATTTAACACGATTTCATAATAAGCTGTACAATTGATTATAAATTAAAATACTAATAACAGAAATGGGAGATACCAACAATTTAGAATTTGATTTGTGTACCATTTTACAGTCTATCTATTTAAATTTTTAATTAAAACAGATCTATACGTTTGACAGTGAAATAAATGTTTCTCGATACCTATATGTAATAGATAAAATAAATCATAAATTTTATTGTTTATTTATTATTTAGTAAACAAAAAAGACCTAATATTTTAATTTTGGCGTTTTACATTTTACCTTTAATAAAAATAAATTAAATCACGAATAGAGATAATAGTACTTTTACTGTTATGAGTACGTTGTGTCGTCTTTTGTACCTATATTTATTATATAGATAATACAAATAATTTGAGTTGATTTTAAGACTTAACGTAAATATTAGCCAAGATATTATATGCTTAATTCTACACAAGTAGGTTTATTGTACATAGGTATTCTCTGGTATCCATACTCAACATTTTTAAAGTACGTGGATACCAACCGAATTTATTTCGATAATCCAATAATAACTATTATAAATGAACGGTGATTGTTTTAACTATGATTAATACTTTTACAGTATATTTTAATTATTGTTTTAACGTTAAAATATTAATAACGAGTAACCTATATTATACTATGTAAACAATTTCATACTTATCTACTATCATTATCGACACCATTGTATATAAGTAAGTCGGTATCTAGCTAGTAACTAGTCAATGAAATGCTATAGTAACATTACGGTTACACAAGTTTCAATGTCAAATATAAAATAAATTAACAATATGCTAATTAATATTACCCTTTAAGTTATAATAAAATTGTATAACTTTGTGTATTAAATATTGCGTAATATACATTTTCTTATATGCGTGATAATATTATAATCAACGTATAATTATGTAGTAGGTTAGCGTAGAAAAAAAAAAAAAAAGCCGTAACCACATTTGATTAATACATACTTATTGTATAATTAATTATTTTTTTTAATACGAAAAAAAAATTGTCACAGTATAATATTTTTTAATTAGGTATACTCACCTAAAAATAATTAATAATTACACATTTTATTATTTTATTTACCTGTCTACCTATGTAATATAAATAGTATATAATATAAACAGTGATCGATTTATTTAAATTAAATTTTGATTTTTTTTTTTTTTTTGGTCTATGTGGAGCGAAGTTTTACTAAAATGTTGAGTTTTTTTTTTTTCCAAAATTCAGTATATGGTAAATTTGTAACAATACGTTTTCGTATAGTACTGTATAATGTAGGTGAGTGCCAATTTTTACTAAAATATCGAATCGAAATGCAATACAATAATTATACGAACAAATTATGTATGATGAGGTAGGTGTACTCTTTAATATAAATATTAATATATTGCGATTCGGTCATTTGAAAACAATTTAGTCGTGGTGTCACGCGCATTGTTAAAAGTCCACCGTGAATACAAGAGTCGCAACAAAACAAATTTGAATGATACAATTTTTTGCGTCGCGTTATGTAAGTACAGATACGACGTTATTATTTTTGTTATATATTTTTATTTTTTTTTTGAGTTGGACGGTCCATTAAGAGTATACCTGTCGCTCGTCGCGGCGCCACAGTTCGAGTGTTTTACAACGTTTAATAATAATAAAAACTATACTTTACGAAAACATTCCATTTCGGTATACGTGTGTATTATAATATATACAGTTATCGATTATCGGGTAAAATGGCGCTTCAACAGCATAATAACATACAATACACCGGACTCAACCATTATAATAATGCCAGATGCCAGTTCCCACTCTATTATTACTATTGCGTTACTATGGTTACTGTTAAGTACAGGTACAGAAATGTTTGTCATTGAATAACGATCGCGTGCTATATCGCCGCGGCTTTGGTCTGACGATAGTATAGTCAAATAGTCGAGTAAAATAATAATATGCGTGCGTACAACTGACATAGCCGCGTTAGAGGCGAGGGGAAATGTGGGCGTTTGCTCCGGGGACGCCGAACTTTTTCCTGACTACGGGAAGCCCGGCTCAATATATGAAACTTAAAATAATAATAAAAAAAAAACTCGCAATTTCATTTTTTAATATTATTATAATTATAAGTGGGTGGGTATACCTGTACCGGTAGGGAAAAATTCAGCGGTAAGGAAGAATCATATTTGGCGGAAGTAATACGTAGGAAATAAAAATACGTGTTCAATAAAATTGTAAAAAAAAAACACAACAAATCTGTGAGGGGAGAGGTACGAACGTTCCAAATCATCCGCGGGTGAGACATTGAGAGGGGGCGATGGAAAATCGATGCCACCGGGCGCCGCGCCGAACGGCTCTGCGTAACGCTTTTACACATTTTCAGGACCACTTGTTGAAAACATTGTCGGGAGCCGATTCAACGGCCGGTAGAGTGCTTTACCCGGTATCGGGAGCCAATTCAACGGTCGCCGTACACGCATATTGTAAATAAATACGTGTATTACATTAGGGGGCCGATACTGGGTACGCATTTAACGACGACGGTGATAATAATAGTAATAACAAGCAATACAGGTACCGTCGGTTTTTGAAATTGAATTATTTTCGTTGCGCCCGTGCGGCGAGCAATTTTTCCCACGTTACCGGCACGACGTGACGGTGTCGCACAACGCAACGGCGTTTGTTTTCGACAAATAGTCCGACATGGGTCCGCACTGGGGTTGCGGCGAGCCGAAACGATTCGCACGTTGGACCGTCTTCGGCATTTATATTATCGTTCCGTGTTAATGACATTGTTCCCTTCTCGATTTATACGCCCCCCCCCTCCTCTCTTGTGTTTTTAAACGAAACCAAACAGCGTATTCGTAGTATGGAAGGCAGCAAAAAAAAAAAAACTATAAAACGGCGGATTTTCGTTGTTTCGCACGCGTTTCCCTTGTGAAGGCGCCGGGCGCTAATCCTGCCCGAAAAACGCGCGCAAACAAAACGCTGCGCAATAATAACGATTGCGCGTATCGTTAACAGACATTACCAACAATACGGAACCACAAATGTGTTCAATAGAAAACTTTTACAATGAAAAGAAAAAAAAAAAAAATGACAATTTCCTATGCAGATTGTATTATAGGTATTGTTATTATCACGGCGAGCATACGGCCGTCTGTAACTATTGCAGTAACAATGATAATATTTATAGACGTCGCATAATGCCAGAAGAAGAATACTCCACATAGTATTATTGTTATGTATAACTAATAATTATTATTATACAACCTGTATGAATTATAAAAACAAAATATAACCTTCAAACGATTCTTTCTACTGTTAAAGTGCATACATACTAAAATAATATTCTTCAATTCTTGATGTTGCAAAAACGTGTGTGTAGGTTTACCTGTTTATGCGGCGTACATGACCACTTTTTTTTTTTTTATAATGTAAGTAATAACCTACCTACCTATATAATGTCTATATACATATTATAATGAGCGAATGTAAGTTCCTTGTTCCTACATCACCAAAACAAGTTAGGTTAGATTATATATTAAACGGATACTTGTAAATACACGTTTAACCAAAGTATTAAAAAAAAAAAAAATGCATTATGGAACAAAAGTTTAAGGTAAATTACCCAATGTGCATGCAGTATTTTGTAAACAGATATAATTATTATCAAACCAAAAACAAGTTTTCTGTATCAGTTTTATCAGTAATGGAAATTCTCAAATGTTTGTGTAACACAAACAGATTTGCATCGATCCAATTTTGAAGTGAACCGCTACTTTTCATAAGTAATCGTTTAATTAACGGCTCATATTTAGTTGTATGAGTTATCTCTTCTTTCACCAAAAAATAAACAGATCGAAAAAGATGTGATAAATTTGTTCTATTAATTTTACATTCTTCAAAACTTTGACTTACAATTTGATTATAAACAGGGTTTTTTAAAGCTACCAAAGCAAGTTTTTCTAATTCTGCACTACGGATATGTGATACAGAATATGTGTGTTTATTTAATTTACCATCTTTTCCTAGTGCTTTTTTATAGTTTATGAATGGTGTATTAACACAAATTCCGCCTGATACATATTTTTCACATAACATACAAAAAGCACCGTTACGTTGTTTATGAAAATAAAGCCAAGGATAATCTATTTCCCATTTAGTATTATAGAATCGTTTTTCTTTACCTTTTATTGATGAACTAGCCGATGTAACGGCTTGATTTACGTCTGTAGATTCTATAGTTTTTGGTTTTTTTATTCGGTAAAAAGAAATCTTCTATTGATCGTTTTGACATCTTAAAATAAAAAATTAATAGATTACGAAATGACTAATATAGAAAGAAATATAGCATAGGTAGCTAGTATTCAATAATTTTTTTACTTAAGCTATGTTGTTAATAATAGTGCACTCGTGATTTTTCAGCTGCACAGCGTTGACTAATCGATAGTGAACAACTGTCTAGAATGTAGATAAATAATCAAAGAGAATAATAAATAATAATAGACGTAGACGGTCACCTAATAATCATTATCAATATATGGTATTTCCAATCATATCATATGATGATATACTTGACCGTCCATGTAAACGTTTATTAAACCGGTCAAATTGTTTTATGATTAAATATTTCAATCGATAAAATTTTATTTAAAACCACATTTAACAGGGGGGGGGGGCAACATTTTTAGTATACCTGGATTCAACACAAATTGTGTTCAAAAATTGAAATTAGAATATGTCAGCTTTATCGGTATTATATCAGCTATAGTCAGAATAAACCATCAAGTATAGCGGTTGAAACGAGCGCGATTATAATATTACTACACCTTATCCATACTATTCTATTAATATATTATTATTATTATTATTGTTATACTATTATTGAATTACTTTTTGGTTTTCATCGGGAATGCACACTCAGCAAACTTCAAAACAAATACAATTGTAAATTTAACCTACATTTTTTACGGAGTAGGAGCTAACACATCTCATTTTTGTATTCGTGTAGGAACTAATATATGTATTTGTTTTATCTGATAGGTCTCGTGTACGTACTTACCTGTTTATCCCCATTATAATAATCGTGTAGGTTTATTTTTATCCGTTCTTTGATAATCGTTGGTTCGTAAAAACACGTACACCTACCTATCGGCAATTATTAAACTTCTACGACTGCTCATTCGGAAAATGAAAAGCGCACATTTTAATCGCCACCACCTGTAGTTTAGGAAACGATTTATTTATCGAAATTCCAAAAACATTTGAAACAAAATATTCGCTAAGTATTTGGTCCGCAGAAAAAATTAGTGTGTAATAATAATATATTATTTAGCAGGGCAATTATAATTTAAACGTTTTCTAGTAACAAATAGTTTTCGGATCCTAAGAATTATTTTTTTTTTTTTTATTGATTGTAATATTTGTTTTATTCGTACAGTCGTAACGATAATTATCATTCGAATCTGGAGGGGGAGGGGGTAACGAAATTCAGCATTTAAAAACCTAATAATATTTTATACGAGTTAATAATCTCCTATTCGATATTTGTCCGTAATAAATAAATGTTTTTTTTTTCATGTGTGCTCAATTGTATTACATCATTTTCAATAATTAAATTAATTATTTAAAAAAAAAAAAAAAATATTCTCAAATAAAAGTACGTTAAATCATGTACACATGTGCTTATCGAAAAACCGAATACATTAACATGTTCGACGCGTACGAATTCTGGATAGTACAATAATATTGTGCATTTTATAAAATCCTATAATTTAGTGACAATTAACATGGAAATAAATTGTACTATTTAATAACAAATAATGTTATTGTAATAATTAAAAACTAAAAGTACAGTTGATATTATATTTTATAGGTATACCGCATCATAGGCAATGGAAAAGTGGATCTGGTCGATCTGGAGGAAACGAGCAAAACACAATTGGTTGAAAAAAATCAAACGAAAATATGTTAAAAGACAAGCAGGTAAAAAACGGATTGAATTAGGCACATATTGAAAATAAAAATGAAACTAATGGGACGTGCGCTTCTTTAGACATGATACTTTCACAAGGAACGTCTTCGAGAGGAAGGTCTTGGGAAAAAGAACTCGAGCCCGCCCGAAAACTTCATACTTCAAAAATCTGAAGCAGCTCGTGGATGTCAAATCATATTCATGTGCTGAGGAATGAGGAACGTGGCAAACGATAGCAAGATAGAACATAGACGTGCGCACGGGGTGTGCAAGGTGTGCAGCTGCACGCCCAAAAAAAAATTCCGGCTATTTAAAATTTTTGTTTTCGTTGTAAATTAAAATATTATTGCATGTAAAATATACAAAATAATATATATTTCTTATATTTTAAACCGATAAATAATAACTTTTCATTTATTATTATCGGTCCATAGACATAACATAATAATTTAGGTGACCGTCGTCACCATCATAATACATTTTTTCTCCATATTAAACTCCTCTCTGGCTCAGTTGACTTTCCTTCCCTCCTTACACTTGTTTACTTTAAGGTACTAACTCGAATCACCCGGAAATTATATTCATTTTGTTACTCCGTATTGCCCAACCAATTATTTGAAAAATGAGCCTCCCACCATGATGATGCGAATAGTCAATGATGATCCGTCATTCCTTTTCTCGGTTAATTTGTTATTTCTGTCTTCAAAATTTGTGTATGTGCATTGTCATTATATTTCGGGTTTGCCCGATGTATTCAGTAAACCAATAGACAAACTTTATTTATTAATATTCAGCATATTTTTTTTTTTAAAGTGGCGATTTTAGGCCCTTGCTTGCAGTAAGATCTGCTATCAATTTGGTAACCCTGCTCGTTAGCCGTAATCAATATTGTTATTATCAACTTATTTACTACCTAGATTTTTTTATCTTTATTTTAGAAAATATTACAATCTATACAAGTGTACAATAAGTAATAATTATGGTAGAAATGAGAAAAAACTTAGAATGAATAATGACATGGTAGGAAATCTCACATTAAAGACACCTAGTGGCTCTACATTTACATTCACCGATTAATTTATACAATTTTCAAGTCACTGTTTTTCAAGTTCCGCTTGAGTCGTCTGGTTGGGTTTCCGGGTAGTGCTGGTATGGCTAGGTCCCTGATGAACTAGTTGGGGTTGGATTGTAGTTTTGCGTGGAAGCGTTTGTAATACAGGGTAGCAGTTTCGTTGAAAGGGCAGATTTTTAGGTCAGAGATTATTGCATGGTTGGAGATATACCGGGGTGCTCCAGTAATAATACGACAACAGATATTCTGGAAGGCTTGGATAGTTCTCTTATTTTATATTTAAGCAGAACTCCATATTACTATTCCGTACACCCAGAGTGGATGCAGACGAGTTTTATGAAGCACGAGTTTAAAAGGTAATGATAGATTTGAGTCGAAAAGGGGCCTTAGCAGATGAAGTCTTGAGTTAAGCAATTTACGTTTGTCCTTGAGATGAGAAGACCATGTTAGACGTCTGTCGAATATCAAGCCAAGATATTGTGTACTATTCGCTTATAGGACGTTATAATTTAAACTATATTAAATTGAAAAAAAAAAATAAGTAGAAGTAATATTTTATTATATTGTATTCATACAGCTAGACAGTAATTTAGTTTATAAAATGCGCAGTTCGGTCGGACACGTTATGGACAATTTTAATTGAAAATTCCAGTGTTAATCTGAAACTGAAACGCTACAAAGTACTTAGCGCAATCGTTTGCTCTTTCGATACCAATCTAACATAAATTTGAACTTCAAACGCTGACAAAACATAAAATATAAATCGCAAAACGTTTATACAAATATTATGGATTAACCAAAAAGACTCGAACGTTGCAAATAGGTACACGGCTATAAACTAACATTAACCGTGTTTATTGCGTGTAAATATTCCCGTTTCCCCCCCCCCCGGGTTTTACTGGGTTACTTATCGAGAAAACTACGAGGAAAAATAAAAAAAAAAAAAAAAAAACACCATTCCCACCGACAACATACTGAAACACACGATTCGCTATCAGAAACCACGGCCCCCGAACGATCGGAATGAGATTTCCGATAGAAACACCGGTTCACAGGATACAGACGCGGCGCCAGAACGAAAACGAAAAAAGAAACGTCGCCACGAACCGAGCGGCGGGGCACGCACATCGTACACCCGGTTAAAAACCACTACACACATTCGAGTGAGATCAGTCCGTGCGAACCATTGTAATGTTGTCGCAATGTTCATAAATTTCAATTAGTAATAACAGCAATAACGTAACGATTCGCGGGTTTCGCCGCCGGGCCACGACGGCCGCGCAGACGATCAGCTGTTGCCACTTGCCGCCGCGATGACGGCCAGCGAAAACGCTTTTCGCGGCCACGGTCGTCCGGGCCGCCGCCCGTCCTCGCCGCTACCAACCGCCGCCGACGCGTTATCACAAGTTCCGACGGACGAGCTGCAGCGTTTGTTATTATAGCAGACGTCTACTACGCGGTGGTTCGCGATCGATTCGAACGTTCGGCGGCGTACGGTGGGGGACCGGGGAGGACGCGGTAACCGCTAACAGATCCGTTCACACAAATAAAGACGCAGTCGGACGGCATTCGCTCGCACGCCGTTCACCGCGACCGACCGACGGCCACCGTTTTTGGCGGCCACAGCGGACATACTACTGAAACCGGTACCACCCGTACTGCGACGCGAATTTATTCCATAATAATATTATTATTACCTGCAGCACGTACAACAAAGACTCCATCATGAGCGACTCCGTGCCGATACCTCCGGCCGTCATGTTTTTCAACGGCGGGTTTGCCGCGTAAGTATATACCACCTACATTCACCAATCCCTGTGGCCCTGTCTCTCGCCTGGGTCCCGGAACCCGCCGGAATGGCCTTCACAGTCATCACGTACCCTTTTTATTGTACAGGACCGCGGCCACTGTTATCGTGCACCCTTTGGACGTGTTGAAAAATCGTATGCAGATGGCCGGACGCGATCTGACCGCTACCGAAGCGCAAAAATCCATGGGCGGCATCATACGGTCTATGGTCAAGGAAAAGGGCGTAGCTGCCTTCTATCCGGGGCTGACCGCCGGCATGCTCAGACAAGCGACTTACTCTACTACCCGGTTGGGCATGTACAACTCTCTGATCGCCTTCATGACCGGGTGAGTTCGGCCGAAAACTCAGAATGATGGTAGATCTGACCGCGGTCATTTTCTTCTAGGGAAGACAAAAAACCACCCAGTCTGTTGGTCAAGATGGGTATAGGCTTGGTATCCGGATTAACGGGTGCTGCCGTAGGTACTCCGGCCGAAGTAGCACTCATACGGATGACGTCTGACGCGCAACTGCCTTTGGCTGAAAGACGCGGTTACACTAGTGTCGTTAACGCATTGGCTAGGATAGCCAGAGAGGAGGGCATTGCTACATGGTGGAGAGGATGCATTGCTACTATGGGAAGAGCGGCTGTTGTTAACATGGCTCAACTTGCATCATACTCACAGGCAAAAGAAATGTACCTAAAAAGTGGTAAGTCACAAAACACTGGTTATTTCAGTAGGTATTTTAAAGTGAAGATTAATGTGATTATTATTTGATGAAACATACCCACTAACAATTTATAAGAAATGTATTAACTCAATGCCATTGAAATAGTTAAATTATATTTTATATAACTATTCGTGCAACATGTTACATGTTGTAAACAATGCATTGTTAAAAATACACTTGCAACAGTTACGTAATTAATTTTATAACAGAATTGAATTATGTTGACAGTGTAGATATATCTAGTATATTTTTCATATTACTATTAATTATTTTAATACCTCGCTAATTTTATTTAAAAACACCAAATACTTGTTTCATTTTATTATAGGTAGTAAAATAAATTGTTTAAACAAATGTAAACAATTCCAGAAGTGTAAATTATTTTATTTGATTACTTTTTTATTTGACTTATTTATTAAAATGTACATACATTTTAAAATATTAAATACATATAAATTGTTATAATTAAAACATAGAAGTGTTAAGTTAAATTTATAGTTAAAATTGTTTCAATTAAGTTATGAAGTCTGCAATTATCATTCTGGCAGTAATTACCATATTACGAATCTTTCATGTAGATAAAATAATATATTATTTTTAAATTTAAAATAATTAAACCTAAATTGAACTAATTTAAAAGAGATCTTTCATTTCTATTTGTAACTGTATTTTTAATTTTGTTTATCATTTATTTTAGTTTTTACTTAATATACCATTTATGTAATTAATGAATCATTAATGTGTGTATTAAATAATTATTTTAAATATTTTATATTTTTAAAATACAATTCACCGTCAACATTTATTTATTTAGAATTAAACAGGTTTTCTATTAATTATTTAAAAACATAAGCAGAAATCCTTGGGCTAAAACCTCTTAAATATTGTATGAGTTTCATATTATAATACCTTATTATTTATTGTTATTATTATTATTTTGTCAATAACATTGAAATGGAATTAGCTTTATCTGTAGTTAAGTTTTCTCCATGACTAAAGCAAAGAGATTTCTAGAGTCTTGAAATAATATATCCTATGGCATTAACATTGGTTTAATTTTTTTTATAGTATACTATTCGCTATAATAATATTGTAATTTATTATGAATATGTTTTAATAAGTTATGATCTAGTTCAGAAGTATGTGAGGTATCCAAAAAAAACTAAAATTAATAATAAAAAAAATAAGTGTTGTACAAATATTGAGCACATAAAATATTCTTTGACTGAATAACTTATATATAATTAGTAATAAATTTACGAATATAACTACAAACAAATTTATTAGGAAAGTTATTTGTTATATTTAGTGAAGTAGAAAAAGTTTCTATTTATATAGTAGGTATAACAAAAGTTTATAATATTTTGATTAGTTAATTTATAATCAGATTAAATATGTATTAGTTAATATTCAAAGATTTATTTAACTGATAATTGACATCAAATGTATGTTTTAGGTTATTTTCAAGACAACATCGTTCTTCATTTTGCTTCTTCAATGACCTCAGGTGCTATTACTACCTTAGCATCACTGCCAGTGGATATTGCCAAAACAAGGTATAAATAATTATTAATTAAATATAATTAATAATATTGAATGTATATAATAATAATTGAATATTATATTTTTTCGTTATTTAAGAATTCAAAGCATGAAAATAATTAATGGAGTACCAGAATATACTGGTACAATAAATGCAATGGCCAAAGTTGTGAAGAATGAAGGATTTTTCAATTTATGGAAAGGCATCATACCGTATTTTGCACGAATTGGACCTCACACTGTTTTAACGTTTATAGCTTTAGAGAAAATTAACGAAGCTTATAAAGTTGCAATTTATGATCGTCAGACGAAAAAATAATTTATTATTGCTATCATAAGTATTTATACGTTTTTATGCATACATTCTAAAATTTATTTTTTCGTTGTTTTCATTTTATCAAGTTTTTTTTTGTTAAATATTTGATGTAGTTATATGTGTATTTTATTTTATTTTTGAAACCAAGAATTACCTATTTAAACTGTTATTTCGTTAAATTTTTTACAGAAATAATAATTAAAAATTAAAAATATACAATAAGACTGTAATAGATTAGGAATGAGCAAATACATAATATTATATATATATATATTATATGTGATAAAATATTTATTAAACCTTAACTAGCCGAGGAGGCAATTTTTTCAATATGCCGAACTGCGTCTTTTAACTTGAATACCAGTTCTTGCAGTTGCTGTGGATTGCAGACAAAATCAATATATTTTATTGTGCCATTATCGATTGTCTTCAGCCGCACTTTATATAAGAATTCAGATACGTCATCAAAAACACTAGACTAAAAATATAAAATTTATATTATTATATGTAATAGTGATATTATATAAATGCATCACCTTTTTTTTTGATGATAATTGTATATATTTTTTTAGATGTAATTTAAAATTGACTGACATTAAATTGTTAATTAATCAAAAAAAAAGTATATGTATTTAAATTAACATGAAATTCGTTTAAGATACATACTTATATAATAATGTGATACGACAATAATTTTTAAATATTGTGAATGATAGATTAAACTTTAATAGTTTTAATTTGTTGTCAATATTATTGAAATTTAAAATATTTTTACCTAAAAAGATTATGGTACTTACCTGTACACAGTAATCAAGGCGGCATTCGACATCGACTACATTTGCCAAAGAGGTGGTGGTCATCTCACAAACTTGCATAAGTCGAGGACTAACAGATTCATAGGTTTTAATTATTTCTGGTACACGATCTGTGTTAGCCAACACCAGTGTTTGCAGACTTTGATCCAGTGACGGCCCATCTAAACAATGTCGACTAGCGATTGTATACAAAGTCACCAGTGAAGCATATGCTTCTTTAGAAATGTCTAGTTTAGATGTTATGGCAGATTCTGGAAAAAAAAAAATACAAATTAACTGACAATTATTTAGTTCTTACTAGGGCTAGGATTAATATGCAATAAAATCTTGTAAAATATGCATTTGATTTACCAAAATATGCAAAAACAAATTTGTATTATTTATTATAACTTGTTATTAATACATTAAATATTTAAATAGAATATTATAAACCTTTATATATTTATATAGTTTATATAATTATTTTATTATTTATTACATGCTATTATAATAATATTTGTTTGAATATAGACAAGATTTGTATTGACTCAAACTCCTTTCAACGTCATACGATATTATTGGATCACAGTTAAAGTAATGTTAAGTTATTAACATCTTCTTGACTTCTTCTGTTTCATATTCACCATTTATAATGCTACACATTTTTAAAGGTGTTTTGAACTTCTTATTCTTTAGTACCAAGTCCATTTTAGTTTTTACCAATAAATTCTGCTACTCTCCCATTACATTTATACAGTATATCTTTCACATTTAAAATAATTTTTAAGCTATCATTAAGAGATAGTGTATTTTTTTTTAGGTTAATAATTGATTTGGTGAGAAAACAATAAACAAGCTAAATTATTTTTTAAATGTTTGTCTTCAAACAAATGTTTTGATTTTTTAATTGATTCTGCTTCGTTGTCTAAATGTGATACTACAAATTTTATTGTATCAAAATTATTTTAATAATATTATACTGCATTGAATCATGTTCCCCATCTAGTTATCAAGATAAGATTAGATATGTAGTAAATATACTTATTTACGACAATTCAAAAATAACCCAGTAATATTAAATAAATACCATTTTAAATTAAAAATATTATAAAATTTTAGTTTAAAAATTAATAAAATGAACAAGACTTCTCAAACATCTATAAATACGGAATTATATGTATTATATACAAAATATGCGAAAAAAAAAAGGTTATATTTTATCAAGAATGAGTTAAATCGTGGACATATCTAACAACCAATCAATTTAGACTTGAGGAAAATAAACATGCAAATGCATATATATCCTAGCCTTAGTTATTACATAAGACTTTTACATGCTCATATTTTGGCATTGCCTGTACATATTATGAATAACAGAAGCATGTGCTGACAGTTTCTTTTTTTAATAAAATATTATAAATGTGTTTTATCATACCTATTTGGTATTCATGTATTTTAATATTTATTTCAATAATTTAAATAAAATTATTGAATAATAAGACATTATGTATTATACAGTTATACCTACATTTAGGACTAATATAATCAGCGATAGATAATTCTCTAATTTAATTTTGAATACATAATTGTAGAGTATAATTCAAAACTATTTAACTTTTATTATTATTAAAAATTCAGCCATTTCAATATTTCTCATAAAAACTGAAATTGTCTAAAATTGTGTGGGTCCACAAAAAAAACTTGGACTGTACAAATCTGGAATGTAAAATTTTTAAATCTGTAAAAAATCTGGAAGGTATAAATTTGGAATTTAATATTTAAAACAACTTTGTGTTAAATGTTCAAGTATTTCTCAGTCATACAATTTTATATTCCTGATTTGTATCGTCCAAGTTTTTACTTTCTAGGATTTTACGGTTATTGTGGGTACCAAAAGAATGGTGATTAAATCATAAAATGGTAATTTTAAAGAAATTCTAAGGGTTCAAAGAAAATTAGAAACATAAATTACATTTTTGAGTAAACTAATTTTAATTAAAATTGAATATTATGTATATAAATATATATATTGTACATTAAAATTATAGTTAAAAATAAAAGTATTAACTCTAATACATTTATTATCTATTCAAATTAATACATTTTATGAATTCATTCTTACCATCATCTGTAATTTGTTCTAAAGGATCATCGTCCAACAACGTCCCTAGTCTTTTTTCAGCTTTTCGCAGTAAAATTTGGAAACATTTATCGTTTATTAGTGCTGGATTGCACAAACGTTTCAGTCCCAATTCAATTTCGTTTGATATATTCATTGCAACATTAAAATAATAACACTATATACTTTTTAATACATTTTAATTTTATATATTTGAATTTATTACAGAGTACAGACTTGGCACTTGCGATATTATTATGTATTATGTAATCACAAAGTTAAAATCACAGTTATCAAACGAACCATGGGATAAATGAATAACGTGTTATCAGTAAACAGCAGTTATAGAAATTCAAATTTCATGTTCATCTAAAATCATTAAAATAAATGTAAAAATGACTTTAATTTTCTATTAAAAAAAAATAATGGCGTTATTTATTATTAAATGTGCAATGAGGGCAGACAATTTTAAGAAGTGGGATACATACAAAATTATTATGATTTTGACACGCTTAAAATGTATCTCACCGGTGGCTTTTTTTAACTGTCAACGCTGAACTCATTTCAACCGTATTATTGTAAAACAAATTCAATTTACAGATGTGTATTTTTGATGGTAAAAAAAAAAAGAACAAGAGGTTATTGGAAGTACCAAATAGGTACATCTTTCACGGCTTTCGTACGTGCCATGGATAAACATAATTGTTTTTATAATTGTTCGATTTATATTTTTAAATAAACATTTTAGTTTGAGTAGGTTCCTATATTTATTTTCGAAATAGTCTGTCACGTTTAATTGAACCGCAACTAGTATATTTCGCATTTTAAACGCATGTTTTGTATAATTATTTCCCTAATAATGTTTGGGATGAAATACATAAAAGTACTTGATGAACAAACTATGGAAATATAATGAAACTGGTTAATTAATGGCTTGAAAAAAACAAATAACGGCAAATAGTAATCCGTATGCGAAACTTGGCCTATGCATGGATAAATACCTACCTACTTACTAGATATTATGGTTTCCATATATAGCATTACGAATGTACATTAAAACATTTAACCAACACTACGTACTATTTATAACCTCCAGCGAACATCCATATTTATAGGATACTTAAATGACTTTTTGTTTTATCGCATATAATTGCTAGAGCACGGATGTCGAAGTAGTAAAAAACTAGTAAAATTGATTGCAGTATTGCACAAAAAATTGCTTAATTTTTGATATATTTACAAAAAAACAATAACAACATGATCGATCATAATTTATGGAGTGAGTGAAGAATAGACTATTGAACAGTTACATTTCACAAATTATGTTTGTATTGTATTGAATATCTACCAACTTGAAATTATCGAAATAAAAATATGATATACCATTATTCAATTTTATGGCTGGTGATATTGTAGTATAATCTTATCTACAAGATAAGATCTATACTGTCGAGTGTCGACTATAGCTATGTATGAATGAGTAAATTCAAAAAATTCCAAAAATTGTACTTAAAATTTTTAGATTTGAATTAGTACCGTATTTAAAACTTACTTAATTGAATAGGTGGAAAAAAGTTGCAAATTCAACATCTGTGCCCTAATAATTGCATATGCTATATGCATTATATATTTTCTTTAATAATATTTTCTCGGTTTTTTCCATTCATTGGAAAAACTAGAAAAACTAAAAAATGATTTTTTTAATATATTACCCCAGTCAGATTTCCTTTCTGAAAAAACTGCTATCATCATAAATCAGAGAAAAACTGTTGTTAGAAAAGTTGTCCACTGAAAAAAAAAAATCATACTAATGGTAAAACCAACACATTTCTTGCTCCACCCAGAATTTAAAATTTGTATTTGTAATATAGGTAATGAACCATTTTTAACTAGAAAATTGTTTAAATATTAACATTTTAATATTCAAAAATATTATTCAGCCAATCTACAATAATCATTTTATTCAGAATAATAATTTGTTTAGATTTATATAACGAATAAAACTCATGAATTTTATATAATCTGTGTAGGTATAGAGATTCAAAGATAGTCAACACAACGGTTCTGCAGTATTACATTATCAAATATTTTTTTGTAACATGAAACTTGAGTTATAATATAAATTTTATAATTTAGTTTTTTTATGTTCAGTAATTCAAAATAATTTGTAGGTAGGTATAATATAATATTAAAATTTTTATTTGAACATTAGGTTCATAAAATTATATTTTTCAAAAAAAATTAATTTTTAAATAAATATAATATGTTTCTTCAAATACTAATATTATGTACACAATACTTTTACTATATAATTATATCAAAGTAAGTATATATAATATTTCTTTTGTTTTTAAATTTATAAGTTCTTCAAATATTAAACTGTATCAGTGGTCATCGAGTTCTTCTGTAAATCCTGATAATACAGCTTCATTTGTTGTAATCAATTATTAAGTTACAGTTACTGGTACGTCCAAAGGATTTTGATCATTAGTCTTTAGTTTTATCAGGCATTTAGCATATTTCTATCTATTATAAAATAAACAATTATATTTAAATTTCTTATTATATTATTATTCATATTATAATTAATCAAATTTACCTTTCATGCTGATCTTCTTTTTAATGTCTTCCATCTGATAACATTGAAGCACCTAGAAATCAGGGCTGTTTCCTGTTATTTGTAATTTCCAATTATATGATACACTGTCCAGTTCAATGTTAATATTATTCGTCTCTGTTTTTTCATTTTCAAATTTAATGCTTTCAATTAAATTCTTGTACAATTTCACCTATAATTGAATATTAATATAAGTAAGTTGTAGTAAGTTATAGTAAGTTAAGTAGTTAGTAGTTAAGTATATATATATTTTTATTAAAGAATTACTTTATCTGCAGATATAAGTATTTTTATAATTTTCTTTGGTAAAGACTTTTGCTTCTTTTTGTGCATTATTTTGTTTTTCCCTGTTGTTTGGCCGATTGCTCATTATTACACTGAAAAAGTAGTAAATGGTTAAATATTATACATAAAATTGAATGTTAAGATAAAATACTCCATTTGCTTGCTGTACATATTTATAAATATTTTTATTTATAAATAAATATACCTATATTAAAAAAAAGAAAAGAAATGAAATTCCTCTAATTCACTTATTAAATATAATTTCAAACGAATCTTCGGACCAATGATCATTTAAAAAAAAAAAATACAAGTTTTATGTGCTTCAAAATATGTTAAATTTAAAACTTTCATAATATTTATATGAAATTCAGAAACATCTCTCTCACAATGATAATCAATAATAATTGTTTTAAAAATTGAAAGTGGACAAATATTTTTAAGGTGTAATATATGTTTATTTACAAATTTTTCCCTTTAATATTTAATACAATTCCGTAATAATATATGATAAACATATACATCAATTTTATGATTGGTTATATTTTGAGAAGTATTCTAGTCTGTCATAGCCTTATGCAAATCTTTTTAAAAAAAAAAAAAACTTATTAATATTTCACAAAAGATTTATATTAATTTTACATTACCGGTTTAGTGTATGAAAAAAAAGTTGAAGTCTTGAGACAAATTATAAGTTTGAAACGTTATCGAACTTGATACCACAGTTCCTACGGCTAACGCGTTACCCAATGTGCCACGGTAATTCTAAATGAATCATGGTAAAATAAATAGGTATTTAAGCTAGGTATTTAAAACCATATTTAAACTCTCATAACTTCTTTAATAATAATTTCCGGAAAAAAATTTAAACAGTTCCGAAATCAGCGTTAAAAAACAAGTTTTAGAAAACAAAGAAATTCAAAGGGTGTCCGGTAAACTTAAACTTAATAATTTAAACATCAAAACAACTTCTTATCTATCGCTGTGTTGAAAATCTAGAGGTACTTAACGCTATCTAGTGTATATACTTATAATCTACCTTATAATACATTACTTAATATTACACAGGTATTAAATTTATTTGAAATGTACCTAATGAATGTTTATTTTGGTATTTCTATTTATTAAAAAATACTATTTAGAAAATATTTGCTTTAGAATAAGGGTAATACTATGTACAAATTAGAGCACTCTTACCCGAAAAGTTATTCACAACTATATTAATAAATAAACAAATATATATGTATAACAGACACACATTCAGATAAATTTTACAAAAACTAAACATTTAAGCATTATAAACCATAGCTTTAAATAATAGTATCTATCTATATCGACTATATCAGTAATTTTATTGTAAGTACCACGGACAGATACACACATACAGTGTAATTTAGTCCATGGTAGGTACAAATTGAATGTGCATTAGATAGCGCTAGGTACCTTTAGGAATTTAACATGGCTGAGATACGAACTATTTTGACCGCAAAATACGAATACTTTAGGTACTTCAACTGTTGAAAAAATTAATTTTAAATAAAATATATTTAGTAAGAAGTTCTTATTTTTACTACCTACTAAGTATTAAGTTTTTTTTTTATTTTGTATGTTAACAGTTAGCTACATCGTTCACCATATAAAGAGAAATCTGCAAACAGGTAGAGGAACTTAACATGTTTGCAGAACTTGATGTCAATAATTGAACCACCTTAGAAAAAGGCAATATTAGTAATCTGTAAAAATTGCAAGGCTCTTTAATTATTTTAAATCGGATTACAATAAAAAAAAACTGTTCTAAGATAATGGGGTCGGGTGCATGCCACTGGTTTAGGTAGTTCAATGTATATCTGTAAGCAACGATAAACCATTGATAACGAAAAGACGATTCTTAGTGCAGTTAATTTGATAGTAATTCTTTGTTAACAATATTTGTATGTCATATTATGGTAAAATAATTAAATAGGCATTATGTATTTTCTTTAATAATATTTGCTTAATATTGTACCAATTTTCTCGTTTTTCTTCCTTTTTTCCGGTTTTCTCTTGTTTTTTTCCAGTTTTTCATATTTGCTGGGAAAACTTCTGAGAAAATCCAGAAATTACCTCCCTAAGTTACCACGGAGATTAAATTTCCTTAACTACACTTAGCTGCACTTGATACATCGAAACAAGATTTTTGGTAAAAAAAGTTTGCACAACAAATAGAGGGGTATTTTGCGATTAAAATAGTCTAAGCGATGGCTTGGGTCTCCAGGTACACCAAAAATGCATTTGTTTTTTCTTTGTTTAGGTTAAAGGGGGGAAAAATGAAAAAAATGTTTTTTGGAACACCGGTTCAAACTCGCGAACACTAGAAAGAAATTAGGTATATATAACCATTCAGCTACGACAAACATAATTTGCATAGATAATATTTAGTTATTTAACATAACATATAATATCCGCTTAATATCAGAACTTTAAAAAGCTATAATTTCAAAATTTCCACTTAGTTAGTACACTCAATTCTGACTTCACCATTTTCTTAAATCAGTAATGGACATGTATTCAAAAAAAAAAAAAAAAATTGAAAAATATGTTCCACATAATTTTTTACTCAACGATTTTCGTCAAAATTTGATAGTAAAATTCCTTTACAAAAAAAAAAAAACTACATTAAACAAAAATTATCTTTTTTTGACCACTAAGTAACAACCTCCTGTTAAATTTTCAAGTATTTCTATTTGGTCTAACTATTTTATCACAGAGTACCTACCGAATAAAAATTACGTACAAAACTAGCAAAATTAAAATGTCTAGTTCAAAAATGGCTTAAATTTTTTGAACATTTTACCACGTCTAGAAAAGGCAAATATAAGTTTTCTGTCCAAATTTTAAGTCTCTACAAATATTTTTAATTGAATCACAACAAATAACAAAATTGAATAGTAATAAAAGCCTTATTTTCGTGAATTTCCGGTTTTTCTTACGTTTTATCTAGGTTTTTCCTAGATAATATGAAAATCACGTCGAAAATCAAAAAATGACCTCTTAAAAGTATCATCTGGTGACATTCTTTTTTAGAAATGGTGCCACGCATAAATATCTGAGCAAGATTTATGGTCAAATTTTTGTACACAGTATGAAAAAAAAAAAAACATATAAGTAAAACCAATACATTCTTCGCTACACTCAGAATCTGAAAACAAAATTGAAAATAAGTTATCTGTTATTGCCGTAAACTTTCTTGTTTTTTCCTAGTTATTAAGAAAACTACAAGGAAAATTAAAATGTTTCTCACTATCCGAAAACTAAACGAAATTAACTCTTAGGAAAGAAGTTACACTTTAAATTCGGATCTTATTCTTTGACAGAAAAAAAGATATTTTACTCATTATAGTAAAACCAGTTTTAAGTAGTTTTATTATTAGTATATAGTATATATCATTGGGCATTTACATTTAAATAATAAACAAACGATTGATACTGCTGATAAGTGTGCCATTGTTATGGGATGAAAGTTGGCAGTGTGGCCGAACCTATAACCCAAGAGTGGCCAGTCGCCTCCCTTTTTTTCGGTTGGTGGTGGTCGGTTGGTCATAACGATGGGGTGACCATTAAAATTCACAGAGCAAACGTTTATGATAAAAACTTAATAATTTTAATCTTGATGATTGATATATACACAATTAAATACATTTAGGTACTGTGATATAGTCATTTTTAAAGTAGATATGTATTGTTTACATACATAATACATACATTGATAATGATACAAATTATTTTTTATACTGCAATTAGTAATTTCGTTTTAAGCGATAGTCACGAATTTTAAACATTTTTGAAGAACAGAAGGAGTATCTCCCCTCTAGATCTTCCATGGGTTGTGGGTACACAAAATAATTTTGCCCCTCAAATTAATTTAATTTTGGCGCCACTGAAAATTGGAATAGAGGATATATAAAATAACATTCCTAATTTAAATCTGTATGCAAAAGTTAAAAATTCCTATCGAAAAACGGTTCACTGAGTAGCATTAGTTTTATTTTTCCCTTGTATCCAATAGCTATAAGTAAGTTTTTATAAAGTATTTGATTGGAGCAAGATTTCTGGTACCTAGTAAAGTTTATACATACTCACGCACACATACACACACACACACAACTATCATAGTAAACCCAATGTATTCCTAGCTTCGTTTAAATCTAAAAATGTTTAACAATATAACAATTATTTAAACAATTATTTTCTTGTAAACCTACTTAGGTACCTACTTAAACACATACAATATATCCTGCATATAAAATGAAATATAAATAATTAAAACACCGTTATTTATTTATTTAAATATGTATTCAATGATGTACTTATTGATGGGTATGTGTAATATTCTAATATTTGAATTATTAATTACGAAACTAATTATAAGGGTTTTTTTTTTAGTCATAAAATGATACAAAATATTATAATAAAAATGATTTTATCGCATTTTAGTTTTTTTATATTGAATTTCATGACACATGCTTATAAATTATAAAACCTTTTATCTACATCGTGCAACTTTTATGTAAGTCGATATAGTGTCTGTAGTTGCTACTCGTAAACCGTAAACGACGTAAATAACCACATATATCTAAACTATCCTATACTATAAAAAAATGGATAGTAGATATTTGTGTAAACAACGAATTAAGATAATATATCTTAATTTGTGGTGTAAACAACGAACCGGCTGGTGTTATCACAATTTATATTATCACTTGCTAGATAATACCATTCAGTTTCTGTTATACACTGTATTGACTTGTTGACGGATAAAAAAACTAAGTTTAAGATTAAAACCGTTGTATTTTTTTAATGTCTTTATTATTATCGAAAACAAGTGGTCGCGTGTATACTCTGTGTGGCGTGTCGAGTGTTTTTGTCTTTTGCGTGTGAACCAGCCATAAAGAAATTCGACTAGATACCATTCAGATTCCAGTGTATAATACCTACTGTAGTAGTCTTGAAGCAAACTTGAATTATCGGAGTTTTAGTGAGTACAATTTCGTTTTCAGCTTACGTTTAAATAAGAGATACTTGGAATTTAAGTTGATGGAAAAATTCTAAATAATTCTGGGTATAATAGGTAGAAGATCATTTAAAATAAGAATCTACTTCTGATACTTCTCTGATAAATCTTATATTAGCACCATTCATATCTCAAATAAATAACTATTGATATATATTTTAAAATCACTTTGTTAGGTATACCTAATTGAACAATTACTATTAAGTATTACCTACATTTTAATAAAAACAAGCATTATTAGTATCAATTTTAGTGTGTATAATAATATTATATAGGTGTCTTTATATTAGTGTAACTAAGTTTACTGTTTAGTTATTCTTAACTAAATTATAAATCAAATTCATAGTAAAATTACCTATCTAGAAGATTAATATTATTTATTGTAATCATACAAATTGTGTATAGGTGGGCACTCAATAGTATTTACATTTTTAGCTATATTGAAAATATATCTGAAATATGAGAAACTTTAATAATTATAAATTATTTACAAGAACTTTTCCAATTTATTAGTATCTTTAGCTATAATATGTATACAGGGATGCAGTGACACATTTTGTGATCAAACAATCAACTACAAATAGTTTTAAGGTCTAATGTAGTTTTACTTTGCATTAAAATTAATTGTTTTTTTGGATACACCTACATTAAAATATCTGAGATTAAAAATATTAGAAGATTTTTATTAAATTTGTACCCAAGGATGTTTGTTTACCTCTATTATGCTTTTATGCTTATTACATTGGCTAACTAAATAACTAACCAGTCTAAAAATCAACCTCCTTTATCTGTCTGCTTCTTAACCTGACAAACATATTACACATAATTAATAAAATATTCTGTTAGATGGACAATCATCAATCCAATTGCTAATCATGAATCAACATAAATTAAGGAACACTTGAGTTAACATTGATTTATATTTGATTAATTAAAGAACTAGTAGTATGTGCAGCTTATAGAGGTTACATTGACAAGACAACGGCCCAATAATTTACCCCTGATTTTAATCTTCACAGGTAGTATATATGAAATATCCAAGTGGTTATTATGCTCAAAAATAAAGATATTTAAGTATAATATATAATTTAAATAGGTACTTATTACTATTCGCTACCTACCTAGAATAAATGGTATCTCTATTAAAATAAAAACTAGTTATACAAATTGAATTTATAGATAATTACATTTTTTTCATTAACATTGTTTGTTTACTAACAAACTTAAAATTTTACCAAAATCATGATTGATAAATAAAATTAACTTTTATTCAAAAATATTTTATTTCAAAATATGCATTGAAATATATACAAATAAGATAGGTATGAGTGTTTCTATGTATAATTTTAGTTTTACTACAATTTTTTATATTTTATATCATATTAAACTATTTATTAAATAATTGTAAATTTAAATTTATTATCAAGAGTAGTATAAAGGATATCTCACAATGATCTGTCACTTAAAAGAACTTTTGTTCTATTCAATATTTTTAATACTTTTTATTGATAACAATTAATATAGCACAGCATTACAGTTAATATGTTATATTTTTTTTAAAGTAAATGTTAAAAATGTTTAAAGTAAAATTTTAGTGGTTGAAAATTTTGTTTAAGTGCAGGCTTTTATTTTTTTAATTTTTTGCAAATTTAAATATTGTGGTTTATAATCTTATAATATTTAATCAGTAGTCAGGCACATCAAATGACAAACATTTTCTTTTCCATGAGTTATACTTTTGATGTGCCTGACTATAGTAACTGTTTAAGTATTATAATAGATTATAAACCATAATCATATTTACATTTGCAAAAACTTTAGCAAATTGTAAAAATAATAGACCATAAGCAAAAATTTTCAACTATCAATATTTTTGTAAAAGTTTATTTTACAAAATGGCTACTTTGAATTTTTTTTTAAATATTATAGTACAATTTCAATATATCAAATGTAGCGTAAAAGCATACTAATTATTTGAAAAAAAAAAAAAAATTAAAAATGAATAGAACAAAAATTATTTCAAGTGTCAGATCATCGTGCGACACTCTGTATAAGTAATTAAATATGATATTATAAAATAAAAAAAAACAATTATTCCATGATATTATGTATATATATATATATATGTACTGTTTAAATTGATTAATTCTTATAGCATAAATTAGAGATTTCTAGAAATACATTGGTCCACTATGTTTTAGGATTTTCAGTGACACAAAATTATACAAAATAAATTAAATTGATATAAATTTATTTAAAAATTAGTATAATTTTACGTGATAATACTTATATAATTCTTTACATTTATTAGTTTATCAAACATACTACTTGGTGTATTGGCTTTTGACACATGGGTTATAAATTATAATATTCTCCATGAAATTAATTCTATATCACAAAAAAAAAATATGAATTAAAGATTATTAAAGGTATCACTTTCTAAAACAAGAAATCTGGAAAAATGTATAAACTAAAACGAAAAAAAGTTACAGGTTTTTATTTAATTTAGTTACCTATTATTACAGTATTAGGTAATATTATTAAACATGGTCGTATTAAATTTTAGAGAACATTGTTTTTTGTATTTATAATACGGTTTTATTCAAGTCTGGTTCTATGTAATACCATCTTTGTTATATTTCTGGCCATTTATCTAAGACACCCTAGGCTTATCGAGAAAAAAATGTGAATTTTTCAAACGAACACCTTTCAATCTAACTACACAGTTTATTACATAGTAATTATAGCATTTTAATTTCAATATACCTAACATTACAATTTAATACAATTAAACAGTAGAAAATATTTAATATTGATGTTAACAAAGTTTATGATATTTTTACAATATGTAGATATTGATAAAATATATGTAGTTATCAATAATAACGGAGGAAAAGCGTACAATTTATTCTGGTATGTATTATATTTACATATTGAGCTTAGTAATTACTTAAATAGTGAATATTCAAAAAAAAATCTCTCAATGGCCAATCTGTCCCCAGATTGTTTTTGAGCAATTATTAATAATTCCACTTAGTAAATCTAAAACGCTTATGAATAGAGCAATGAATTAACACTCTATTTTTTGTTTGTATGTATTTATTTTAATTATTTTATCAGAAATTCTTTAAATAGTCAATGCATAAAATTCTTATGTTATAACCTTGGTCGTAGGTATTATACCTTAAAGAATTTAGTATGTTATATTATGTGCGGGACAAGTGGACTGAAGAGCTATTAATATAACATACTAAATTATTTTCCAAATATTATTTTTACATTTTCGATGCAATTCAATAGTATTTTTAATGGTAAATGTCTAAATTTGAAACTTTTACGGATTGGTTTTGGTAAAATAAAGGATAGGTTCTATATAAAATAATTCGGGTAAATCCCAAATGATTATATTGTATTTTGGATTTTTACTAAAGAAATAATTAATGATGGTAAATGTCTGAAATTTAATTTTTTTTTCTGGCTATCAATCGTTGTTCGTATTATTACCGCACATATTATAATATATTGGTTAACATAATATTCAATATTCTGTTGTAGAATTGTATTGTTATAACATTAATAACTCCTCTAAATCAATTACCCAAAAAGGGGTTAGTTAAATCGTGTTTGTTATTTCACCTGTCTAAATATATTCATCTACAAATGAGTGGAAATATCGAAACAATATCCCTGTGGACATATTTGTCATCAGATAGTAGGTACACTGTTTTAGATAAGCTTTGTCTATATGGTTTTCCGACTTCCGGACTTACAAATTACAAAACGGGGCATTTAAACAATATTCAAATTTCAAAGTAATGATTAAATCCTCAAAAAAGCTGATTCTAAATAATATAACCTTATCGTTTATACTGATGGTAATAACTCTAATAATAATAATGTGAACTTATACTAAAATCAGGGCCGTATTATCGTTTGGATGCTGTTTAGGGTACTAAATAGCATACATTTTTTTATGGTGTAACGCAAGAAACATTTGACATAGTGAAACTATTTTCTTAATTTAAAATAGACACAAAAGTTTCAAAGGCTATTTGAATACTGTATGATATGAAACAATATTAATATTATTATTTACGTAAACCGCTGTCATAGTTATTTACATATATATTATGTATCGTATTCATAGTAGTTGGTCGTAGTTAATTCAGATATTAAAATATGTAATATGTAACATTTGAATTTTTCCATGAAAACGTCAGTGTTTCTTGCACAATTTCAGAGTATAGACACAAACCATATCCCATCAAATAATTGCTGTGTATATTTATATTCATCAATCTGGAGAAGAGTAAAAGATAAAGACAATGGTGGACACATTGTCGGGAATTGTGGGGAAGGTGGCTTGAGAGGTCAAGTCCACTCAAAACGTATAGACAGACAAATTAATCCTCCTCTAATTAGTTGTTAGTATTTTACATTTTATTGGCTGGGTTTTACCCATAAGGACGGATCATGTGTTTTATTAATTTTCGAATAAACATGTAAAATCACATTTGTTGTTAATATTTCAACTGATGGAAAATGTTTAGTTAATTATTTAAATAAAAAATAATATTTTTTTTACGTTGCATGAGATATTTTTGGAGAACTGGGCTATATTTTAATATTTACGTTTTTATTTTTAAATTTATTAATGCTCATTTTTAAATCACTTTTAGGAGTAAAATATTAATATCTAAAATTTTGTGACAAATGCATTATAACCTATGGATGGCAAAAACCGTAATCTGGGCTTGGTTTAAATTTATCTAATTATGAAGGTATACATTAGTATATTAATAGAAAATCGTATAAGTTATGAAAGTTATAAAATATATTATTTTAATAATGAGTGACATTAGTGACACCTAAAATTTGGCGATATTTATGAATGAGTCAAGGCAACGTCTTCGTTGATCTTTGAAGCCTTTAATTTCTTACTTGACGTACCGGATTATATACGCGAGCTATATGACTAAAAAGTTTTAATTTGAAATTCAAATTAGGGTTCCATGCTATCTATCCTTTCCGTGTCTAATCTTTCTTATGTACCATAGTAATAGACATGCATTCTCGGAAAAGTTTTGATGCCCCTGTTGCTGCACCATCGTACGCCCATCGTTCGTATCGTATTAAATTCAGCGGTTTTTCTTTATAAGACATTTAAAGTTTAGTTCAGGACATATGTTTAAAGAGTTAATATAATTTACGTAAAGATAATTAAATTATTATTTGAAATTAATTTACATAAAAACTGATAAATATCATATTGATCCACTGAATTAAATTTAAGGGTAGTGAAAAAGTATATTAGTTTTTAATGATTGCTCTTATCAGATATATATTTAGAATTATTTTTTTAGGGGGTTAAGGGTATAGTATTTTCAATTCCTATATTAATTAAACATATTTGTATTACTTTAATGATTATAATATAGTAAAAATTGGGGTGGTTGGTCCTCTTGACCCAATTACTACGGGTCTAGTTATTCCTGCAGTTCAGTTCTTTTTTTTACAAATACAAATTTCAAATAATTATTATCTTTTTAAAGTATTTTCCGTGTTATCACTATTTATAGTGTATCATCTAATTAAAAATTACTGAAGAAAACTATTTTAAAACTTTTAGTGCCTACAAAATATAAACTGAAAAAAAAAATATAAATACACTCTAAAATAGTATAATTGTTTCGTCACTATGAATAGGTTCTATATTATTTGTTGTTCCAGAAGTGTTTAAATTTTTGGCAAATCCTAAAAATTGAATACTTATAATATTTTAAATTTCATAGGTATACGGATTAAATGTATATAAGTACATCATGTAAATTCTATAATAAATAACAAAAACATATACCTACATATATTTAAACGAAAATGTAATTTAAATAATGGTGTTTTATAAAGTTAGTGAAAATTGTGTGGAAGATTGATGGCGTATGTAATTTTTGTTGTATATTATAAACTACTTGAATAACCAATGATTATAAACATGTAATATTATAATATTACCCAGATGTAGTACAACTTCTATAACTCGAAATTATGTACATCAGGTGATTCATTCAAATGGGTACACTCATTATCTCAGAAAGTATTAACTTTTTCTGGAATTTGTTTTCTAGAAAATTTAAGAAACAAGCTGCTCCACAATTTTATATTTGTGTTATTTTTTATCACCCTTATTTTGGAGGCAAAACGACTAATTACTATTTATTTTCAAATTTTCAATTTTTTAATTCTGTCAAGCCGTTGACGAGATATACCACATTTAATTTTAGGTTGGAGGAGAGTAGTGGAGTATTATTAGTGTGGCGATTCGGCGCGTGACGTTTAATAATGCACCACTACTCTCCTCCAACCTAAAATAAAAAGTGGTATATCTCGTCAACGGCTTGACAGAATTAAAAAATTTCAACACTAACATTTATTTTAACTAATACTCAATCTATTTATGGATTCTTTAATACAGGTTGCCGTTTGAAAATAAATAGTAAGTAGTTGTTTTGCCCCCAACAATAAAAGTGACAAAAAATAATACAAATATAAAATTGTGGAGTAGCTTGTTTCTTAAATTTTCTAGAAAACAAATTCCAGAAAAAGTTAATAATTTCCGAGATAATGAGTGTACCCACTTAAATGAATTACCTAGTATATAGTAAAACGAAAATTGAGTCGTGGGGTTAATTTAAATACAAAAATATAATAAAGTATCAATAAATGAATATTTATCTCAAAGAGTTATGATTACTTACTTAAGTACTTATAAATATTAATAATTTGTTTTGTTAGTTGTGTAAGTATATTCTCGTTTTTAGTTTTATTTTTACCACTTTTCGCTCTATATTTATATGAATATATATTCAAAACAATTTGTTAAAACATTTAGTTCTGTACGATCCTTTAAATTAGGATTTTAATTTTTAGTTTTTACTTTTTTATTATTGATTCGTATTTTCCCTCCTTGTATATTTTGTACCCTTGTTTTTCGTACGGGGGTGGAAATATTGGAAATACTAATTAATAATTATTTTACTTCGCCTCATGTCCCAGCATTATCGGCTGACCGCACAGTGTCATTCGCCCTTCATCCTTTTTTCTCTTTCGCTCCTTCTTATATTTTCGTCCTCGGTCTGCCTGTCGGAATACGATTAATTAGTACGAAACAAAAATATATACGAAAGTTTTAATCAATTTCGGTGCATAACTTGGTTGCCTGTATACTGTGTACACATAAAGTTTATAACAATTTCACGTGGCAACTTGATTAACTTTTACCGAAAATGTCCTCCAGGTATTTCCATGACCCAAGTTATACTAGAATATTGTCAGTTAAATATTTACTTGCGCCCGTGGTGAATCTCTTTGCGGTTACCATTTAGTGTTTAGATTAAGAAATGCAGATTTAAAAGCATGATGTTTAATTAGTAGCTGAATGCGAAGTGTTTATTCGGTAGGTTCTATTTCCTCTGTAAAAGTTTATACTAATGTTTGCAAATGTGGTGTATACGGTAATTTTTTAATTTAATTCATAGAAATATCAAATAAGTCTGAGTGAAAAAGAAAAGAATCTTAAATAACATTTACTCTGTTTTAATTACTTGTACCTAGAACACATTATGCACATTATATTACGAATATGTAGATTTTTTTTTAAACGTAAAGTTATGTTTATCAAATATTAATTAAAATTTTAAATTTCGAGTGCTTTGTGCAATAAAAATAATAAGGTGATTTTAAGGTGCTTTTTTTTCTGAAAAATAATTTTTATTGTGTAGGTAATAAACTTAAACAAATTCAAGTTTTAAACTTTTATGGTATAAAATTCGATCTAATAAACACATATATCCTTGCGTATGTTTGTATGCCTGGCATAGTTAGAATATATTATAACTGCCCATGACGATGGCTGAGAACCCTGAAGGAAAAATATCTCTTAGCCCCTATTTGAAACGGGAAGACGTGGTAAAGAGGGACGCAAAGTCTCTTAATGGAGGTCTAGACTGAAAATCAAGAGCAGCTTACAGAGAGAATCGGAGGATTAGTTATTTGGCAGGATGGTCCTAGCGGCCGGGGTAACACCTAAGAAGAATAAGACTTTTTATCCACATAAAACCAAATAAAACTAAAAAAAAAATTAAGAAATTATAGTACCTATATTTTTACAGTTTATGTTGCCATCGTGTTTACACCGACAGTGTCGGGAAGAAAAGGGGGGTCGGTAATTGGGTCACATTGGGTACCTGCTTCATATACAATATTTGTTACATTTTAATATTTGGGTATTGGGCCACAAAAAAGAAATATATGTTTTTAAAGGGTACCTGGACGTTGGAACATATTACATGTATAACACAAAAATATACTAATACATAACATTTATTAATTACAGTTCCTATATGCAGCGACGCAACTAGGATCTTAGGGCCCCGATGATAAGGCAAGTCTGGGGCCCTATAGCTATTTAAGTATTCGTAATAAATTAATTTGTTTTTAATACTGACTACAAATCAATAAACGCGATAGTCAATTTGTATTTATTATCAGTGGAATAATATTAATAATAATGAACAATAAAACAAATTACTCAATATTAATTATAAAGAAATAATTAAAAAAAAAAAATGACCAGTGAAAAAATAATTAAATGAAAAGTACCAATTTGGTAATAAATATAATGTGTACATATCTTATAATATGTAAAAATTTGATATTTTTGTTCTGTTCTGCAAATTTAGTACTTATTTGAATAATATATTTAATTCTAATAAGTACTTACAACAAATATCATCATGTTTTCCTTGTAAACATACGCATAAGTAGTTTTTATTTTATTTTACAAATCGTGTATTAAATATTTATTATAATGAATGTAACTTTTTATAAATATTAATTTTCACATAGTTTTTAAATTTAAATTACAATACATTCCCGCCGAAGTACTACCATTGGATGGCCACTTCAATTCATGTATTTCATGTGANCGATAGTCAATTTGTATTTATTATCAGTGGAATAATATTAATAATAATGAACAATAAAACAAATTATCAAAAATCAAAAACATGACCTTACTAAAGTATTATCTAGACAACTTGACCTTTCAAAATAAATGCTCCACGTAAAAATTGGAGCAAGTTTACTTGGAAAAAAGGAAACATCTTAGTAAAACCAATAGCTTCCTCTCTACACTCGGAATCTAAAAAATCGTAGATCTTTCATCATAGTAGGTTATAGCGTAACCGATGTGTGGTTTTATCTCGTCGTAATCTATTATCACCGACACTTGTTATCGTCGGTTGTTGTGACTGATGGACGTATTGGCCCTGAGAAGGGCCTTTCTGAGGAGGCGTGAGCTCCGTAATAACTTATTTTGTTTATAACTTGATTATACGTTACAAATATTTCAAAAGTGATTTATTCGGATATTGGCAAATATCAAATTTTTAAATAAGCTTCATCATTTAATATATTTATATTTGTTGGAATATAACTTTACATGATACCGTTTAATGGTTGAAATATATTACATTTTTCGAATCTAGTTTTTTTCTTTTTAAAATTGTCCATTTAATAATTTTTAATTATGTATAAAATTCTCGGATGTCATAAACTCATAACTACTATACCTCGAATATCTGTTTTGAGGGGCATTACAAAAGCATCGAACCATTTAGAAACAAAATATAACATAGAACTTTATCGTGTGTTTATCATTTGCGTTGAAATAATTCGCATAGTAAAAATATTTAGCGTTAAAATAATACAAACATGGTTAAAAATATATTCTGGAATTTAAATTCGACAAATATATATTTATTTTTTTTATAGTTGTTACATTTGTAATGGACTCGCATGAATTAATTGTATTACGTTGGCCGATGTGTTTTTGTTTATTTGACGTAAATTGTACACATACATTCGCAGGACCCTCAATAATTAAAAAATTTAGCAATATTGTTGAGAAGGTATTAGGGTCTAGTCCAATAAAAACATTGGAATCATATGTACATAATAACTGTTGAATATAAATGGACGTTATTATGCTGCTTTTGGGGGGAAATTATAATAATATAATAGAGAGAAAAGTAGGTACCTGTGTTCGTTTGTATTTTAGTTTTAGATTTTTTAATTTAATGGTTTTCTTATGTGTGTGATTTTTTTATTTATCTATTTTTTTGTCTGTAAACAATTTTCCTACCGGAAATCTTGTTCCTTTAAGGATCAATTTTAGGGTGGTTTCCGGTAGTACATTTTGTCAATTAATGTATATTTTTACAAAAGGTTATTTAAGGGAATGTTATTTTTTGATTTTTTAAAAGTTTTCTTAAGATATGGCCAAGGTTAGGTTGAGAAAAATAGAAATATTTACGAAATATCTAACGATTTATCTTGTTTTTGATATTGTGTTTTTTGTTATAATTTAAATTAAAAATTCATTTCAGATTAATATTAACTGTAGAAACCTGAAATTGTCTTCAGATTATCTTCTTATATTTTTTTTAAGATTGCTATTTAGCTTCTCAAAAATACTATAAAATTTGATACAAGATTGTAAGTTATTTTTGAGGTTGTTCTTTTGGCAATATTAATGAATCGAAGATCTGTATAGTAATAATATACAATCACAGTTTTTTTTATAGCTTTTAAAGTTTAGATTTTGATGAAAATTGTAAAATTCATGGTATTGCATATCTATTATTTTTGGATTTGTGTATATACAATTTTTTAGTTTTATACAAATGATCAAACATTTTATACCAAACAACAATTAATATAATTTTTATTTAAGTTATCAAAACAAGGCTATTAACCAAATTTCGCTCAGAATTTTTTTTTCGTTATCAATTCATAACGATTCGATTTATTGTTTTGTGTATATAGTTTAAAAATATAAATTAAATTATAATATATATCTTCCCAACGTCTCATTCATAACAGTGGCCTACTCTGAGCAGTAACTTGTATGGGGAGTGTAGCGACGATGTTATATTACGTCCTCAATGTGCTAGCTTTTTAATATTATTATTTATTTTCTATTCTTTTAGGATTTAAAAATTCACTATATTAAGATTGGTATTTTGATATGATTTTTAATTAAATATAAATATAAGTTTATATTGTATGAGTCAAGTTGGGGTTTTCTCGATTTCTTAAGGAACTTTTTTTTTTTTATGAACACAAAATAAAAATGGGTAATAATATTGGTTATATTAAATAACATAAACTTATATATTATTTAATAATATTACTACTTCTGTAATCCAAAATGATATCAACTCTATAAATGTCATATTTAATAAATTGCATCGAATAGTTTTTATTAAAATAATAAAAAAGTGCATTTTTTCAAACTCGTAAACAATCAAACGTCGCATAATGGAACACCTATTCTCAGACATTTTTTATGTATCGTAGGTATTATAATATATATTTTTATACATTTATATATAAATATACATAGTGTTGCTCATTGGTCACTACCCATAACACCTTTGCGCTTGGAAAGTTTTATAAGAGATTGAAAAAAACTGTCACCGTACATTTCCGCGAGTTTTTACGGCGGTATTATGATAAACAGCGAACTCCGAGGGAGAGGAAAACAATAAAAGTAAGAGAAAAAAAAGTACTCTTGAAATAAGTTATGCGCTTCGTACAAGAAGTTTTCTAAGACACGGCGAGAAAAAGACGAAAGAAAAAAAAATACCGTGTCATTATTAAAAGCACGGAGATAGCCGTAAAAAAGGGTCGCGGCAAGATTAAAAAACTTATAGAATACTTATCTCTAGAGTGTGTACACTGTACACCTTAAATGGCCTAAGTGGACAGTGCGTTGAGAAATAGAGCGCCTATATTTTTCTAAATATTTATACGATACGTTTGACTGATATGATTCACACACATACATACATACAAATATATATGTTTATATACATATATACGTGTGTGTGTATATATATATATACACACATACGAGGATATATCCAAATATTAATCAAACTTACTTTTAGAAAAAAAAAACTAAAATATCAATAATTTCGATTCACGACGAATTTTTTTAAGCAATTCAAAAATAAAGAAAATAATTGGAACGAATTTTTTGGGATATGTTACACCATAATCGGAATTATTTGGAATTCACATAAAACATGTTTAGAATATTTTAATAGTCTAAAATACAGCGTAAAACATCTTTCCCACTTATCTTCGATTTTAATTTAGAAAACAAATTCCAATTATTTACATTCATGTTTTTCAGTTTTTACCAATAAGTTGTTTAACATTCGACTTGTATCCGGTAGGATCTAATGATGGAAATTATGGTATATTTGGTAAAATTTGAAAAATAAAAGAAAAAATGCACTGAACAATTATTATAAATAAATGAACAAGTTTTGGCATGTGCAATGCCGCATTACACTTCAATGTTAGTTTACGACAAAAACTTTTCTGCGATCCATATGTACTCGTCTTTTCAAGTGTTCGGTTTTTACTTTTTAAAATATAGGTTAAATTTTTCATTCTAATCTCCTCATTAATAACATCGTTCATGCAATCATGCGATATGCATATTTATAAATTATAAAAGATAGTATATCAACTATTTGCATTTAAATTGAAAATCCGGTTGAAAATATAAAAATTATCGCTTAATCGAATTGGATTAGCATTGATTTATTGTTTTCTGAATTACCAATTTTAAATAATAGATATTTAGTATGAAAAATAATCATTTATTTCATGGTATTTCATTTTTATTTTTTGTTTTAGATCCCGAGCTATACTCATCAGTCATCATATTGTACTATATTGAATGCAATTTTTATTTATTTTTTTTAAAGCAGTCATACTTTGCAATATGGATGGGCTGTTGTAAGTGAGAAGTTGGTAAGCTAAGATATATTGGGTATTTTATATTTAGGTTATATACGTAGGTTTTCACTGAGTTGCGAAAAAAAAAAAAATCAAAATTATCAGAAACCTAAGATTTCTGTTAGAAAAATTGTTAACGAACAAAAAAAAATAGTATATAATCAGTAGTATAAAACCAATACATTCCTTGCTATGCGCAGATTTTAAAATAATAAAACTTGAACTTCACTATCTTGTTTCGAAGTGAGTGCAGTGAGGCGAGGGTTTAAGATCCAACACCCCGAGTTTCCGTAACTCACCTTTTGTTGAATTTTTTATTTGAGGAATATTTTTATTTTGCTGCTAACGTATCACTGTCTTCGAGTGGATAATTTATGCGCGCATGTAATGCAATAAATTCCCTTTGTTCCACGGTGCTTTTGTTGTATTTAAAAAATAATTATTATTATGAAAAAAAAAATATATATATGCAGGTGAACCCGAGGATGAAATAGTGGGCAAAAAAAATTATTGTTCCAGTTTTTTTACTTTTAAAAATATTTTTTTTCATTATTTGCCTAGGGTGTTTTAATAAGTGCTTGCGTCTTTTGTCGTTTTTACTAAATTTTAATTATTAAAAATCTCATCAGCGTTGACTATATTGTTTTTGTTTTGGTCATTGTTATTGTTTAAGTACATTCAGATGTATTTACTGCGGAAATAAAATATGCTTCGTATTTTGAGAATTGTTCAGTACTGTGATGTTTTATATGTAACAAAATTATCTTTTGTTTTTTCTGAGTATTTTGGAATTAAAATTATTTTGTTATACTTTTTTTGTATTTGTTTTGTCTTAAAATTAAATTTAACATTTATGTAAGAATTTAAAATCTACAATTCAATTACTCGATGTCGATATAGTAATTATATTTAGTACTAATGTTTTTTATTCTTTGTAAATTATAACAATATTATCTGACAAACTTTTAATTTTTTGCTTCTTGTGTTGCAGTAAATTAAGTAAATTATAACTTATAAATAACCGAAGTTAGTTGTTTTACATTTTATTTCATTCGTATAATTCTGCGAAATTTTATAATATTCGTATTTTTATTTTGGCCTACTTGAGTATTTATCATAAGTTATTATGGTTGTTGTGTGAATACATGAAATTAAATTACACAAAAAAAAAAGTTTAATTGCTCGGAAATGTATATATTTAAATTGGTAAGTAGGCTAAAAAACAGAATTATTCAAATCATAGACATGAGAATATGAAATAAATACACATAAATTAGAAATGACAGCTGTTTTACATGTAATATAAATTAAAATATATATTCAAGCCAACATATTTATGCGCGAAAGAAAAATAAAATGTGCGATTTTTGGGGTAGAAAAACAAATTATTGATGTTTTTTTTTATCATGGAAATATTATGAAGAAATTGTGTAAATATTTTGAAAATTATAACAATATTAACAATTTTTTATGGCGATTATGAATTATTATGAATTATCTGGTGTTTTTACGTAGGGTGGTTTTATCTTGGGTAGATTTATATGGTGTCACCATACTTTCGTATTAAAATAAGAATCTATTTTTGTAAATTTAAAATTTCTAACAATCAAAGTGGTGTTCATATCAGAAATGTCTATTGTTTGATGACAATATTTATACTTATAGTTGTAGTATTTGCATTTATGTATTTTAAATAAAACAGTCGAATAAACGAGTAAAGCCGAATACTCGGCCAATTCCAAACAATAATGACAAATTTTGATGATTATTTAAAATAATATGTATTCAATTTTAACAAAAGTGTTAATGATTTTAATGTAACATTAACATGAATATGTGTGTTATTTTTTTCTTCTTTTTCTTACATGATTAAAAAATAACTATAAAAAATTTTAATATTTTAATTACTTTTTGTTTTTAACGCGTTAGATAATTTTAGGTATTATAATTCTAACTTGTTAAGTTAGAACGATATTATGTATTAAAACCAACTAGTTAAGTTATTAAGTTACTTTCTAACTTAACTTTAACTTCCTCAAATAGTCAGTGGCCAGATTTGATTATTAAGTGTTGCTTATCAAAAATATAAATATGGTATAATTGTGAAATTTACATTAATTTTGTAAGGAAAAATATCCGATTATCTATAGAACTATAGTAAAAAAAGATCTAGTTAATGCTTATTCATATTATAACTGTGATGTTTTATTCATTCCTAGTATCTATCGTATCTATCGATTATAGATTAAAATAAATTAGCAGTTATTTTTCCAGTTATTTTAATAAGATTAAAATTATTAAACTCTTTTTAAAATTAGCATAGGTACACAACTAGTGAGTTTCAAATAAATTACGATGTAGTTACCTATATAGAGAATAATAAGGCGTTATTAACTTAACTTATTAGTTATTGCTGATTGATTGATATCTAATTGATGTTTTGCGATCACATATAAATATGAATGAATATATTTAATTGTATAAATAAATAACGTAATATTTGCATGTATAATTAATTACGTTTAATTTGTATTTTTAATAAAATAAATAATTTAAGAATTCGGTGTATAATAATTATAAAAAAAACTGCCATGAATGATGGTTTTTTTTTTAAAGGTCCATTAATATTATTTGTGTAAACTTATTTCAAAGCTCGAGAAAATGTGTTTATAAATTACAGTAGGTATATATCTTGAAATTATTATTTGTAATTCTTTAATAGTTTATATTTGGCGTTCAAAATAGAATCTAACGCTATTAAAATTGTTATTTGAGGGCTTTTATTTTATTATTAATGGCTACAATTTGGTACGGGTTTCTCCCCTTTGCGTTAACGTTATTTCAACCCTTTTTTTCGTGGTTAATTGAAAAAAACAGTGGGTCTTCATAGTATATATAGTTGTGAACCTGGAAAATAATAGGTACAATTAAAAAAAAACCATAACGGTGTCTGCTTTCGGAAGATTACCCTGAATATATATTCATACTATCAACACGGCCATGGAAGTTCTATTGTTTGAAGAATATTTTTTCCGAGTTATATGAACTTTTAAACATTTTTGGTATTAATTATATTTTGCTATTATACTCGTATTAATACTAATATATTATTATTAATAATTAGAAAAAAAAAAACTGTTTCTCTAAATTATTTGGATACTATATATTATTATGCTATGGCTATAGTAATAGTGTGCAAGTGTGTAGTGAATATTTGCACAGTTTGGTGTATTTAAATATAAAAGTAAATGTTATTTAACAAAAAAAAAAAAAAAAAAAAAAAAAAAAAAACGTTAAGTGTAGTTTTAGTTTAGTTTTTATAAATTTATAGTATTTATCATTACATCTATAATTTTTGGTTATTAAACTGTACTTCAAAAAAATACAAAATACAAATTTTTCTATTTAAATTACATACCTAAACATAGTGTATATATAGGACTAAGTTATTGTCAATTATTTATTATTTGACCTTTATATGATGTAGTTTAGGGTTTTATTCGTTAAATATTCATTGTATAGTTGGTTTACTGTGCGGTGATGCTAAAGAAAACTTTTTAAACTTGTCGAAAAGAAAAAAAAAGTCTACTTATTTTACAACGGCTTAGTGCTATCTGATCGAATTCCATTAATGGTCTTTTTCATTGGACATTTTAATTTATCATTATTTCTATACGTGAGTTGAATCAAAATCCGATGTTTGTGAAATAAACATTCTTTAAAAGAAAATACTAAAAAAAAAGAAAAAAAGGGGAGAGAAACATAAATTAAATGTTTAAACAATAAATGTGATGTTTGAGAGCGTTAAAACATTTTTGTATATATGTATAGGTATATTTATTAGAAAGTCTATTTTTAATTGTTATTTATTAATCATGTTATCATATAATATAACCAGGTTAATATTTTTTCGAATTCAAAGGTTAGTACGAAACTTTCCGAAATTAATGTATTGCGTATAACCAGTTGGCGAACAGTGTTAAAAATAATAATTATCGCCGACAATTTATTTTATATTCTACATAAGAGAAACCTTATATACGAAACTTATCCAAAACATCTTCCACTTCGTTAATACGATTACTTATACTATTTAATAGTATTTGTTTGTTCACTATGTTTAAGTAACAATAATTTATTTACACACACGTGAGAATATAATACGCATGCTTTATACTATACGCTATGCTATAACTGTACTTTCGTTCCGTATGGTAGTTTTAACCGATTAAATATCGTTGATTTATGTTCTCGAATTAAGAAAATTGTATACCTTATGCATTTTCTCAATTTCATTTGTGCATTAAATTGCCTATGCAATTGCGCACTTGGATTATTTTTTAAGGAATGTACATTTATTTTAGATTTCTATACATTATGGACTTTGTTTATTCCACATTATTATTGAACGATTCTATACTGCAATATTTGTTGATTATACATTTGTAGGTTTATGTCTAAAAGTAAACGTAGTTATAATTGATTATATTTATACCGTTAATTTGTACGGGGTTAATATCGTTTTACGGATAATTGATAATTAATAATCATTCGAAATTCTGAAAATATTATCCGTTTTTTGAGTATTATAAGCGTGTTTGTATATTGCTCCACGATTAAATTAGTGTTATTATTTTAATTATGTGAAATAGAGTTTTGCGACTTCAGTTACCTATACTATTTATTCTAATTAAGTTTTCGAAATGCTTTGTTATTTTCGTTAAAACTAAATTTTAAATTACATGATTACCTAATAATAATAACAATATGTTTTTCGTATTCAATATTTACGGGTAAAGAGTGTAGGGTCTTTGTGTTTTAAATTAATTCTATAAATACATAATTTTTCTTGTTAGCCAATATAAAATATAAGCAAACATTTGGAGAAATTGTTACGGTATTTACAAATTATTTAAAACTATATAATTGCAGTTATTCTTGTTTAATAACTATTTTTTTTAATGTGCTTATATATGTTTGTTTTTTTTATTAGTTAATAGGAATGATATGGTCATTATTATAAAAATTTAAATGATTTAATACGTATAGAAACTATAGATACATGTTTATCAATTATTTTGTTTTATTTTGTTTTATCACCTATAGGTTATTACAGAGAAAAAATATTAAGTTACCTTTTGTGCTTGTTACATTTTAGTGTAGAAATTTTGTGTATTTGTTCGATTCTGTTTACTGCAGCGTATGTACTTTCTAAAAGTACTGGAATCAACTGTGGAAACGATGTTTGTTTTAATATACTTAATCCTGGCAATAAATGTTAACCAGTCATAATAAATCGGGGGATGAATTTTGATTCGGACGAAATGATATCCGTCCCGTGTGCGTGTATTTATGAAATAAATAGGATTTGGGATAATTCTCGGAATTAAAATAATGGGATTTATCGGCGGAGGGTTCTGTCAACGTCAAAATTCTAATTGTAAGGATCGATTTAGCATATTATTATTTTATAGTATTGTTTTTTTAAATGCAAATTTTATAATTTAAGGCAAAACGTAGTATTGTTGTCACATACATATAATTCATATTGAAAACATTGAAAACAGACTATGGAAAATATTTTAATGTTGATATCTCACGATCAAATTAGAATTTTATTTTTATAAATCCGAATTGTTTATTATTATTATTATTAATGAATTAAAGAATAGAAATGGTATACGTCGCATACGATAAAAAGAAATACCTAATAAATTCGTGTTTGCTCAACGTGAATTTATAATAACGCAGTTGAATTATAATAATTGTATATATAACGAAAGTACAATATAATTTAGGTTACATGGTGTACCTACGTGCGTATAAGTATAAATATTAATATATAATCGGGAAATAATGATAACGTTCCGAATTCTCTTAATTCCGCAAACGCTCAATTCGGAAATAAGTTTTTAAGGTTGCCGATTTATTTACATACATTTTCGATCAAAAACATTCTGCGTAGTTTTTGTGATGACAATTAATGGTACTTCGAAAGTGTATAATATATTTAAAACTAATCTAATGGAATATTGATAAATATAAAATCCTATAATACAGTAAATAGTAATTTGAATTGTTTGAATATTATTAAATTAATTTTTTAAAACAATGAACTCGTAATAGAAATACTTACTTTTTGTTATAATCAGCTTAAATATTATTTTAAAATCTATAGTTATACTTTAAAATAATTCATAATTGAACATTTTATTATTATAACTCTGTTTAAAAGAATAGGCATAATATGTGTCTACTTGTGAATGTGTTTTACTATCTTTTTAGTCAATGCTTTTTTTTGTTATTATATTATTTTATATCGTATGTATTTTTGAAAATGTTTTGACTGTCATTAATTGTTTATATTATTATGTTTCCGTTGTTTATTAGGGTCAGCATTTCCTTTATTGAAAAATTATGTTTTTATTAAGATTTGTTGTCATAAGGTTTGACTTCATTTTCCTTCGTGTTAGAACCGACAACAGTGGGGGATCGTTTTCATAATAATTTCCATTGTTGCCATCGTTTATTGAAAATATACTACTAATATATATTTTCAATTTTGTTTTCTTCCTATCGTGACAGTCTCACATATACAGGTGCCTAACTAACAAGACTGTACAATAGTAACTTACAAGTAACTTAAATACTTTATTTAAATTACTTAGTAAAACTTAACACAACTGAAGTTGCTCAAGCTCCGAATCATCTCGGCCTTGTTCGTGGATCCGACAGTCTGGAGATTCATTTTGCCCTTCCTCTTTGCGACCCGGTTACATAAAGTTTTTTAATTTATATTCATTAGCAACGATAAACCATTGTTAACGAAAAACGATCCGGTGCGAAAATCGGTTATACATGTTTTGATAGACCGTAATATTTACAATTTTAAAATTTAAAATTTGATACTAAAATTCTTATAAAAAAAAAAGAACTGATACTTGTGACGGATGTAGCCACTGTTGGGGGAGGAGTTTGACAGAGTTTCGGGGTGCTTTTCTCCTAATTGCGCCTTTGTATTAGTTTAAAGACGATAGTGTACTAAGTATAAAGTGTCCTTCTACCTATATGAGACCAGGCCTTTAGCAACTTCCAATCACTGGCGGAATTTGTCGGAATTTCGATTAAAAATGTAGTCCCGAATGTCTCGATAACATGAGAGTGCTTTTTAAAATAACGTTCTATATTTACAAAAAGTTGCAAAATGGGCATGCTACTTGTTTACATTTTGATTTTTATCAATTTTATTATTGTATTTTATTCTCAAATCACAAATTAACTATCATATTATATATTTTACGTTTAGATTTGTGTACGAATAACATAAAGGGTTTTATTTTTATACGGTTTACTGTATATTTCGAAGTTTTTAAAAACCGTTACTAAACAATCCGCTGGCGAAGGTTATACCTACATTTATGTATAATTTATTATAATAATCTGGAAAATTGGAAAACAACGTTCAATCTGGACTCGAGAGGTAGTATGTATTTTGATTATTTATGTATTGCGTTTCAGCTTTCCGTCTCCACCATCTTTTGGGAATTCCCATGGTGTATAACGTAATTTTCGGCGCATAGCTGTTTATTAATTTGCTTTCTCTCTTTCTCTTTCCCACTGCCTTTCTGTTTGCCATTATGTATTGTTACCACTGGCAGGCCTTTGGCGACGGTTAAATATTTAAACTGTTACCAAGTGTGCTGTTCTTGCAGTATTGTTTTCTTTTCATCAAATCTGTAGATACTCCTCACGTTTAGACTTGGTTGAAAATTATTTATTGTTTCTGTGAAACGAAAAAACAAAAAATTCAAACCGCTCTCGGGGTTAGTCCTGTTTGAAAATTAAAAAAAGCCAACATATTATTCGATTCGAAAACAAATACCGTACTGCTACATGCATATTATATTATGCAACTTCGTATTTTAACAAACTTTATAGTGTATTGTTTAATTGTTATTATTGTATACATATAAAAATGAATTGTTCATTTTTACATGTAATTATTATTATTTATACAAATTAGTCATAAATAAAACATATAAATAATACTTAATAATAATAATTGATGAAAATCATAATTTTTATAAATACGAGTAAGATATAAAGAACACGATTTCAAATAAATAATATAATAATTTTATTTTATAATGGAAATAAATTTAATAGATTTGTCTAAGTGGTAGTATTAAAATAGTTTTATGTAATTATGATTGGCTGATTTCGATAAATTTATCGAGTTCCATTAGGTTGGTTGCAGTTTATAATAAAGCCTATCATTGTATCCTGGAATTCAATCTGTTTTTTTTTGTCATTAGTTCGTCGCTCAATTACAATTATTACGCCTTTGGTATAAAAGTGTTTTCTCTCGATTAATAAAAACAATAGCTTTTAAATAGCCTAACATCAATCGACCATTGTTTTTACGTTGTTTTTGTTGGTCGAGTTCATTATGACACTAGGCCGATTTTGAATAGCTATACACAAAATACTCTAACGAGCTATTCTTGATTATCACTCGACCGCATCCAAAGGTTTTTACACATACGTCAATTTTATTACTAAAAAGCTTTATTCCATTAATGTATGCATAACAAAAACCCAAATTCATTGCGTTTTGTAGAAAAATTAATTTTTTTAAAAAAACTTTTGAATTAGTTTAAGTATTAAGAGGATGTGAATACATAATACTTGCATGTATCTACTGTCTCTTACAAATGTTCGAAATAGGAAATTTGCGTTCAGTAGGTACAACTTTGTCCTGTTAGTATTAATATTAGTTTGAATTGATCTATTATCAAACGTAAGATAAGAACATTATCTGTCTAATTAAATGTGTTAAAAAAATTACGACTAGTCTTGTTTTGTTAGATAACGAAGTTTGCAAGGTTACTATAAGTTAGAAAAACCATGAAAATTCGGGGGAATTTTTTTTTTCAACATGGAAATTCAGCATTAAATTACAAATTTTCTGAAATTTTAAAAACTTAAAATATTGCACAATATTTGCTATCAATTTTCGATATTTTTTGTTATTTGTGATGTTATGAGTATATTTTGAAAGTGCTACTTTTAATATTTTAATTTACGAGAGTTATGTTAATATATGTACTATTATATACAAATTTATAACGATAAAACAAATATGTTGCTTAATATTAAATGTTTTGGACATATTCTAATGAACTGATTTGAAGAATTGAGTTGAGCTCTTTTTATCTAGTAAGTGAATGTGTATTCATATAAAACTATGGTAATTCTGTCCTGGAAAACGTGGAAAAGTTAGAAAATTGTATAATAAAAGATTTGTGGCAACTCTTATTTTGATAAAGTCAGGTAAACAATAGTTTTTTCTTTTGGACTTGGATTTTATTTAATTAGAATATTATTATTATAATTATTTCATATGACATTATATGAGCAACACATTTAATTTTACTAACTAGGTACATATACAAATAATTCAAGGTAGTTTAGGGTAAAAATAAATTAATAAGTAGATAAATAAATTAATTTAGTCATCAAGTTGGTAAAAAAAAAAAATTGGCAGTTATGATTTAAGAAAAAATGGTTGTTATAATATGACAGCCAGGTTTTCCATCCACGTTGTCGCTTCTTTTTTAACTTGATGAATATCATGTATGGAACCGGTGAATGCTTACATTGGATATTCATTACTGATATGATTGATCGTCTGTGATGCGTGACCACAATCACATGCCTCAGAATCACGCGGTTCCCATTTAAACATCTTGTGACCACTTCTATTATGACCTGTTCTAATGCGGTTTAGTGTAGTTTACATTTTCCTTGTTAACTCAAACCTGGTTGTTTGGTAGTTGGTTGGATCACTATAGAATATGAACATCGGGGTTGTCTGTTTTCTAATCTTCTTTCGATTTGTGGAATGCAGTTAGAATATTATATTACATAGATTTGTTGTTTGTTTTATACAATTTTTTTTGATTTTTTTTCATCTATGTATGTATTTTTTACCATTTATCTTTGTTACTGTATTCATGTTATATTTTTCTTACTCGATCGCCTAACTAGTTTTAAATTTTTTATTAAATTATATTTTAGTAGTAGACAGAAGAATAGATGAATGAATAAGTGTAGTAGAGATGAGAATACTTAGCTGGATGAATGGAATGACAAGAGAATAAGATAAGATAAGAAATGAGCACATAAGAGTTAGGTATTGTTTATAAAATTAGAGAAAATAGACTGAGATGGTTTGGACATAAATATTGAATTATCTAAAATTACCCAATAAAAAGTTTGTATAGGTTATTTATGATATTTTTATAGATTACAATTAAATAATTTGAGCATTTGAAAAGGTATTTTCCCTAATTGTTTCCATTTAATTACAGGTAAAATCATTTTGTTTTCACTACTCCGCATCACGTGTTCTAGTTATCTGATCGTCTGCCTTCTTACAAAGGTGATACTATTTTCATCTTTTCTTATAAATCTTTGTTAAATTTCTTCCTTCGCATATTTTTTTGTAAACTTAAATTGACCTAAACATATAATAAACAAATTTAATACATAGTGGTTTCTGCATTAAAATAAAATCGCTTGATTCATATAATTGTAAAATAAAAATTACATTTTTAAGTTAAAATATAATTTATACATTGTAAACGAGTAATTCGTATATTTATTATTTTGAGATTTTACGACAGGAGTGAACATATTTACATATTTATAATGCCACAACTTAATTTAAATAATGTCAGATAATATTACATCGTTTTGTATATAATTATTATATGTAATCTAATTTACCCGCTAGTTATAGTTATTAATTTCCGTTATATTTACCACAGTTCCAATAATATTAGATTCATGAGAATTAACTGTTACTACATGTGTACTTGCATTTTTAAAAGAACACTGCCGATCGTTTCACGTTCAATTGTTATTATTTTTTTATTGTTTATTATAAAAAATATATTTTATTATTTTCGTGATAAAGGTCATGTATTATGTTAGATACCGCACGGGTACGTTTAATTTTTGGTACCCGCACGAAATTTTTTGATCATTTATATTTCCCATTTTTATTAGTAGGTATACCTTTTTTTTTAATGTGTTTTCTGTTTTAATAATTTTTTGTTTTTTTATTATTCGTTAGTCGTTATTATCTGAGTTCTCTAATTTTAATTTTAAGTCTGATTTACACTTGTACGGTACTGCGCGGTACGGCATGACTAACACAAATATCGTCCAGTTCTCTTATTATAACCCACCGGCAATGACTGACAAGCACATAGCTACATTATTTTAAACCGATATTAGTTTGATTACAGTTTTTGTTTCAATATTTCAGATTTGTATATTTTAACTCTTTCAGTGCAGGATGAGTTTACGAGTCAAAATTTTCACAAAATTATTTTTTCTTAGAACTAAAAAATGAGTATACATTTTGAGTATCGAAATTAAATTTTTTTGGATCAATCTAATATATATAGTAGTTTATTTAATATTTTGATTGTATAGTCACACATTATGCATATTTAAATTAAATTGATTTCGCAAGACACCGACAGACTGACAAAATATTGTTTGCTAGAATGGTTCTGTGCCGTGCCATACAACTGTGAATCGGGCTTTATTCTTCATATTTTCTCTTAATGTACCAAGTGTTGTCCAAGTATATTATATGGTCCGAGATTCATTATTATTTTATAGGTATCTACTGTCTAAGACCCTTGAAGTTTTATTGAGATGCTTCATTATTTCTTTGACATCGTTTTACTAATGAAGTCTTAATGAATTCTGGAAACAAAATGAAACAAAATAAATGATAGTTGTTTTAAATAATTTATGTACAGACCATATACTTAAAATTACAAATGAGTTATATTTAAATACATATATTATTATTAATTTATATTAAAATTATTGGCACTCACTGACCAATAGATCACCATAAAACTTGGGTACTTTCAACTTAGTACAGGCTTTTAAATTTATAACATACATAGTGTTTAAGGTAATAATTATGAAAATTCAAAATATTATTAAAATATTATATAAGGATTTATACTAATTAAACTATAGTATGTACTCGTGTATGGTGTATGTATACCATATAATTATAAATATGCTAATTTAACATTATAAAAAGTAGTGATATTTCATAAAAACTATAAATATGAAAATGAGGCTATGTTCGGTAAGTAGAAGATGTTTGTCAGGTTTACCGAAAAAAGAAATGATATTTAATCGAGTGAACAATTTAAATTGTAAAACAATTTGCTTCCTTACTATTATATTTTTGATTTGTCAAGTTGTATCTATAATTTTATATGCATATATGAATCGTTTGTGCAAACTTGGCACCCATTTGAATATCAATGTATTATTTATTTTTTCTGCAAATGGAACAACTTTTTTTCTTACCAAACTTCGTCTTTTTTCACACCTATATTTTTGGCGGCGGTATATTATTTCTTTTAATCGTAATAATGATCGTATATGCATGTAATGTTGTCGTAAAGGTCATATTATAAACATTTTGACCTACCTAGTTGATTGGTATTTAGTTTTAAAGATAATTCCTATTTCCCATTCCCGTTGGTTTATGAATTATAGTTATAACCGAAAACAGGACCATAGTCAATCCTTTGTTGAGTCTTATATATACACAGTACCCGTTCTTCGTCACAGTTTAATGTAAATCCTCCACGAGGGTTTGTGTTTTAGGCGGTCTAGCCAATTTGAGCGATAATCCTGCTTGTCCCAGCGGGAATCTTGGTTCCAGGATTATGAAGGTTGTTGTGGGTCGTGGGGTTTAAATAGACAGTTTAAACCATTTGTGTAACGAAATCGATGACAATTTATTCACCCGTGTAAAGATTAGCTGTTGGGTGTTTCTTGATCTTGTATTGGCTGTAGGTATATTTGTTTTTACAACGTTTAACGGGTAAAAAACAAATTCAACCAGTCTGTGGTTAAAATGTAAACATTATATTGTCATTGAAATATCGATAATTATCAAGTGATAAAATTTTAATACCGACGTTGTTGTAGAATAATACAAATTATCACCTGTAGGTTTATTTTTTTCTATAAACTATCTAATAAACTACACAGTTTATTTTTTATATTATCAATCATACAATGTATTATAATTATCAAAATATCTTGATATTGTTATCTGACTAGTTGTTATAGTAGGTTATAAAAACGTGGACAATTATTAATGAATAAAAAGTAAAAGTTCGTTTTATTAATTTAGCATAGATAAATAATTATAAAACATTTTAGATTTAAAGTGTACATTTTTTATTAGTTTGGTTTTTTTTATAACTATATGTGAAGGGTATNTCACCAATTCAATGATCACACAAAAGATACAGTATAATCAGTATATCAATACAAATTATTTGATACCAAAATCGCCATTTTGAAAAAAAGTGATTTCTGTTTTTTTTTCATGTATAATGGACATATCTTATAACATTGATTGCTATAACTGTTTTAGTAAACTTATTACTTATTTACTTATGCTTATACTCATTTATTATTACTTCATAGGGAAGTGATTTTTGGTAATTATTTTCAAAGAAATTTATTTAATATTTAGCGTTTAAACATAATAATCAAAATATCTACTAAGGTCACACTGATTTTTTTGTTATTCAAAAGAAACATATTTGAGTAGGGGAGAGGTTTTATTTGGTTCCGGGAGACTTTAAAGATAAATAGTAATCGTGGGTAAGATTAAAGGGTCAGAATTCAGGAATTTCAATATTATCAAATTAAAGGCAACAAAGAATGAAAAAATAATTTTTATTTACCTAAGTAATAATATTTGTAGTTTATTTTAAATTTTGTTACAGATATATTTAAAAAATATATGGTCTTTCGGAAAATTTGGTAAGTTACTTTATTGTTATATATTATAATGTTTATAAGTATTTATAATATAAGAATTTAGAATTTAATAAAACAAAAAATATGAAGAATGCAATTTGAGTTATACAAGTAGTCTTACGAAGATATGAACATTGCAATGTCTTGGATAGGGATAGTATTACTTTTATTTGGATTTTTTTTTTTTTGAAAATTTAAGGAACAAGTATCTAAAATGTTACAATGGCATTTTTTTTTTTTACTCTTTTTTTGGGGTGAATTGACTACCTACTTTTGATTTTTAAATGACAACCCATTTTATAAATTCAATAAATATACGGAGTAACAGTTTAAATACATTTTGGTTTTCACATTTTTGATTTCCGCCACCCTTAAACGAGATATTCCACTTGTAAGTTTGGGTTGGGGACAGTAGTGGAGCACTTTAAACATTCAAACGCCGCGCCTATTTGTTTCTTAAATTCTGAAAAAAGTTAATACTTTAGTTTTAATCCTGTAGATTACTTTATTAATCTCGTTTGGAATTTAATATTTGTACTAGATTCTACACTTGGCTAGAGATATGAAATCGGTTTGGGATAAGATAGATATTATACTTTGTACATATTGTACCATTTCGTGTAGAATAGATCATAATATTAGGTATACTGTTTTTTTTTTTGTTTATTATATAGTAATAAAATATTGTTAGTCAATTTGTTTGAATCGTAAAACAAGTAAATGCAGTTTTAGTCATCAACGTTTGAATAATGTATAACTTTTTACGAGTTTAATAATGTGAATTGTTTATATATGTAGGTAGTTAATATTTTATCTTGGTCATTCTCGTATATTTCTATTATTTTAATAATTTTAAACTGTAATTTATTTATACGTGTATAGTAAATAGATATTGATTCACGTAGGGGAAATAATACAATTTTTTATTTCTAATAAATATTATATTTGTATTAACAATTATTTGTACATATTTTTAAATTTATCTATTTCCTAAATAAAATTAAGTTATTTATCTGATGAAATTACATTTATCTAATTAATCAAATTACAATAATGTACATATACGTTTTTTCCCTTCCCTGTATTTTCTCCAAGATATTTAATTAAATTTTTTAATTATAATATTATTATGAATAGTATACATTGTATACTGTATATATAAGTCAATAAATATATAAATTCGAATTTTAACTATTCTAATGTTTAAGTATTTTGTATTGTACGTATCTAGTTTATATTTAGGATATTAAATCATTTAATTTTAACGAGAATCATCCGTTAAGACACCCGTAAGTCTATATAATTTTTCAGTATTTTATATCATCTGAATGCATAATAATGCTATATTAAATCTGTTGAAAAAAATTGTGATGGGGGAGAAATCTAATATTTCCATGTAATGTGGATACGTTTTGTTACCTCTTTTTTGTTGTTTCAAATATTTAAATAAGACGTCATTCACACAGCTTTAATAAATACATATAGCGTAGAGACGTGATTCGATTTAAGTTTTCATGTTTATGAAATTTAATCTCTTGACATTTTTGTTTTTTCCTTTGGATATTTTCAAATAGATGTCTTAAATATTTACAAAAACGCTATTTTATACGTTTCCACAAAAAGAGTTTTTATACAGTTAAATTGTTCTTTTGTTCATATTATTATTGATTATTATGAATCCAGTTCATTTTTCGTACATAATAACTTAATTTGTTTTGAGTATACAAGTTTATGATACAATTTTAATATTGTTCAACTTAATTTCTATACGCAAATACGTTAAAGCAACTATACAACGGGGATAAACTTATGATTTAAAGTGACTTCAATTATAATTATAATACATATAGTTTATACTATAGTGTATACCTTATTAAGTTCCATTTATTTTTTAGATTCTGAGCGCAGCGAGAAATGTATTGGATTTTTATGATGTGGGGGGGGGGGTTGTCTCTTAACAACTTTTTTTTCTGAAATCTTGTGCTAATAAAACAATTTAATGAGATTTTTTTTGTAGCATTTTGAATCTAATTGATGCTTTGAGGAGTTTTAATCATTTTCTGACTTTCCAATCAGATTCCACAATAATTGGAGAAAACTGGAAAAGTTGAAGGCAATAACGGTTTCATTATTTTCGGTTTTGTTTAAAGTTCTGTGCGGAGCAAAGAATGTATTGGTTTTAAAAAGAAGTTTATTTTTTTTTTGTGTTCACACTTTTTCTACTAGAAAGCTTACTTTGATGTATACAATGTAGACCCTTTCTGAAATGAAAATAAATTTTCTTAGGGTTGTATTTTATTGAGGTCGTTTTTCGATTTTCCCAAGAGTTTTCCCAGAAAATGTGAAAAACCGGGAAAAAACGGGAAAATCCGTACGAAACATGTAAACTGTTTTTAGCCGCTTTTGAGCTATTTATAAAAATTTTAATGTTGCCAGTTTTTACGTAATTTTTATTCTGTAATTGTTAGATCAAACAAAAATGTTTGATAAATTGAACTTTATAATTGAAATTGTAAGTTTTACTAGTGGTCAACAAAAAAAGTTGAGTTTAGTTTTGTTTTTTTTGTAAGTGTTTTATGAGAGTTCAAATTTTGACGAAAATCATACAAAGTCAACAGGAGCAAATTTTTTAAAATTATATTATATAGGGTGTCCCACGAAGATATACCCATTTGCAATGTCTCTTGAGTTAACAAATACAATCAAATTATGTATTTTTTACCAAAAATAAAAAATTAGTTGAAATATAAATATACATTTATTTATAATCTCTATCCCTGTAAGTAATATATATATATAAAAACAGAATTTGATAATATTTATTATTTTTGGAGATATTACAATGGGTATAATATTTTCGTGGGATATTCTATGTATTCTATATTTTTAATTATAATATAATATGATAGCGATTGGAATCTTATTTAAATATAAATTAGTCGAATGAAATATATAGTATATTATATAATAAATGATGAATTATTTTTACGAAGGCACTTGTGTAGTACCTATTTAATTAATGGGCGGTAAAGTTGTGTAGTGAACAAGAGGTCTGATTATTGGTTGGGCGTTATTAATGAGCTAAATTAAGGGTGCTGACGGTAAACGGATTGGGATTAATGAGTACTTATAATGATTTGATGCCGATTAAATCGTATCTAAGCATAATTATATTCGTTCGGTATTACCTATATAAGTCATAAATATAGGATTTTGAAGACTTTCTTAATTTTTATTATTTTTATCACTAGTTTTTATTTAAATATATATTTTAATATACTACATAGTTAAACAAAATATGATCGTATTTGTAAAGAACAATAATAATTTAATGGAAAATATATGATTTTATTCCATGGTCAAATTTAAATTAATGCATTATGGCTTCAATTCTATCTATTAGCATATAATAATTTGTTGACGCAGGATAATTTTATTTAATCATGCCAAAAGTCTGTAAGTACTAAAAATTTTAAAATGGAATTTCTATTTTATACGTTTTTATTTGTATTTTATTAAAATACCAATTTTAAATTTTATTCTCGTAATTAATTAAGTTGTATTATAAATATAATAAAATTTACGTAATTTTACTATGGTACAATTTTCTTCGAGTCATCTCATAAGTTAATCAAACTTATTAAACTAATAAAAAATTACCAATGTAAATATTTAGTTTTGTTTTTAAAATAATGACTCTTACTATAATAATTTAAGGTTTTACGATTTCTAATATTATCCTAACTGTTAATTTTTGATAAATTTTACATTGTATATTAGCTTATATTACAAATTTTCTTGGCTCAACCTAAATTACAAATTTATTTGTGTGAAACAAGGTTATTCAAATTCCATGATGCAGTCAAATTTTCGATTAAATACTTATTGTAAATGAAATAAATATGTAAATACGTTTTGGAATTTTGCATTTTAAAATTTAACATTGTCCTTATTTTAGTCGACCTTGTTAACATTTTAGTAATTTCAGTGTGTGCTTGGTGCAGCTTTTGGCATTTAAATTTTATTCTTCTTCTCTTCCGTGGTTACCGAAACTTAAAAGTGAAATATCTCGTCAACAGATTGACAGAAATCAATAATTTCAATACAAAAATGCATTTAAATTAATACTACATTTATTTATGGAATTTTTAATATAAGTTGCCAGTTGAAAATATAAAGTAGGTAGTTGTTTTACCTCCAATAATGAGGGTAACAAAAATAAGAATAATGAAAAATTGTAGGATATATGATCCCAAAAAGTGTTTTCTTATTTTATGAAAAAATAGTTATTTCATGGTAAATTTGATTGTACATGAAATTTGAATGACTCGATTTGTACTTTATTTGGAAAAAATTAAAACGTTAGAATACATAATTTAAAAAAAAAAAATATATTTTTAAAATTATTATTCGATATAACTAAATTTTTAGTTTATTTTTATTTCATTATAACTTTAAAAATAATATAAAGTAAAAGTTAAATTATTTTTATTGAAATATAGCCTATAAGAGTATGTTAAATTGAAAACTTCTTTAGTTTGTGTTGTCAGTGATATTACCTACTATAATTTTGTGTAGAGTTTTAAGCTAGCTCATACGCATAGGTAGATTTTAAAGCTGGCGGTAAAGGTGGATGCTACAAGGTGGTAAAACTTTTTGAATGCGTATAGTACCGGATCAGATGAACTTCCGGTTGTACAATCTTAATTAAATCACATTAAAATTTCTGCAAAACGACAGAGTTCAATATTATTAGTCACGCTCGTGTGCATCGTTAATACACATTAACATAGGTATATGTTTAAGTTTATATACCTTATTGTCTGAATGTATAAATCGGTTATTTTATACGTCGGGATTTGTATACGGTCCACAGAATATGACCAAGCTTAAACATTCATAAAGTAAGTTTATTCCCAGAGCTAAATGGTGGGCCAAAAACATAATTTTAGATTCAAAGGACACGGGTCAAATTAATTTTGAAATGTAGAGCTTATAAAAGGATCTATGTCTTTTATAACCAATCTACAAATATACGTTTTTAGATTGGAAAGTAATGAACTATAGAAATAAACAAATTATGTTGTAAAAGCGATAACTTTGGGTATAAATTAATTGATGAAACAATTTCTTATTGGATTCTTGTAGATGTGTGATTTGTCTAAATGTTATATAAGAATGTCGAATTGAAAGTGGGTTTTGCCGTGTTTATTCTTCTTTTGAAACTTCACTTTTTGAGTTTTTTGTTGTGTGTAAACTTTTTGTGTACATTTTTTTACGAACGGCATTAATTTATCGTCATAACCTTTTTTTCATTCCTCCCCTTCACAAAGTCCCAACCGACGAGGAAACCGCTCCGTTTTCATTTGTGAAACCCATTAGGATTAAGGAGTCTTAAGAAGGACAAAAACCCTCTCCTTCGTGCTTTTACCATACCCCCTTTTCTCATCGGTTAAAATAGACCTGTGACGTTTGCGAAGTAAATGTTTCTCGTATAAATTCCATTTCCGTTAATTTCTTGGTATCTCGTGGCCACGGGGAAGGTTTCTGAGATGAGATGTGAGGGTGATGAAAACTGGTGAAATGCTGTGATTTATAAAATAGCCCGTCTTATGTATATATGTATGTATGTATTTATATATATGTATATTAATTATTATATATAATAATAGTGTGATGGGAAAACTTAATCCTTCTCTTCCTTCTAAGCTATTAACCTGCTTTGCTGAAGATTGGTTGTTTTAAGTTGGTTGGAATTGTTAACAAAATCACTTGGTCTAAAGTGTTCGTATAAGTCGCAGATAATTTAAAATTGAATATTAATTCAAGATTTTGTTTGTAATTCTGTATGTCGACAACAGAGTACAGTTGATGAGAAATACTCATTTTGCTTATTTGATAATATATTATTATTAATAACTCGTATTATGGAAACTGATAACTAATTATAATTAATATGAAAACCAATGGGAAACCAATCATTTTGGCATGTGAACTTAGCAATTTTATTTGGAATTCATTACAATAATATTGTAGGTCTGGTTATTCATTCATATATTGTATTTGAAAAATGCATCGCATCACGTTTTAACAACCGGTAGCACTACTATAGTGAAATCAGTAACGTATTTTAATGTCCCTTTTTTTTTTTTTAAACCTATTATGATAATACACGGGTCATTTTGTCTTTTGTTCAGATGGTCCTAATTTAGCATATTGTCGTGGAACGCGTTGAGTAGTGAACAATGTGTGGTTAAAGGGGGCGTAATATTTGGTACCTACCATCAATGCTCATAGAGTTCAGTTACACTTGTTCATGTCCACACATCACAATTCTACTCGTTATCGTAATATTTTTTTTCCTACATACAGACATTTATAATTTATACATACCTAATTTTAGAAGTGAGCAACGTGAATAAATTTGAATGTACAATTCAATATATTAAAACTTTGAGTCTAGAAAATATTTGTCTATATTTTACCTAAATAAAAATAACAAGAACGTTTGCATTTTTCAAATTATGAGATAATTGAACAATTAATGAATCATTGATATCAGTAAAAAATACATATATAACAATAATAATAATAATAATAATAATAATAATGATAATAATATTAATAACAATAATTATAATAAAAAAATAATAGTAATATAGATAAGATGATTGGTGAATCCAACTATAAATAGATTTTGTTTTTGTGTAAGATAAACGATATTTTATTTATTTAAATAAATCTCAATAATGCTGTAAACTTACTAAATCAAATAATTGTTTATTAGTATTAACCACAGATAAGCATATGAGTCTTAATAGTTATTCATATTGATTTATTAGTGTTGTTTATCTTTTTAAAGACTATATTTTTTTTAAATTTTTTAGTAAATCTGACAAAAAATATTAAATTGATTATTTCACATTGATTAAATAATTTTTTGATAAACATTGCTAAAATTATTTTTATTTATAGGGAAATAAATACTTTTATGAAATAAAACCCATTAATTTCTTTAATTTAATTCTCTCATTATATTAAATTTAACATAGAAAAAAAATGTTTAAAGGTAATAACCATATTTGTTTTTAATAAACAAACAGGAAACATCAATTTTTTAGTCAAAACGTTTTCTACAAGTAATAACCATTTTAATTATAAGTCACTTATTGGTTAATAATATGCTTACTTATTTTTATTTTCAATTTAAGTAGACAAATAATTTATTTTTAATACACTTAAAATTTAGTTTAATTTATATATTTATAAATAAATAATTAATATTCTATTATTCAAAATTAAAATAGGGAACATAAAAACAGTGTTATTCAACCCCTGTAGTTTATATAAAAAGTGATAATCAATTTATTCGATTCATCAGTTAAACTTTAATATTTAATATATATTTAAATTTTTTGTTTAATAAATAAATAATTATAATTGTTAATAGGTTCTACTTTTTATAACATTTTTATTTTTATTTTTGAATTAATTGTAGCCAAACCATAGTTGTATATATAGTTTGTTTTTTTTTTCTATAATGATCTTAAACCTAACGGACTGGATGTATAAATAGTAGTTGTTGTTTAGTCTGGAGTGGGAAATTGGAACACTATCGTTCAAACATATATCGCCATCGTCTGTAATCGGTATACATGTGAACACTATATATTCTCCTCATTCAATCCTCTCTTTAGGTTTATCTCCCTTTCTCAGTTTCACTATCTATTCACTCGTTCTGCCACAGTAAACGCGTATAGCTTATATGCCAACTTCCAGCAGGGCATTTCCATTTGTCCGGCATGCATAATTAACTTTGCAGGGCTCCTTCCTCTCTATCCTACAGCCAAGTTTCCCAGTTTTCGATCACCCTCGGGGAAACTTTACCCCTGTCTCAAGCTTAGGATAAACGTCAGTCAGGTATACCTCTGAGATAGGGAACACCAAATGGATCGAGGTAGAGAGGGAAAAATCGATTTATATGTTTTTTTAAAAACTATGCTTTTGTGTAAGAACAAAGATATAATGCATGTATTTACATAATATATAAATAACATATACATGATATAAAACTTGTGTTTTTTAGATTTATATTTGTATCCACAAATGTATACATTTGATTTTATTATTAGTGCTGCTCTACTATTTATAATTTAAATTTATGCCTGCCCATAAAGTTTATATATTATATTGGTCGTTGGCTTGGTTGTTGGAATGATTGTTTTTCGTCTTCATCGTTTTCTAAAATCATCAGAAAGCTATATTTGATCGATTGAGTTAATTATTGGACAATCAATTTTGTTTGTTAGATTTTTAGATTCTGAGTGTAGTGAAGAATGTATTGGTTTTACAGACATGTCTATTTTTTTATACTGTGAACAAAAATTCTACCAGAAATTTTGTTCCGAAGTATTAAGTATAGCACCTTTTCTGAAGGCGAATTTTTCTGGGGTGGTACTTTAAAGAGGTCATATTTTGATTTACTACGAGTTTTCCTAATAAATGAGAAAAACATGATACAAATTTAGAAAAAACGGGAAAATAGGTACAATATTAAACAAATATTATTAAAGAAAATATATAATGCATATGTAATTTATTTGGAATTATTTGGAAAATTAAAAATAACCTCTCCAATGCACTAATTAATAATCCAAAGCGCTACAAAAAAGTTTACTTGCCGTTTTTTGATTAGCACAAAATTTTTAGAAAGTCATTATGTCCGAGCACGATTTGTTCAAAATGTTTAATTAGTCCAATAGAAATGAATAGTAAAGAGGGTAATAATAATTATTATATTTTCACAAAAATACTGTTTGTTTGATAAATTATTGAATAGGTTGAATATATGAATATTTTTGTATATAGTATTAATACTATATACATTATAGTGGATATATTTTATAACACGTTTGGATTTTATTTGTGAAATATGTATGTGAATGTGTGTGTGTGTGTGTATTTCATTTTTGGTATTTCATTACTGTACTTTATCATCAAAATCTTGAAGGGTTGTGATGAAGAGCGTTAAAGCTCCAAAATTAGTCTCTTTACCGCATGAAGTGAACCCTTCTTTCCTAGCTACTCTTCCTTCACACCATATCCGTGACGTGATTAAACTCTTGTCAGTTGGACAGGCCGATAATTATATTTCCGGAACGTTTGGCTCGTGACTTATTTTTCATTACATCTTTGACGTTGTATGTGTTAACATTTCAGTATTTTCCTTTCTACACATACAAATTAGTACATTGAGTTTTAAATTATTAAATTACATACAATTTAATTACTTTTCATTATTTATAATTATAATTTACTCGAAATAAAAATTATTGAAAAAACAGTAATTGTATATTTTAAAAATACTTTCTATACGTTTAATATCCAACAATTTAGACTAATTTTAACATTTTCTTAGTTTTTTTATTTTTTAAAATCTAGTAAAACAGATTAATTATTTATTTTGTTTTATTAACTCTTTCACTCATATTAGCTATATGAAATTCAAAAGTATGTATACAAATTAAAGATTATTCATTTTTATAATTTTTTTATGAATTTACATAAAAAGCAGTTTACAGTTACTTATTAGTTATTATTTATTGAATTTATTTTTGTTTGTTATTTAGAGTAGGTATAGTGCGTGAGGTTAGTGTATGTTAGTATACATATTGTCTGCTATATAATAAATTTTAAGATTTATCGTTAGGCTCACAGTTTGTCGTGCAATACACATATACAATATTAATGGCTATACGTATTGACATTGATACGTTGACCGACGAAGACCTCTGTCAAGAAGGATTTATGTGGGGATATCTAAAGTACGTTGTTTAGGATTACGAGAGTATTTACCGCGCCGCGAATAGCCTTTTTTTCTCTCGTCGTGTAGATCCCGGGTGCAGAAAACGTTGAGCCCCGCAAAACACATGCACGTGTTACTGGACATATAGGATTATCGTACTTGAGCTTTACAAATGTTTTATATTTTGTATATGCAAAAAATAACAGTTTCCTATGAAATATTTCTCGTCGGGGAGAGGAAGTTAGCCGTGCTATGACGGAGAGGTAATGCGTTCAGCTGGGTTCCTGGACATTAGCGGTTTATGAATTATTAAAATATCCGACTGCCGGGAGTTTCTTCGCCGCTGCCGAGTCCATTAGACACTGGCAATATATCCGTTAGTGGGAGGGGGGGGGCAAAGGTCGGGATAGTCAATGGTGGTTTCTCCCTTGGGGATCCTTGTGCACCAGTTTTACATAAACCTCCCTACCTGTAAAAAAAATAAAAAATATTAAAAAAACCGTCTGTTGGGATCAACAAAATATTGTAAATGGATAAAAGGAGAAAAATATATTACATCGGCCGAGGGTAGAGTATTTACACCTGAAACACATTTATAGTAGTCCGTTCGATTGGTTATGTTTTTTTTTTTTTTTCATATAACATAATTTTTCCCAAACGTCAAAAACTTTCGGTTCAATATAAACATGATGATGTTCGTAATATATATATATAATCTTTATCGTCATTACTCAAATAAAATAATAAAAATGTGGCTCATATTGCTTATATTTGAGGACTATTTATACGTCTTATGTTCCATGTTACATGAAGTAAGCGACTGTTAATCAGATTAATTAATGTGTGTTAACATAAACTGTTAGTTTTAAAATAAAATATTTTTGGCTTACGAAACAAAAAATTTGAACAAGCGTGCCTAAACAGAACGAATTCATAGTTTAAAAAATGTATTTTTAAAAATCACTATACGATAAACATCAAATAGGGAAAAATGTATTATTATAATACTGTCAGCTTTTCTCTCGCATTATTATTTTATTTTTGGTTCCAAGTAGAACGATGCTGTATTTCTAAATTTTACTCCGGAATAGGACAAATGGGCAACGTAAAAGGCAAATTAAAATGTCGATAAAAACAGAGTAAATGAAATGAAAAATTCAATTAAGAATTCGAGCTGTATATAGAATCGTTTTTAAAATGCGATGATTATTGCAAAGTAATAATAATAGTAATAATAAAATGCTGAAACTGTTGTACCTGTTTTCAAAATGCTGGTTTTGCAGCTATACCCAAAGTACTGTGTTTTTTTAATTTTCAAGTTATAAACTAATGTAAAAAAATGCATCATATAATTTATTCAATAATAAAACAAAACAAAAAAACATTTACTAAATGCTTAATAATTATACCTTCATTTATTATTATTTTTTTTTTTTTAATAGACATTTTTCATTAGAATTGCGATTCGAAAAATTATAATAAGATTGAAATATATATATAAAAAAGGGAAAACAACGTGCGAAAAATGTAGAATAATGAAATCGTTTTTTTTGTTCGTTTCTTATTTTTCGTCTTTTTCAAATTTTCCAAATTATTATGAAAATTACTTGGAAATTTAAAAAAACATCTTTGTGAGCAACTAGTTTCAAACTGTAACAAACATGGTCTCTTGTCGCTTTTCTATTAGAGCAATATTTCTAGTAGAAAACATAGTTTGCGAAAATGAAAAAAAATAAAATCGGTAATGCTTGGCTCGAAGTAAATATTTGCCTTTTTATCTATAATTTTATTTCCTGGGTTTTCTAATTATTTCGTAAACCGCTTGGAAAATCAAAAAATTAGTTCTTCAATACACCAACTAGGTAATATTTCCTTTCAGAAAATGCGCTGTGCTAATAAATAATTTAATTTTTAAATCTTAAATTTATTTAATAATAAGTAACATTATACTTAATATGAATGGAGTTTTATTTTTGAAATGTAATATAATGTAACGAAGAATTCAATTTTATTTTAATTTTTGTATACAATTTTTTATCTGATTTTTGTATATTTCAATAATTTCCTATGCAATTTAGACTATTACCTATACCATTTTGCAACAACTATCTAATGTTCGTGATGTAAAATCTGAAATTATTGTTCTTCTACATTCATTCAATTACAATTATAAATGGTACATTAAAATTGTCAATAAAATATCATTACGAGTTACAATCGCACATAAATCCACAAGATGTAATCTATTTGATGACATCTAAAAACGAGTTCATACTACTAATGGGTGTGTCACTGTTATAGGTGGAAATTTTAGAAGGTAGGATACATAAAGTTATTTCATTTATTTCTGTACATAACTGCTGATAAATTACGATTCTGAGCTCCGTTCGGTGAAAAGTATTTACGATTTTCTTTAAAAATTGAACTTAAAATACTTATAAGAAAACTGCTACAATCAAATTAAGTTCAATTTTTTATTCCGATATTCCTACAGGATTTTTTTTAGGTTTCCAAATTATTATGACAACCGATTGAAAACTCGAAAAATGACTTTCACAACGCATAAAGTATACTTGATCTATAGATTCAAAATTCCACAAAAAAGGTCTCTTCTAATTTTTTCATTAAACAAAATTTAAGGTAGAACATGTTGTTTACAGATAGAAAAAAAAAATTGTACACATTATATCAAAACTAATACATTCCTAGCTTCGCTCAGAATCACGTACGAAAAAAAAATGTAAAATATAGAATTACGCTCATTATCTTACGGAAATTTGTAATAAAACATTCGTTTAGATTACAGTTTATTTTATTGTTTGATTTTTGATTGTTTTACTGTTTGAATATTACTTCGCTCAGAATATTTTTTTATTTGCAATGATTTATACTTTCCCAACTAACCATATAAATCAATTGTCTATCCGTATTAGTTTTTTTTTGTGTTCGTTTAAAACTTTTCTATCAGAAATCTTGCTCTGATCAAATTTTAGGTGAAGTGGTTTCTGGTAACAATTGTTGACTAGATTGTGCATTGAATCTATATGCCATTTTTTTCCCTTGTATTTGTCTTAATCGCTGGGGTAGGAAAAGGGAATAAATAAAGAATTCTGTTATTTAAAATTTTTTTTATTGTTGTAATTCAGTCAAAAAAAAAAAAAAATCGTAACCACTTAAAAATTTCACGGAATATATACATTATATATATAATGTATAAAGCTATATGTATAGCTTATACTAGAAATTTTAAGATGTGGTACATTGTACATTTAAAAAAACAATTCTGATAGCTATTTGTAATTATTGAGTTTTTTTAGTTTCTAATTGGTTTACGTGTATAACATATTAATGGATTCCCAAATATGTTAGAAAATTTGAGCATAGTTCATCTTAAGTTTTATTTTTGGACTTAAGAAATATTTGCTGCCAATGAGTTTGGCTTCAAAATATTATCGTTTAGAAATTGTATAGAAGTTGTAGTTGTTTTATTTCTGAAATCGATTTTAATGGCCTATTCGTTAGTTTTATGTGAATAAAGTTTTGCAATATTGCCCATTAGAAATTGTAGGTAACTGGAGGTATTATTATTAATTTACCCACTTGAATTCCACCAAAAATAAAAATGAAACATCCATTATTTATTTAATACTAGTACGCTATATTGATCGTAATATTATTTTTAATTCGTGGAAGCTATTCAAAAAAAATTGTTTTATTTGATTTGTAAAATACATATTTACATTTAATCGTCGATTATGGATGTATCATAACAAAATACAAATAAACAAAATTATTGAATAATATTTTAAATTCTGAGCATAGAAAATAATGTAATAATGGTTTATTATGTGTGTTTTTTTTTATTAGTTTGTTTATGTACAACTTATCTACCAGAAATCCTTATATTAATATTTTAGATCTAGTTGGTGTATTAGGGTGGTCATATTTTGATTTTCTAATTAGTTTTCATAATAATTGGGAAAAATTGGAAAAAAACGTCTAGGAAAAACCATTATTTTTTTCAATTTTATTTTTTTACCTGAATTTTGATCGATTTAATTTTTTTCTAGTAATTTGACTAAAAATAATCCTATTCAAATTATCGACAGAATACTTTTATTAGTAAGACCTATTCTAGACTTTTAATAATATTCAAGCTATTTGTAGGTATTTGATATTTCGATGTTTTTTGTGTTTTTTCTTTTTTTAGTTTTATGAGGATAAAATTGTTGATCGAACAGCATTTGGCTGGAAATTAAACACGAGGTTTGTTAAAAACTGTAAAAAAAAAAAAAAAAGTCAAACATCTTGTTTTAGTTTTTTTATAAGTATTTTAAGTTCAAATTTTGATGAAAATCATAATAATTAGAGTATTTCAAAAGATATTTAATTGAAGATTCGCTTAGAATCATGTTTTGTCATAATGATTTAATATAGCGTATAGATATAAATTATACAATTTTAAGTATCCAACTTCCAAATTTCCTACAGTGATACACCTATTTGCAGTATCAGTTCTTTTTGTATTGTGTCTATTAACAACGTTTTTACCAGAAAATTACAATCATCAACGGTAATGAAAAATATTTTATTTATTTCGTAGTCAAATTAATTTACGAATGAATACTCAAAAGTAATAGCCATCATAATATTATAATATCATATTCATATGTATGTATTACTCTAAATTATAAGTTCTGTCACTTTTGTGACTTTTTTAAATTTACTTAATGTTATCAACAATTTGCATTTTACCGTTTGAATATTAAGTTGTTTAGACTACGATAATTATTTATTTGATTATGATTGCATTATTTTTTATTTCATATTCTTTTTAATAGAAAGAAAATTGATCCAGGCTATAAAATAATAGTATTATAAAATCTGATGGCATTGTGTCATACATCAATTATTGTTATTCATAATATGATTTTCAAATCATACATAGAATAAAGAACCCAACAGGTTAGAATAGGTAACATAAGTAAAATAGGTTATATTAATAGTAAAGTCGCACAAGATATGATATTATAACTAATACATAATATATGAGTATATAACTGTATTAAATAATCTCATAAGGTAAAATTTACCCATACACTGACGACATTGCTATCGTAGTCTCTGTCACTAACTGGGATATAGTCTGGTGAAAATATAAAGTAGATATGTCAATAATTGATGAATATTTTTGAAATAAAAATGTTAAAATAAATTATGGTAAATCAAAATGTATTGTTTTTTTTTCCAACGATATAAGATCTACACCATAAAATCCGAGATTACTTTACCTAATAAATTAAATTGCAATACCATACTAGTTGTCTCCTGAGGTCAAAAAGGTCGATCATTTTAACACGAATTGCCTCCCAATAGGCAGGTAATGAATGTATAAGTAGTTCACAAACGATTCAAAAATTTTCAAACAGTATGCATATATATATAAATTTGTTTAAATCTTTTATCACGAAGTATTATTACGTTGGTTGTTACTTATTAATAACCTATCATTGGATTTTGGATTTATATATTCAAAGTCGTAATCTATAACTTTTGTGCATTGATAAGTTTGAACGACTAATATTAAACATATCTATTGTGTAATGATTACCGTCGTCAGCTGAGTTTAAACACTCGTTATACGATTTTATTTTTACAAAAAGTTATTAAGTGATTTTAAATTTTCTAATAATTTTTAGAATGGATCAAATTGAAATGCTGGAAAAGATTAGTGAAAAGAGCAGACGTGTTAAAATAATTAATAGTTTTAAATTTGGTTTTCAAAAAAAGTTAGCCTACAACAAAGAATGGGGGAATTGTACGACAAAAATATGCAAAGTTGTTTTAAAAGTAAACGAAAGTGATTGGGTAATATTGAACGAAAATAATTTGAATTATAATAAACATTATCTGAACAAGTAATGTTCATGCACATGTTTTTTATTGATCAACTATATTATTATTTTCAATAAAATTATAAATGTTATATTAAATTCAGTTTAGTTTATGAACTACCGCTTTATTCAATATGGGAAGCTATTAGTGCGAACATTTTTGAGAGGCGATTCGTATATTATTATGAACCACCGAAAGGTCAATTTAGAAGGAAATTTAATGTATATCTGTACGTAACGATTAAATTGCTAACGAAAAACGATTCTGAATGGAGCTCGGTTAATAGTATTGTTTTTTCAACAATATATGTGTCATATTATATTAACAAAATATTTATTAAAACAATTTTTATCGACCAGTAAGAAGATTTTTTCTAGAGAAACTAAAGAAACTATACTCATCTTTGAGAGGAAGGTGTTGAAAAAAAATGTACAGACCCGTTATAAATAAAACCTTAATTGAGAGTAAGGAAGGAAAAAAAAAGAAAGTAAGTTGGAAGTATTATTGTAGCAACTTATAATATAAAGTGTTTCTTAAACTCTAAGTGACTAAAATGGTCATGTAGGGTGAATTGAGAAAAGTATATATATATATATATGTATTGTGTACATACTTCGAAATATACTTGTTAACAAACCAATCGGTAAACGTCCTTTGGGAAGACTCTGGAAATGGTGGTTAGATTGAGTGAATGTGATGACTTAAAAATGGATGAACAGTACAGTAAAACTGTATGACAGCGAATCGTGCCTGTAGATGGGAGAGGCTTAGTAGATGCTGCCTCAGGAGATCTTTAATAGCCTGCTGTAAAGTTCAAAAAAATTAAAAATAAAGGAATATAAAAAATATTGATATTAGTGTATATCGATATTGTCGAGGATAAAAAATACTCGGGTGTTCTGTCAGACTTACGATATGTTTGTACATTTCGAGACTTGTGCGTTCACATGGTCCAGGTAAATGGCTGCTGCTGCAGGTATCCGCGATTATTTCGAAACGACCATAATATCAAACGTATATATTATTATATATTATGCATGCGTACGGTGTATACATATGTACTTACGTAGGTACTATATATTACGTAGGTACAGGTAACTACGCGGTAAATATTTAGCGAAATTGAACTCGTAGGTACGTGGCCGCATAATCCGCTATCTCTTTCTCTCTCCTTGTCACTACTCGTATCTGATTCCCTCGCCTTTGTCCGTCTACATTATATTATCTCCGCACAGTCCGTATTTGTCCTGTATCGCCCAATATAGCTTGCACGTTTCTCTCTTGCACTTGCTTATAGGCGACAGTATATACACTGTACGAAAGGGATTTTCTTTATTATAATATATATATATATATAGATACACTTATAAACCTGTGTTTATAAACCGGTGTGGTCGCCTCAACCCTCGGATTCTGTTCCACTGATTAAACACAACACGCGTTCGTTGTCGCACCGTGTCTTACTACACCCGGAAAAGCCAAAGCTGTAGCGTTAGTCACTAAATCCGTTCATCGTTTACTTCGTATTTTGTTAGGGTATAAGAGATTTTCTTACCACCGATAGACCGAAAAATCGTTTCAGAAAAATGATTTCGTTATTTTTTCCCTTTTCCACTTTTTTTTGCCGTATTACCGATTTCATGTCCTTCGGATTTTACAATTTTACCAACACCAATAAAAAAAAATTGCTATGCAATGTGTCCCATGCAGATTCGATATATACAATAACGTTTGTTTTGTTTAATATATTTTTTTTCTTATTTCTATAATAAAAATGATGATTAAAGGCTAACGCTAACGCTATGATTACTGTTTTTCATTTAAAAATTGAAGAAACTTCACGATTCATTATTAATAGATATATGTAACACCAATATTGTGTTTCAGAATATTTTGATAAAATGGCTATTTCGGATTTTGTAAAAATAATTTTTTTTTTTAAATGTACACTTAGATTCTGAGTATAGCGAAGAATGTATGGATTTTACAGAGCTGTATATTTTTTTAATTTTTTTTTTTTTATATTATGTAAGTAGAAAATTAGGTGGAATAAATCTAATTTATCAATTTTTTTTTGTTGAACATATGTTGAAAAAGTTGCCGATTTAAAAACAATGGAAAAATCAGAATTAAACGGACTGACTAAGTTTCGAAATTCTAGCTTTTTGAAGTTCTGATATTATGCGGATATTATATGTTATGTTAAATAACTATATTGTATCTATTCAAGCATATCTGCCGTGATGGTTATTTATGCTTATTATCATTAGAGGTTCTGAGTTAAAACCAGTATTTCGTAAAAAATTGTTTGCATTTTTTCCCTTTTCCTTTAACGAGGAAAAAAACAAATGTATTTTGGGTGTATCTAGAGACCTAAGCCATCACTCGCTCGGACTATTTTAATCGCAAAATACCCCTTGATTTGTTGCGCAAACTTTTCTACCGGCAATTTCTTTCCGATTTAAAATTATAGCACTTTTTCTAAAAGGAAATCTGACTGGGAAGGTACTTTAGAGAGGTAATTTTTCGATTTTCTCAAGAGTTTTCCCAGCAAATGTGAAAAACCGGGAAAAAACATGGGGAAATCGATAAAATATTAAACAGATATTATTAAAGAAAATATATAATACCTATTTAATTATTTTACTATAATATGATATACGTATATTGTTGAAAAAACATCACTATCAACTGAATTGCGCTAGGAATCGTTTTTTCGTTAGCAATGGTTTTCTTACAGATATATATTAAATTACCTATAAAACTAAGGCTGCTGCACCAGTCTCCATTATCCTAGGGCAGCCTTTTTTACTTTTAGTTTAAAAAAGTACATAACAAATATAAAATAAAGTGATCGTTAAGTAATTAAAATATTGAACAGAACAAAAGTTATTGCATATGTCATTTATGTGACATCCAGTGTAGACAGTCGTAAAAATTGTTGAAATATTAGCTCAATCTATTAGTAATACTTAATTTAAAGAAAGAGCTGTTACTTCTAATGGGGATGTTGTTTTGTAGATAGGATGTTGATAAGATAGGATAAATTAAGTTTTTTTAATTTTTATTTTTATGTGACGGTAAATAATTAGAATCTAAGCGAAGTTACATTAAATATATTTTGAAATATAATAATTTTGTCTATTGTTAAGTACAACTTCTAATGCTAACCGAACCTAACCTCGTGTTAAATTGTCAAGCGTTTCTGTTTGGTCAAACATTCACATAAAAACCAACGAAAACTAGAAAATGGGAAATACCTATAAATAGCTCTAAAATGGCCAGAATTATTTGGTTTTACCATGTTTAGAAAAGACTAATACAAATATTCTGTGAACATTTCAGATCTCTATATTTTTTATCGTTTCACTCAAAATCGAATACTCAAGTTTATAATCAAAATAAGTAATAATATGCATATTTTACTAATTAATATTTTAATATTTTTTGCTTTTCAAATTCATAATAATATATCTTGTCTACTGCTTGGCTTTGGTCTTTTAAAACCGTGTCTCTAAGTATAAGATCTGCCACCTATCCATGTTTTCTATACTACTTTTCTTCATTCAGTTCTACTAGCATTAAGATATCTTTTTTAACCTAACTTAAATGTCGATAGGGCATTCCTCAATCACCTGTTTAACTAAAGATCTCTGTTATCGTTATTCATATTCACCTCTATCTACATTATACATATATAATTGTTACATAATATTTAATAATCCAGTTTATTTTTTAAATAGCCGTTATATAATGTTATTACCTGTTTAATTGGCATTATAATGGTTTGATGTTTGATTTCCCTTTCTTTTTTTTTAAACATTTAATGATAATTTTATGCGGGTTTAAATTAATTATTTAATACACTCGAAAATACAATTACCTTAAAATTAATTATTTATTATCAATTAACATTAAATTTTGTAACTTGTACATTACTATTAAATATTATAATATAGGTTCGTATATTTTGAAAGATTTTTTTTTTTAAAACACGATGGTGATCATTAATAATTAAAATAACATGTATAGTTAATGGATTTATACACATATATACATGCAATTTATAGTACACGGTAAAATATCATTTATATACAAAAAAGTTATTTTAATTCATTAGTTTTTCCATTGTTAAAATAATAATATAATTCATTGTAATAAACTAATTATTTGTGTTATTGTATTAGATGGTAAATTATTTCCTTTAATAAATATTTTATAGCTACCTAGGTAGGTCGATAAATATGTTAGACGCATTTGGTTTTCGAAATTAATATAGACGTGAAATAAATATATTAAATGTCATTCCTGATTCTGCGGAGTAGAGTTAAAATATTGTATAGCATGCATTTATATTACCTATGTTTATATAATTACTTAAAATAAAATGAATAAACGGATTCTGTTAATATTACACTTAAAATAATCAAATCAAATTTATTTTAGTAAGTAAATAAAAAAAAAGTTATTTCAAAATATCTAAGATTAAATAATTTGATCTCGAACATAAATTATATCTAAAAACTACTCGAATAAATCCGATTATTTATTTAATACGAATGTATTATATATTATATATACATGTATATTATGTATCCAAACAGAAGTAACATTTAATAATATTAACCGCAACATAATTAATGTTATAGTCCCCCATATATCGGTAATATTTGTATAAATAATAGTTACCTAAATATCATTTGTTGGAAATAGAGGTTCAATAATATTAACGTAAGTTCAATTTTAATCGGTATAATACACTATATTATATATAGTCAGCCGAAGTATATTGTATAGATTTACACTAAACAAACAGGCACTGTGCATTAATTTTTAAATACCTAGGTATGTAAATTTAATCTAGATAAAAATACAAATCCTTTTATGATAATTTGTTTAAAAACTTAAGAGAGATCAATAGGTATCTATGTGACATAGTATTACGATGAAGGATGTGCATTCAATATCAAGATACATTTTAATTATTTTCTAGTCAGAGCTTAGAATTCTGTACTGGTATTATTTTCTTATTCGATTTGGGGAAAAAAACATTTTTTCCCTTCTTCAGAAGTCTAAGCTTCTTGAGTTTCGATTTTTTTTTTCTAAATTCGACATCTTATTAAAATTGCAAAATGTTAATCAAAAGTACTTCATTGTAAGATTAATTATCATTATAATTAATAATATGTTAAAAATAAAAAAATATTAAAAAAATGCAAGGGGACAAACGAAATCCATTTCAATATTGATGTAAATTCAATTTCTATATTATAATATAATAGATATATATTACTATTATTATAGTGTAAGCATATATTTATGCTTACACTTATATTATGAACTCTTAATTTTTTTTTTTAATCGATTTCTGAATCTAGAAAAAAATTACTGTGAGGTGTAGATATCACTAAATAAATTATGGTGGGAGATGTTGGAACTGGGAGAACATGGAAAATTGAACATTCCTAAAAATTTATTTCAGATGTTTTTTGGGCAAATAAGAAAAAACAAACGGATATACTTTACACGTGGGTGGGCAACTGTTGTAGGTGATAAGTTCAATAGGTAAAGGTGAAATTTAATGTTTATCTGTATGCAACGATTAATCATTGCTAACGAGAAACGATTCCGAGCGGAGTTCGGCTGTACTTGTTTTGAAAGACTCTAATATTTACAATTTAAAGATAATACATTTCGTAAATGTTCACATTTTCCCCGAGTTTTTCCATTTATTAGGAAAACCTCTGGGAAAATCAAAAAATTACTTTCTTAAAGTACCACTCCAGTTAGATTTTCTTTCGGAATACATACCTACTATACATTTCTCGCTCCGCTCAAGAATTTAAAACGATTCCCGAGACTATAATATTATTAAAGAATAGATAACTTTAAATATTTTATTTTACCTAAAGGTTTTACTAATACTTTAATAGACATTTATTTTTTAAATACATCTGTTTTATGTTAAATCTTCCATAAAATACACTACTACTACTATACACCTAATGTTCATTTGGACTGACAGGTTTTATTTTATTGAAGTAGTTTTTAATAAAATAATAATGTATATTATGAATTCATAAACAATTTTACGAGGGTTCAATATTGATGATTTTACATCAATGTAGGATTATTTTTGTATGAGCTTTAATTAATTCCATTGCGAGTAAAAGGTTTATAATGTATTTACCTACCTCAGTATATAAATACATTTTAAAATAAATATAGGAATTTCCATTTTCGTGTATCCAGTATAATATATTTGGTAAACATGTTGCACTCAGTGCCTCAGTTGGAATAATAAAAGAAAATGATATTTCCACAACAGTTTAGGGGCTCGTGTGTAGTAGTTATATTGGGCTATATACAAGCACTGGTGCATTATACACTATTTGATTTCGGGGCAATGGATTGATAGGCATTTTTTTTTGCCTATACAAGGACTGATAGTCTGATACCGTTGATGGGTTCACTAGTGCTATTGTAGGTGGGAAGTTTGGAAGGTAAGATATAAAAATGTAGGTATTTAATTTATATATTTATGTATATAAGCAACTACCATCCCTAATGAAATACGATTCTGAGCTAAGTTCAGTTATACCTTCGTGTTTAGAAATGCCGTAATTTTTACAATTCTTATTAAAATTTAATATTTAATTAAATATTTTTAACTGACATACTTTGCACGTGTGTGTAGCTACTGTTGTAGATAGAAATTTGGGAAGATAAGATACAGAAGGGATTTTTATGTTTATCTGTAAGCAGTGATAAATCATTGTTAACGAAAAAATGATTTTGAGCGAAGTTTAGCTGATAATGATGCTTAAGTATAGAATAAAGAAATATAATATAAAAATTAATAATTAAAAGAATATATTGAAATTGAAGTATATTTTATTTTAATGTAGCTCGGTCTATAGTATTGATTTTTCTACAATGTGGTGCGTTCCATGACAACAATGATTGTTTAAAAAAGATTAAGCTCTCTTTTCAATTTTTGGTTGAAACGGAAAAAAAAGCACTTGTCATAGTAAAACTATAGCATTCCTCGTTAAGCTTAGAATCTAAAACCAATTCTAAATTCGTTGAAGTCTGTATTGAAATATGATCTTGCTTCAAAAAATTCATTGAAATATTGTTTTTTTTTTAGTAATTCATTTATTACTTATGGTTACAAAATAAAAATAAAAATAACTACAGATACATCAACTTTTTAAAGTAATTATACGAGTAATTTGGATGTTTATCAGCTCAAAAATCAAATATTTTGTATAGAAAAATAAAGAATAATATATACATTATACAATATACTAAACTGTAATCAATTGAAATTTAATTATGATTTTAAAATTTTAATTGTGTTCGTAATAATTATTGGATAACATTTTACTAAATTATATATTTTTACTATGATTTTAAAGTCAATTGAATAAATATTTTTAATAATTTTTTTTTTATAAAACGTTATAGTTATAGTTTTCACTAAAATTTAGTATTTTGTTTAATTTAAATGAAATTCGGTGGTATTAAAGTTGTTTTTATATAAAGATTTATTATATATTTGTATATTTCCGGTTGTGATTCGTTAACAATAATAATGTATTAGAATTCAGATAGTCGTGTAATTAACAAATTCAACGTAATGTAATTATTCAAATAATACAATAAATGTGTTCATTTATTTCTCTGGCCATTTATCATAATTTATAATTTATAATAAATTAGATGTCGTGATAACTGGTAACTAAAATGTGTATTATACGGTGTTTGTGTATAATAAAGTTTAGTCCACATCAAGGACATTGGTGACATAAAATATTATTAATAATCTTCTACTCAAAATCCAGTACCCTTATGTGTAAATAATTGTTTTATTACTACAGTTATCTTTGTTTATTTGGTTTATTTGTGTAGATTTTGAATAGCTCTCTGCAACAGTAGTACGTGGTTTCATATTTATAAGTATGTATAATAGAAAACTATTCGTAAGTAGGTATACTGGACTTTTATAGGTATACTAGTTAATTTGTGTCTAATAATAATGATAAACGGACACTATAAGAACATTTGTAAATATTAAATTTAGATTTATAGTCAAAAAAAAAAAAAAAAACATACTATGTAAGCGTAATAAACATTAATTTCCCATCTTTATAGATATTATAATTTTTTAACTATAATATAAAATTTTTTTTAATTTTTTTTCCACTGTACAAGGCCGTACTTGAAGGGGAGGAGAGTTGAGTGTTCAAACCTTTACAAAAATTGTTCGTAGTATATTATGTTGTGGAAAAATAATTATTTCGGTCAATAAAATTAGAACACCACAAATGTTTAGTTAACAATCCCCGTCCCCTCAAAATTATTTTCTAGTTATGGCCTTACTACTGTATATTATCATGTATTTTATCTATAAGAAGGAAGATATAAAATGAATGGAATGAGGGATGGAAGGAGCGGACACATTGAATCCGATTAGTACAATTGTACTCTGAGTTAGTTAATTCGATAACTACATTAACTTACAGTAAAATGACACGGAAAAATTGTTGTATCTAAAATTACTATTCTGAGGTTATTCGCTGCACATATTAAATCAAAGTATGACGTGCAAATAAATTTACACGAATATTACGGTCAAAACTCTATTATTATATAATTAATACAGCTGTTGTGTTATTTTTCAATACTGGTTAATGAAAATAAAATCATGTAACTGAAACTGTTACTATGGGTTATTTTATGATTCAATTTCTTTTCTTTTATTAAGTCTAGAAATATTATTAAAAAATCCTCCCAAAATGGCTAATATTGTAATAAAAAATATCATTTTTCTTCTATTTTCATAACAACATGTTGTAACCAATCAGAGTATTTGAATATTTTGCAAGTCAAATGTATTAGATATAAACTCGCTTAAATAAACTAAAACAAATTTGAAGTATTTGTTCAATATTAAATAAATGATTAACGATTTACGAATACTATTTTAGCCTGTAACAGAAATATTTAAGTTTTATTGTATACTTATGATTATTATATTTACTATTTTTTAACCACTGGAGAGACAGTAAAAGTGGCAATGTGGTTTTGTAGATATTTGTTTAATTTCTACTAAGTAATTAATAAGCTTTCTTAGGCACGCAACTGTTGTGTAAATGTATTTGTCCTTTATTATTTTCTCTTAATCCAGTGGCCTAGAAATATGATTGGAAGGCCTTCATTAATTGTTTAAGTTGTCTGTTACTTTTGTTGTTAAAACACTCGATGTTTTACGGTTCTGTTTGATGGTTGAACATCGTTATCGAAACGCACATTTACTTTGTAATAAGTTCACGTTTTTGATGATTTTGAAATTTTCCCAGACAGTTTGTATATTATATCCAATTGTGTTTACTGTAGGTATTAATCTATTATTATTACTTTATATAGTTAATTGATAAGAATATTTATGATGAAGAGATTATGAGAAACTTGAAAACAAAAGGTTTTGTAGTGATTCGGGTGTACTGAAGTGGACGGGATTAGGTTTATGTACTTATACAAGAGGAGGGATATAGCTGTTAACTAGGTTTATTGTTATAATTATACAAGTTATTATAGTTTCTCTGAAACAAACTAGTTATTATCACTTATATTAGTTATTAATTATGTACATAAAGCATCTAACAGTACTAAATCAAGTAAAAACTTAAGATTAATATTTCATTTGTTAAACCATTATATTAATATTATATTGCTATAGGTTTATAAAGTCAAATAGATTACTTTTAAAATGTTATCTTATTGTAAAAAATAACGTTTATAAAGTAGATTTATTTATGATACCTATTGCTAAAGTCTGTTTCACGCAACGCATTATAATTTTTAGTAAGGTATTACCTATACTATTATAAAAATAGTTGAATTGTATTAATATTATAATATACATTCTCGGTGATAAAATCTTTGACCCTTACCCCTTCTTCGGGTCATTTATCATTGATACCCTGTCATTCTGAATTCAAGAGATAATACAAACGAAAATGAAAACCCATCCATTAGTTTTATTTTTTCGTTAATTCCACTTGATATCGTAAATTCCATTGACTGGGATCAATTAGTGACTGCTAAATCCGAAAATCTAAATGTTACAAAGGGAATAATGTAATTCCTCAATTCATTTCGTTCACTTTAATGGGCTTCAGTAAGTCGCCTTACATAGGTTAATCCCTATAAATACGTAAAGACCAATTTTAAAACATCGAAAATTAAAAAAAATATCTGATACTGCCGATGGATGTGTTCACTTTTATAGATGGGGAGTTGGGGAGGTAAGATACATAATGTTATTTAATTTATATGCGTACGCAACTTTAAATTGTTTTGGGTTTCAAGTTCGGTTAAACATGTTTTTAAAATCTGTAAGTTGTATAGTTTTCGTCAAAATTTTAATTTAAATGATTATAAAAAAAATTACAACATTAATAGCATAACTTTTTTTTTTGACCATTCGGTAAAATTTATGATGAAGCTCGTTTTAAATTTTCAAGCATCTATATTTGACTAAACATTTTTGTTCACATAAAACCAACATAAAACTAAACAAAACTCGAAAGTTTCAAATGCTTATAAATAATTCAAAAATTACATGTCTAGAAAAGGCTAACATAAATATTCTGTGAAGGTTAGGTTTACCTAAAAATTTACAAAAAAACTATTTTACATTTTTTGATTGAAGCAAGATTTCTGGTAGAAATTTTGTTTACAGATAGAAAAAAAAAGGAAAAAAGCACACATCATATTAAAACTCAATATATTCCCCGCTACTCTCAGAAACGAAAAAATAATAAATACAGAATTTTTAATATTATAAAATTAACTAATAATGTATTAACAAAATTTCTTGTATGTTTTAGCATTTTCAAATAAAAAAAAACAAGAATATTGGTTGCTAATTATTGTCTTAAATTCGAAAATTTATTATTAGTTATCGTTTTATTTTGTTCTTTATGGTTATTATCTATTAAACAAAAATCAGAAAAACTATTACAATATTATATGGAATAAGTTGAGTGTACATAATCGTTTATATATTTATTCAATGATTTTTTATAATAATAACATCGAGTTCGTCTTTCAAGTGCATATTTCTAGTTACAAAATAGTAAAATGTTATTTTTGATTTGTGTTATTTTGACATTTAGTTTATCGATATATTTCGAAATCAATCATGTGTTGCAGTAACAAAATATTATCAATTCGTAAGAAATCTAGTTTTATATTTTATATTAGAAAATCCAAGAAATTGCTGTAAGTGATACTAATTTTTAGCTGTATTATATTAGACAATAGTATATAATTTTCAATAAAATTGCTGGTTTCGTTTTCAAAATTTTTATTTTGCACGATTTGTTATGATATTATTAGATCAATCAGTGCGGTAAATGATACTAATGAAATACAATATTGTGAAATACCAGTCAAGTGAAGGGGACACTTCGGTTAGATTTCATTCACAAAAATTACTATTCTAAATGGTTATGAATTTACGATGAAAAATGGTCTATTAGGTATTTTTCTTTGATTAACAGTAATATTATAGTTGAAATGCGTTTATCATTTTGGCGATTGTTGAATCATTTTTAAAGTAATTTTCAGTAAAATTTCATTATATATTGTATATTTTATATTTATTATTAAGAATAGCTGGTGTAATTTGATATATAAAAAAAATATGATTTACAGTATGTTGAGTTATTACACCAGAGTCACTGAATTAAATATCATAACTCTTTGAATTTTATATGTATACCAATATAATTATGCAATGGGATAACGCACGTTCATAAATATTCTTATACCCACCGGTCTTAAGTCAAGACTGGGCTAATTATACTAAAAAAATATTAACTTAGTTAGGTTTAGTTAGTTGAAAAATAGTTACGCGTTAAATTTTAAATATTGTATACATTTATTAAGTTAAGTTTAAAGATGTTTATCAAATTTAACTAACTTTTTAGCTTAGCTAATTAAATTTTTTTCACTATTGCTAAAGTAAAAAAATACTGATTAAATCAATTTTATAATTTTATTTTTCTTTAAATAAGGGTGATCAATGTTAAACACAAGAGGAGTATTCTGTAAATAATAAATTATACCTACTTGTTTTAAATTTTAAACCCCATGTATAATTGAGAAAAAAAAATTATAATTTATACAACTGTATTAATTCAAATGATTTGTAGATTGTAAAATTAATTTTGCGTAAAATAAAAGAAAAAATAGTAATAAACTTAACCGTGGTGCAATTCAAATATAACTTGTTATTAAGTTAGTATTTAAAGTTAAAAAAAAAATCGTGTTTAAAGTTGATTTAATAACAAAATAAAATTAAAGACATAATTAACATAACTTTTAACTTTTTAATACTCGTTAATATCTAGTCATGCTTTTAGGACACTTTGTATTGGTCATTAAAGTTGCTGATAACGGGAAATGAACACGAAGAGGGTCATTAAGTGATTTAATTTTATTAATCATGTGTTATATTGTGTTATAGTAGTTATATATGTGTTATATTAGTCAGGTAAGTGACAACAATCAATGAAAATAACGAAGTAGTGCACAAATTTGTGCCACATTTTGAACAATCGAAAGAGTCAGCTATAGTCGTTAAAGCAGACAGAGAAGCGTATAATGTAACCAGGAGGCTTAATAAGGTTACTGAACTCCGTCCCTTGATTTTTGTTCTGTTTTATTATTATTATTACTAACAGCCTATTAACTTTATCTAAATTACTCAATTTACAAATCCTACATAATTACTAAGTACATATTTTTTAGATTTCTCACTTTGATTTTTCTCAGACTTTCTTCACTTCGTCATTGTGATTGCAGTATAGACTGTAAAACTGTACTTGTAATTTGTTCTGATTTTTGTTCTATAGCACTCAATTTTTGCGTTTTATAAAATATCATACTTCAGTATATACGAATTGTAATGTAACTGTTTTTATTATGTTTGCGTTAATAGTTGGTTAGGGTTTTTGCTGCTTTCTTCAATCGTTAATGTTCTTATTGTTAATAGGTTCATTCAACGCTGACGTGTTCAGTTGACCGTTTTTGTATTGACCTTGCTAGTCGAAACTTGCTTTATTCATATTATCTGTATAATATTTCTTTTCAAATTTTTTGTTTTTTATTTTTAAACTGCGTATCTACACAAATTCTACCAGAAATCTTGCTCTGAAGTATTAAGTGTAGCACCTTTTCTGATAGGAAATTTTCTTGTGGTGGTACTTCATGGTATGTCATGAAGGTTATTTTTTGATTTTCTCAGGAGTTTTCCCTTTAAATGGAAAAACCCGGGAAAAATGTAGGAAAAACAGGAAAATGTACGAAATGTATTATTTGAAAATCGTAAATATTACAGCCTTTTTTTCTCTGTGAACAAATTTTTTACCCGGCAATTTTCTTCGATTTTCAAGTATAACATTTTTTCCAAAAGAGAATTTTCCTGGATTGGTACTTATAAGATAGGTCATTTTTTGATTTTCACAGGATTTTTTCCTATAAATTAGAAAACAGAAAAAACGTAGAAAAAACGGGGAAGTTATTCTATAATGAATCAAATATACTAATCACAGGTAACTTAAAATCTTTAAAATTCTTTGTAACATATTTGACTGTTACATTTATGTAAAATACACTATTAAAAAATTATTATTTAAGAAAATATATAACGTATTTACTTCACTATAATGCAACATATATATATATGTTTGAAGAGTATCAATTATTGAATACCTACCATTTACTTAACTTCGTTTCGTTGCGTACATGTATATAGATTAAATTTCCCCTCTACCTCCTCAATTTCTCATCCATCCACAACAGTGGCCCACTCATCGTGCGAACTATGTCCGTCTTTTTACTTTTAATTTAGCAAATTCTATACCTTTTTTATTATAATTTAATAATTTCACAAAATTCTAATCTCAATATATCAAATCCTAATCAAATCCTGGTACTTTTAATACTGGATTTGTGATGAGGGTAGAGTTCTGAGGGCACTCCGAGTTTAGCCAACTTTTAATCTAGGTTTCTACCATTCCAATATTAATTTGAGGTTCTACAATTTTCGATTCCGTATTTTCATACATCTATTATTGTTCTACTTAGATGTATTATAATACATTTTTAGTATTATAGTATATATCTGTACTTCGGAACCAGACGAACATAAGTCACATTATTTTTTAGCAAAAAAACTAAAAAAAGGAACATGATTCCTTCCATATATCAGGTCTTACGCTCGTTAAAATTATGGAAAAAGTATTTTTAACAGACTCCCGTTATTATGGCTCGATGAAAAACATATATTACATGCAAAAAATGTAATAATCTAATTAATAATAAAAATAATAATTTTTGGACTTACGTTCGTCTGGTTCTGAGGTACAGATATAAGGTACCGTACCATTATTAAATCTTAGATACAGTTTTTTTTTTTATAGTTTTATAAACACTGCGTAGTTATAATTACTTTTTTGGCCTACGGTCTTTGATACTAACCATGCTAGTGGTGGATTTGAGTGTGGAGGGAGGAAATATGGCGATTCCTTGAAATGTTTTTCTAAAATTTGTATACATGAATTATAATACAAGTATCCATGGTTTTAATTGGTGCTTTAAGGTGTTTAACGGTGTACGTTCAAATGTATAAGATATGAGTGTATATTTGTTATATAGTAGGATATTAAACAAATGTTGGACTCCCACCCTCAAATTTTTGTTAAGTTATGGTCTTATAAGTATCAGTTAGCTCTCTTTTAATTAGCTCCAGATCTGCCACAGAATCATCCAAACATATACTCTTTTAACTATCACGATCATTTTCTAGGACAATATTTTGTGTGCAGGTTTAATTTTTACTCATATTATATAATCTTATATTACTATTTTCGTGATTTATGAAGTAAAAATAAGCAATTTTGGTTACTATGAAATTTGCATTTTAAATACTTGTTTGTTTTGCATCAATTTCCAAAGTCCTAGATGTACCAGATGTATAATATGATAAAATGTAGCAGCTGATGTTCACGTTTAAATTAGAAAACTCCAATTTAAATTTCAAATTCACTAAGAATATCTTTTCTTTACAATTTGTTAAACGAGGCTATACACTATTTGTGTATTTGCTGTTCGTGGTTCGTTATTTATTAAAATTGTAAATTTGTGTGTAGAGCTTACTCCCAATTCGCTATTTGTCATTCGTGAACCAAATTCGTTCTAGAACTATTCACGAATGATTTGCGAAAGAACTATCCTTTCGGAGGTAGCAAGTGTAAAAGATCAATGAGTAATGATTTACGAATGAATCAGTGGCATATTTACTGGAATGGATTCGGAGATAATTCCACCCCATGGCTTTTAATATTTATATTTATTATGAATTACAATGCACTATATTATATATATTATATTAATATTTATGAATTGACAATTTTGAAATTTTGAAAAAAAAATTTAGAAGAAAAATATCTTATGATAATAGTTTAAAATGCGCGAGCATCGTGGTAAAATCGAGATTAAATCATGTCTTATATAAAAATAGTATAATATGTTTAAAATTAAAAATTAACAAAATAGTTCATAGTTTAAATAATATTTAAATAACACATTTTTAATATATTCAATTGTGGGTGGGAGGGGGGTTATAGCCTCTTACAAATCTGTAAATATAATTTGTTTACTTGTCCCAAGACAAAGTGCTGAATACACCACTGTCACAAATATTCACAAATAGTGTGTATTATCTAGTTCGTAAATAGCAAAAAAAAAAAAAGGTATAATTCGCCAACGAATACGCTCATAGGGTTTATTAGTTTCATGTAATAAAAATTACACTGTTTAGACAGAACGTATATATATTTTTAATGGGGTTTTTTTTTCACAGACTCTTTTCACTCTAATTAAAATATAATGTAGTCAGACGAATTTCTAAGTAGGTACTAGGCACTCTTCAAATTTAAATAATTCTGTTTATAATACTTTTTAATAAACCATTAGTCCGAGATGAGATTATATATTATGTACCTACTCATATATCAAAATATTTTTTTTTAGAAAAATAATCTGAAAATTAAAACTCCTATATTGCAGCAAAGGTTATTTTTTGAAAATTAATACGATTGATGATATCAGGTTTTCTCGTCATAATGACGTAGAGGGCGGAATTCTAAATAAAAACGTTCCCCTTTTACAATAATAATAATACAAAAAAAAATTTATAATCCCTCAGATATTTTTGTTTCGTTGGTTTTTTATGGCCCGGTTTTTCAATCACACTGACAGTTAAAATGACAATTAAAAAATCGGCCATATAATATATTTTTAAGATTCTGAACGTGACGAGATGATTGCAGTGATTTTTGATTATTTCTTGTGTCAATTAACAACATTTCTACCAGAAATTTCGTTCCAATCAAAAAATGACAAGTGACCTTTTTTTGTTGCATATTGGATCATGTTGGTACAATAGAGAAGTTCAAATTTTGATTTCCAAGCTTTTCACTGACAAATTTACGGCATTAATGGTTTCATTATTTTTGATTTTTTGTCGTAATTCTTTGAAACTAAATAAGTAGTAAAAGTTCATATGAATGTTTGTTTTTGATTCAATAAACTTTAAGTTTTCAGAAATGTCGTTAAAATTTCCTACACGCTGCTGTACCACCTTAAATATTGTAACCTCTTACAAATGTCATATAGTTTAATAAACTAAGTTTTAAGTATTATATACGAAACTATATTATGTAGAGTTAGTATGTGTTAATGCAATTTTAAAATGTTTTGTTATATAATCCAAATTAATAATATTATATGTTAATTGGATCATTTTGTTGTTAATATTTTATCTACATTATTTGTTTACGATTTAATTTTATACGATTGTTGTTTTTTTAATTTTAATGTCTTTATAAAAGCCATATCATTACAGGGCCAATTATATGCGTACATTCAATTGACGAATGTACAACACGATATTATACACATTGCAGCGACAAAAATTATATAGTTCGGAGAAACATTGCAATTAAACGATGCTGACAGTCAACGTGCAATTCATAAATACAGGTAGACAATAATAATATTATTGTGGGCGTTTTAATTGAATATAATTTTAGAGGAACCAATTTATACGATTTATACAGGCAGGTACTAGGAAAAAAATAGGATCGCTCGAATCTGCCGAAACATTTATTAAGACAACCTTATAGACAAGTTTTTCTTTTTTATCGCGTAAGAGCCCTTAAAGTTTCTCGAAATGTGGCTCAGAACTGTGCAGGCCCGGCCAGATTTTTTCGAAGAGCTGGGTGTTCAAATCATCAAAAACTGAGTTAATCGGTCTTTTACGTAAAATTATCAATTTTTATATTTACCCTTATTTTATTACGGTTTAAAACCCTCAAATTCTCCGTTTCAATCTAAGTCTGTACGGCCGGAATATTTCGCGTTACCATCATTGGAGGGAAGCACATGGGTTTTAACTCTAATCATTTTTTAATACTATTTGTCGAATGAATATTTTTATTTGTATCGTTTACATTATTATTCACGTTTGCATATTAATCTGCAACAAAGCACATGGGGGGGGGGGGAAAGGGGGACAATAACTAAATTTTTGTAAAACTGAGTATAGTGTAAATTGTACACATTATATGGGTTTTTTTTTTTTTTAAATAAATAAAACACTTATTAGTGATATGTTAGAAGTTACTTTATTTTTGGTACTATTATTTTAAAATACAATATTTTAGTCGAATATTTGTAAATGCAGCCCACTTTTCGATTAGAAAGGACAAATAACATAGAGATTATCTTTTGAGATAACAAATGTTTATCGTATAGACTTTTGAGCGATCTCGTTCGGTGGATAACTACACAGTGGCGTGCCCGGTAATTATCAATGATTGGTAATTTAAAAGTCGGGTCCTAAAGAAATAAAAGAAAAACAACCGATTTCTAATCGATACATTAAACGTTTCCTCGTAACCCTGTTGAAAAATAATGTGCATTATTTCGATATTACTCGTAGTTTTAACCAACGGCGGTGGGATGACTCGGCCGGCCCTAATCTTACCATGCGCCCGCCACCGAGCGATAATAATTAATAACGAATCGACGACGGCCGCGCGACAGGGAGGAACGGGACCGGCGGCGTCGTGGTCGCGCTCTGTATAGGTATTAGTATTATTGTGCCGCTGCCGCTGCCGCTGCTCCTCCGTTCGTATTATTTCATTGCGCGCTCGCCCACCGCCGGCCAGCGATATTGTGCTTACCGTTCCCCCCCCCTGTATACAATAGCATGGTATAGGTACCTATGTATAGCAATAATGACGACGACGACGACGACGACGATAATATGGAATACCGCATACACGAAAAACTATATGAGCGCGCACCAACACACACGGGTTTTGTCACGGTGGCGCACATCTGCCTGTGAGGCCGCGCGCACGTACCGCGGGTCTCTCTGCGAAGAAAAAAAAAAAAAAAAACGAAATAAATAAATAAATAAAAACCTCACGCACACGTATGTACAATAATTTTATACAGGGTGAATATTATTTTCGTCCGAGAACCGGGCGGCTGACGATTTCCGCGGTGATTATTTTTTTTTTTGGGGGGTTATATTTTTATTTCTCACACAGTTACCTACGCGTTGTCGAAACGGGTTTTCGGGCGGAGGGTTGGCCGTCCCGACAATGTTCTCACACGTGCATTATTATCGTATAGCGTTGATCGATCATGACCTCGCGACGCGCTTCATCCTCCTCCCCTGTGCACGTTCGTCAAATTCGGTGAGGGGGGGGGAGCGATAGTATAATAACGCCACTGCCAACCCGCAGTACGCACGTGAACGATCCCTTTTTCATTTTCAAATAGCGGTATTAAATACGGATTCGCGAAGACTCTACGCATTAAAATATGTATTCGAGTATAATGTGCAGTTATACGCCTTGAACGTATAAAAACGTACGCCATTTATTCTCTTAAAAAATACAATACGCTTTTTAATTTTTCATTTTCGAGCGCCGCATTCCTGTGTATTTTATCCGTTTCCTTCCGGTCGTTATTTGCATTTATAAATGTGTAAAGTGCGTACAGGGAAGGGCAGTGGATATTCTTCACAACCGCGTTTAGATAATTTTAAAATCCATAAACCGTCGTGCGTATTATAGGATTTTGTTTTGGGTTTTTTTTTGTAAAGCATTCCGGATCGGAGTTAAAACGAATAACATGGGTCGCGGTATTTGATAATCAACAGTGGACATCTATTATTAATCGTTACGACGGAAACATCAGTATTCCGAACGAGATCCGATTAAATGGTTCGCCGCGTTCAATCCGTCCAGAATATCGCGAAATCCGCTCGGAACCGCGCCGAGAACCCAGCTGTCTAATCGCCGGTCTCGCGATATCCCAAATACATTATAATCGCCCTGTATGCGCCGTATACGCGGACGCGTACTACATGTCGTACTGAAGTCTGAAACGTCGCCGTACGGCGGCCGTCGTCGTCGCCGCCGTGGCCGCCGAGGTGCAGTGGTGGGGACTCGTTGGGTCCGACGGGTAGGGCGGCGTGCGTGCGTGCGTGCGTGTGTGCGTCGTCCGTTCGCGTGTTTCCGTGTAAACGACGTACGCCGTGTGTGTACGCGGCCCGCGTGTGTGCGTGCCGTGCCCGTTGCTGCCGCGTCTGTCGACCGTCGGTGCAGTGCTGCGTGTGCGTGTGTGTCCGTCGTGTATTTGCCGTCGTTGTCGTCGTTGTCGTCGTTGTTGCGCGTCTGCCCGCTCGCGCGGTTTTTCACATTACCCGACGCGTCCTCGTCCGTTTTGTCAGATACTTGCCGGCTAACGACTACCAACAACTGCCCGCAGTAGTAAAGTCGCACACCGACCCGCGTTACTTACGTACAGTTCGAATACACTCAGCCCCTCCGGTACAGCGCGTCATGCCGTAACCGCACGGAAACGCAACACCGTATCGTCATTTTCATTCCGCGTTTTTCCCTCGTTTTTCGCAAAGGTTTTTTCGCGTTCGTTTTCGCCGTCGCCGGATATCTGCCGTACACTACCTTCCAGCAAAGGTCGCTCGCCCGATCCCGCACCGGTGTCAGTAAGTGAGTAAACCCGACAAACGTTGACATAATATTATTATTGTTGTTGTTATTATTGATGACCGCGGCGAGTGCGTAATAAACCGACCGAACGAGCGTCAGCGACTCTTCTACCGCGGGCTCGTGCCGGGTAAATCGGGCCGCGAGGGTTTCAGCCGAGAGACCCGCGGGGAATCCGCACGGAGACTTAAAGGCCTGATGCCGAGCGAGCAGAATCGCAAGCGATTCGCCAGAAACCGCCGTTTCCCAATCGAATCCGTGGTGTTTCGAGGTATTCTATCGAGGTTTATTTCGTCGTTAGTCGCATAGTATTTCTGTCGTACGCACAGGTACGGACGGAATATTATTAAAAACGCCGCGTTTCGCTTCCTCCCCCGTTCACACGGCACGGCTGCGGCGTGACAACATCGAACTCTGTGGTCTCATTGTTTTGTACGTTATTATTGTTATTACCGTTGTTGTTTTTTTTTTCTATGTTCGTATTTTAACGAACGACATTGTCGCGCGCACGACGACGCGCAGTTGTTTTATTGAAGCGCCGTCGGCGTTTTGTTCGGCCGCCCCGTACCCATATACCGCGCATAACATTACAGGGTGTACCGTGTCCACGTGACGCACCGTACACAATGCGACGCGATTGTTGTCGCTAGAATTATTTACGGCGGCGGCGTGGCAGGGGAAATATAGTGACGCGCACGCGAGAATTCCGTGGATAACACCAATCTGCGTCTGCTCTCTCCCGCGACGGTTCCGGGCACGAGAGCGCGGAGTACGTTTACGGATTTTTCACATTTCCAACGGGTGTTTTTTTCGCCGTTCAAACGCCGGCCGGGTTTACCGGTCCGTATATTAATATCGTAACGTTATCTGCAAAGTCCCGATTAGATAAGTCGCACGGCCGTCGCGTGCGACGGCCGTTATCGTCGAAAAACCCTCGGCGGGACACGGTTTTCGAAAAAATCGTCTTCTGAAACGTTCGGCCGCACGTGGTAGAGTACACCGGAGTGTACGCGCCAAATGTAAAAGGTCCGCCGCCCCGTTTCGCCGCATTACATTCTCAAATTATTTTGGTGTTTCGAAACATTGTCGTCGATTTGGTGATTAGTAAAGCAATAGATACACGCGGCGAACGAGTTATGATTTGAAACGATTTTAGTACTACACTTATCTGAAGTAAACGATTGATAAATCCCCGATAATATTTTATAAATAAATTCTAGTATGAATAGTCGGTGTCGTGGCGGCGATGACTGCAAAGTCGACAACGCGTTTAGTGCGGCCGTTATAATGGCAACGGTCGAATACGATTTCTTACCCAGCGCAAAGGGGAATGCGACATTATGGCTTGAGAGAAGAAAATTATTTTATAAACCGATAAGTATTGTTAATTTTTCATTTTCCATCTTAACTTATCGAGTTAAATTTTTTCTTTTCTGACCTTCAACCGACGGGAGTTCAATTGAATCAACTTGAATAACTGCTCACCTTTGGTAATTCGCAACTTATAAGCTATTACGCCGAGCACGCTAGAAAAATAAATTCGGCGAAATCGGAGCTGACCATTAAAAACGGCGTTGCTCGTTCGAGTAGACAGACGCGTTTCCGTTATCGGCCGCCGCCGGTTCGTTCGTTTAACATTTAGCCGCGATTTATTTAATTTTCAAACCGTCACAGTGTTTCTGTACCCGCGGCGTTTGTTTTGCGGCTGTTTGAAACGATTGTGTTATTCATATATAAATATAAATCCGCGGCTTTTACGTCGGGGCCAACGCGTCCGACGCGCGCTTGTCGCTTTTTCGATAAAAATACATCTTAAAAACGTAGGGAATCTACGAAATCTACGGAGAGTACCGATAACGCGTTTCCCCGTCGCACAAAACACCGCACGTCGTTTGCCGATTCGTTGGTTTTTTTTTTCTGTTCCCGGTA